CATCGGGTCCTCGGACTTCAGTTGCATATTGCTGTGTATTAAAAAGTATGTAGAAATGCTGTGGATTGCAATAGCCCCCTTGCGGAGTAGCTCTCGGAACTCCACTCACACCAGGCACACGTTGTAGTAGGCGCGCTCGCCATTGTCCTTGGTGCGCAGCTGCCACTCGGCTGCTCCCATCAGGTCCTGGAACTGGCTGGAATTGGCCATCGACTTGCCGCGCATGCCGTTGCGCGAGCAGAAGTTCTTGTAGGCCCGGAACGCCGTCTCGAACGACAGCCATGCGTACGGCTTGACGTCCAGGCACTTGTCGACAAACACGCCAAAGAACTGGCGCACGTCCTTGGGGATGCTGGCCGTGGCGCTGTCCAGGTCATCCTCATCGGTCTCGTCGGTCTCCGCGTCCGATTCTTCCTCGTCCTCTTCGTCGTCATCGCCGTAAAGCTGTCCGTTGTAGGCCGATGGGCCGCGATGCGCAGCCGCCGCCGGCTCAGCCTTGCGTCCGTTGGCTGACCGGCCAGGCAGCTCGTAGACTGACGACGTGCTGCCTCGGTGCCTGGCCGCCACGGCTCCGCTGGAGCGCCCGCGCGGCATGGTCTGTGACTCGGTGATGCGGGTCTGGTTGCGCAGATTCGACGACTCCTTCGCCCAGCGGCCGCTCGTGCCCGCCTGCATCCGGTTCTGAATTGACAGTGGCGACGACCCGCTGGACGAGCCGCCCGAGCCGGAGTGGGACGACGCCAGCGATTGGCGCGAGTTGGCGCTGTGGAACGGCGCCATGTTGGTCGCTGACAGCGAGTTTCCAAGCCGGGCGCTCGAGCTGCGGCGCTGCTGCTGCTGCTGCTGCTGCTGCTGCTGCTGCTGCTGCTGGGCGTCGCCAGCAAACGGCGGGGTTTGCTGCTGCTGCTGGAACTGCTGGAATTGCTGGAACTGCTGGAACTGCTGGAACTGCTGGAACTGCTGCTGCTGTGGAGGGGGCTGCTGGCGCCGCCAAGCTGAGTTGCCAGGTGTGGCGACGATGCAGACATGCCCGACTGCATCGCCGCGCGCAGCGGATGCACATCGGGCTGGGCCATCGAGGCCCTGGCTCCGGGAGCACCGGTGTAGATGGATAGAGCCACGTCGTCGTCGTCGTCGTCATGGCCACCGCCCATCATCATACCTGCCTGGTTGCCGCCCATCATGTGCGGAGGCACCATCTGCTGGCCGCCGTAGAACGTGTTGCGCATATATGGACCGCCAATCTGCTCAGCCGAGATGGACGGCGCCTGCATCATGTATGGCGCACGACCCGACATGCCACTCATCATCGACATGTTGTCGTCGGCCCAGTTGGGCTGGCCACCGTACATGCTCGGGAACGTTGCCGAAGCGCGATCCGGGCTGCTGCTGCCCCATGGGGCCGATCATGGTGTTCATGCCCATGGCCTGGTTACGGCGCATTTGGCGCTCCTTCATCAGACTCGACGAGTCGCGATATTTCTGCTCCGAGCGCATTTGCTCGCGTGTGGCAATCGCACCAACCAGTCCTGTGGGCCGCTCGATCGGATCGACCTTCTTCTCGACCGTCAGCAGCGGTCCAGCGCCACCGCCGTCCAAGAGACCGCCACCGACCATGCCCGGCTGCTGCATCTGTCCGCCCCACACGCCGCCGCCAGCCATCGCATCCATGTATGTCATCGGCCGCTGGCCATTGGCAAAGCCCATAGGCATGGCACCGCCATCATCTGCTGCTGTTGCTGCATCATCATCATCTGCTGCTGCTGCATCGGGTCCTGCCCCATCATCATCTGCATTCCGTTCATGGCCTGCCCAGGCAGCATGTCTGGCCGGGCATCATTGGCTGTTGCTGCTGCATACCGCCAAAGGCTGGCATGGCTGTTGAGGCCCGCTGCATAGTGGCATTGGATCCGATTGATCCGTATTGCATCGGCTGCTGCCCCGGCATCGTCTGCCCCATCATCATCGGCTGCTGCTGCTGAGGAAGCTGCTGCCCAGGCAGACGGTTGCCCAGCGGTGCATCGCTGTCCGAGTCGCTGCTGTCCGACTCTACGAGCTGCCGCCCAATTGGTTCACCTTCAGCGTGGTTCGTAGGTGGAGGCGATTCGACAATCTTCAGATTAACGATGGCCTCCGAAGCCTCGTCAACAAACGAGGCCCGGTTGCCCTCCAAGCCCAGTGCAGGTGTCGGGATCGATGGTGCCGGGCCGCTCGTGGTGGTGGCTGTGGTGTTGGTGTTCGACCCACCCGAGATGCTCGACAGGCGCGCATCGGTAGTGCTCGGCGACTGCCCGGCGCTGTCTTCTGACTTTTTGCTCTGGCGCTTCAGGAACTTTCCGGCCTCGCTCTTGCGGCCGTTGCTGTCTTTGCTGTCTTTGCTGTCCTTACTGCTCTTGTGCAGGAAGCTGAAGGGCTTCTTCTTCTGCGGAGTCTCCTCAACAGCGACTGCGGGGGGCGAGGCAGGCTTCGGCAGGTGCTCCTCGGCGACATTTTTTGTCAGCGCTGGCTGCACCTGGTACGCAGTGCTGCCGCTGAGCGCGCGTGTGTTCTTACCGTTGGCGTAGTTGCTGACAGGCACGTCGTCGTCATCATCACCATCGCTGTCCCATGGCATGCGTGTCTGAGGCGGTGGCGATTTGCGGCTGCTGCGCATAATAGCGGTGTCCTCAGCAGCCGGGGCAGGCGGTGCGCCGAGAGTGGAGGCTGACCTAGACTCAGCTGCCTGGTGGTGGACCTCCTGGCGCACCATCGGCTTGGCACACCGCTCGGTAGCCAGATTCTCGAGCATCCTGCGCGCAGTCACAGGCTCCATGATCTCGACTGACTTGCTGGCGATGTCGTCAGGCAGCAGATACAGGTCGCTGCGGCTCGGCAGGACGTCGGGCATGAAGGCCACGGGCTGGCCATACAGCTTGTACTGGCTGGCCGTCTCGACCAGCGCCGACACCATCTCGCCTGGGTTCTGGAAGATCACCAGGGCGTAGGATCCGCAGGCGCGGGCAGCACTGGCCAGCGAGCTCCGGTCCGCTCTCGGCATCGTCGGGCTTGGGAAGCAGCGACTGGTCGATCTCGCAGTCGCCCTCGAATTTGGCAATGACCGCGTTGTCGACCAGGTCGATGCTGTCGGGGAACACCGAGTAGGCGCTTCGGATCGCCTTCATCAGCGCCAGCTGGGCCGGGCTCTCCTCGGAGAAGAAGGCAATCTGGGTCGGCTGCTTGCCTGCATCGAGCACCATGTGGCACGGCACCCACTCGTTGGTGCCTGAGAACCGCACCTGCACGTGGTACTCGGTCGGGCGTGCGTCGGCCAGGATGGCAGGATAGCGCTCGTTGACCAGGGCGGCAGTGTAGAACTCGTAGAGCTTTGTGGCCTCGAAGCAGGCCAGACGCATGGCCCTGACCCAGTCGTTCATGGCGCGGTCGTCGACAGACTGCATGAAGAAGCGGTTGGCGCCCGACGAATGCAGGGTCCAGACGCTGTCGCGCTTCTTGAGCTTGCCGACGACGGCGCAGGCAGCGTCGGTGATGTTGATGAAGTTGGGCTTTGTCACGATGTTTTTGATGTGGGCAACTGTGCGCTCGAACTCGGGCGACCCCGGCTGCACGCGGCCGTCGACCATGGCGGTGATATCTTCGAGGTAGGCGGACAGCTGGGAGTCGAGCAGATTCCAAAACATCAGAACGGGGCCGCGCAGCTCAACGTACCACCTTGTCCACTTGCGCATTCCGTATGGTCGCCCGTCGGCGGAGCGGTCGTTCTTCTTGCCCAGGATACCGCGGATGTAGAGCTTCTGGCGGAATGTGTCAAAGTAGGTGGCCATGCTGGCGACGGGCACGAGGCCGCCTGCGCTGGCCGATCCGGTGGCAGCAGGTGGGACCGACATGGTGGATGGAAATGGAGATGGAAAAAGAGAGCCTATAAAAAGGAATAGAGGTCCGTAATCCAGCAGAGCAGAGGGTCAGTATAGGTAAGAGGAAAACAAACAAAATAAACCCCTCGTCGACGCAAGAAAAACGAGCGAGAAAGGACCCGAGAGGTGCACACAGACGATTGCCCGAGATCAGAAATAGAACCAGTACGGGATTTTTTTGGGGGAAGAGCGAGAGGCGGTGCCGATGGGCTTTTGCTCGAGGCGTGCGAGGGAGGAGAGACAGCCTAGGCAGGTGTGCGTGGGCCGTGGGCAGCAGGTGGCGAAACACAACACAAAAACGTAAACATGCACCTCAGGCTTTTTAAGGCAAAGCGGCCGCGGCTATTGTGCAGCGCTTGTGTATATATCCCAAGATTCACAGAAACTCGTGGGAGGAGGCGTCGGCGAGAAAGAATTGCAGAGGCAGGGGCTAAACAACAGCAGCAAGGCCCCGCACGGCTGCCATTGCGAACTTTACCTGTATGCGATGGTGCTGCTGGCGTTGCGGAGTGCTGGCGTTGCGGAGTGCTTCCCAGAGTACCGGCTGCTCCTCAAAACGACGTCTATGTGGGGTGGTGAGGAATGGAGGTGGGAGGTTAAGAAATGGTCGAACCGAGGGGCTTGTGCTTGCAGATTGCTTGCGCAAAATGAAGAAACAAAAAAGTAGGCGAGGAGAAATTCAAGCAGGAGCTAGACTGCAGCTGTGCAGAAACGAGTGGGAGGGAGGAAGAGACGGGTTTCAAGGAGCCTGACGCACAGCGAGAGCCACCCAGCAGACGCGCCCGGCCTATTAATAGCTGGCCACAGCCCTTGCGTTTTTCTGCGAGGGCGAGTCTCACGTTTTCTCCCCCCACTCTGGCTTTTCTGCTCCCATGCGCAGGGGCCTTTTCGGCAGAAGCTCCACCGACAAAGGACACAAACAGCAAGCGCCGGCTTTTGTTCGCGGGGCCAGCGTGCAAAACAGCGCACACACAAAGATGCCACCATGTAGTGGCATTGTGAGGGCGTTTATCAGCCCGCCATCACGGATTGCGCGGATAGTGCGCTGGGTGCCTCAAATTAGCCTGGCGCACAGGCTGTCCAAGAGAGCATATGTGCTGAACCATATGTTGGTCGATCCGTGCAGCAGCATGAACTGCACCAGTGTTTTTAATATTGGCGCGCATGTTTTTGGCACTGCCGCATTTGATCAATCGCGACTCTTTTTGCTATTAGCGCACCGGCACTGTCCAAAGGAGGGACACATCACACCAGCATGACTACATTGGACACGGTTTATATTGGGTACTTTGCGTCGCACATCCCCATCACGCTGGCTGTGGACCTCATGCCGCTGCTGCCCCGAGCACTGGTGCCCGGGCCGCTGCTGGCGCTCAACACGTTCCTGACGCAGACGCTGCGCGACCCGTTCATGGTGATCGACGACACGCGCACAGACCTGACGTGGTTCCGCAGCTTCCTTGCCTGCGAGCTAGTGTTCCAGCTGCCGTTCTTCTTCTATGCGCTAAGGCTGCTGCTGGCGGGGTCGCCGCGGCGGCACCCGTGGTTGGCAGTGTATGGAGCCCACGTAGTGACCACGATGGTGCCTATTCTGGCGACGCTGGCATTCAACATCACCGACCGCACGGTGGGCGAGAAGCTGATGCTGGCCATGATGTACGGGCCGTATCTGGCGATTCCGCTGTTGATGGTGGCGACGTCGCTGCCGCACTGCCTGGCAGCCAAGGCAAAGACCGACTGAGTGATAGCAACTTTTGCTCTATTTCATTTTCGAAAATATAAAGGGACGCAGGCTATGCAGACAGCTCCAGGTAGTGCTTGAAGGGAACAAAGGCGAGCCAGTCGGAGGTAGCGGTGGGCAGCAGGCCCATGATGCTGAGACGGTAGACGCCAAACAGCACCCCACCGATGTTGATAGCAATGAAGGCAGCCTTCTGCATGCTCAGGTCAACAGCGACATTGCCGCCCTTGCCCAGACGCTCCAGGGGCGCAAAGGACGCATTGACAGACATGATGGACTTTAGCGGCGTCATGAAGATCATGCCCATGATGATGATGCTGAAGATCGAGACGCCGCTGCCCGACATCCACGCCATGAACATCTGCATGGGCAGCGTCTTGCCCGGCGCCAGTGCCACCTCCCAGGCCTTCTTTGCGCGCAGCTCCAGCTCAATGGAGTCGGAGGCATTGCGCGCGCCCGACGACACAGAGCTGCCGGCGGCGATGGCTGCGTCGAAGCCGTACGGGTCCTTGACGAAGCGGTTGGGCCGGCCCTTGCTCAGCAGCGGCGAAATGTCCACGTACGTCTTTGTGGTCTTGCTCATCATTCAGAAGAAATTGCAGGGTAATTAGGGAAAATGCAAAAGCGCTGCAGAGAAGCGCGTGCAGGTGGGGGGAAAGCGATTGCGAGCAGGAAAGTGCCACGAGTGGCCTCGACAGCGATTATCGGGCAGGGACTGTGCAGGCAGGAGGGGCCACGGCTGGCGGCAGCTCTGCTTTTCTTCGCTCCAGCTATGCCCGCGCTTTCTTGAATTTCCAGCGTACCTTACAGTAGCTTGCATTATCTTTCGCAATGGCCTCGTCCAACGTCAGACAGTCGTCCTTTTGGAAGCGCACGCCTGCATTCACGCCGTCCAGGTAAAAAGAAACAAAAGCACAGCATGCACCATGGGGAGTAGCGTATGGACAACGCAAGCCAGAGCAAAGGACAGCTGACAGGCATTGAGTTCTAGGGTGGAGCTCGTATACAGCAGCACAGCGCACACGGACACCGCCGCCGACCTGGCGCCCAAAGCCAAGCAGCAGCCAGCAGCGGCACCAGAACCAGCAGCAGAGCCGGCAACAGAGCCAGACCCACGCACAGCCGACCCCAACCCGCTAGCAGCAGCAGAGCCTCCCTCGCCACCAGTCTCCAGCACGCTGGAGGATAAGTTCCAGGCGCTGCTGTCGTCGCCGCACGTGGACCTGGAGCAGCTCAAGAAGCTCAGCTGGAAGGGCATCCCGTCCAGGCACCGGCGCACAGCATGGCAGCTGCTTATGGGATACCTGCCGCTGAACGGCAGCCGTCGCGCAGCCACAGTGGCTCGCAAACGCAAGGAGTATGCGGACTGGACCGCGCAGACGTTCCAGCGCGGCGAGGCGTCGCTGGACCGGCAGGTGTGGCACCAGATCCGCATCGACGTGCCACGCACGCGGCCTGATTCGCCGGTGATCCAGCACGCGCGCGTGCAGCGCAGCCTGGAGCGCGCGCTGTACTGCTGGGCGGTGCGGCACCCGGCTAGCGGCTACGTGCAGGGCATCAACGACCTGCTGACGCCGTTCTACTGCGTGTTCCTGGGCGAGGCAGAAGTTGACAGTGTCTCGGACCAGGCGCTGGCTGAGACCGAGGCCGACGCGTTCTGGTGCCTGACGCGGCTGCTGGACGGAATCCAGGACAACTACACGCATGCGCAGCCGGGCATCCAGCGGCAGGTGGTCAAGCTGCGCGAGCTGGTGGCGCGCATCAACCGGCCACTGGCCGACCATCTCAGCGCCGAGGGCATAGAGTTCATCCAGTTTGCATTCCGGTGGATCAACTGCCTGCTGATGCGCGAGGTCAGCCTGGCCAACACCGTGCGCATGTGGGACACGTACCTGGCCGAGCCCGACGGCTTCTCGACCTTCCACATCTACGTCTGTGCGGCTTTCCTGCTGCGCTGGGCCGCCGAGCTGATGCAGCTCGACTTCCAGAAAGCCATTCTGTTTCTGCAGAACCCGCCCACTGCCGCGTGGACCACGCAGGACATTGAGCTGCTGCTGGCCGAGGCATACATGTACAAGTGCCTGTACCACGACTCGCCCAGCCACTATGCGGCGACGGCCACGCGGCGCTGATTTGAAAATACATGGTTCAAAATATTGGCAGAACAGTAAAAGAACATTACGGCCGCTGGAGACGAGTCAGAGCACCCCCAGCGCTGAGCCCACCAGCCACGCCGCGCACGTGCCAGCCACGCCCAGCCCCCACACGCTGGTCCGCACCAGCGGCAGCGCGGCGACCAGACCCACGGGCGCCAGCAGCGCACCAAAGGTCGAGAGCCACGACGGCCGCCACTCACGGACCATGGTCTGCACCTGGCCCATGGTCTCCTCCACGCTGCCGTTGTTGTCGATGACGCGCGTGGCCCGGCGGATCTTGTCGTCCAGCGGCATCTGCGCGGCGATCCGCGCGGCTGCCTCATCGCTGCTTAGCGCATTGCGGGCCATCAGCCGCGCCAGCTGCCGGTCCTCGGCACACGCCACCACGGCCACCTTACCGCACAGCCTGTCCAGCCCCGACTCGAACAGCAGCGGCACGTCCAGAACGCACATGGCGTGGCCGCGCACATAATATCCAAGCAAAAGCACCAGCATCCTTCGCCGCACGTACGGGTGCGTGCAGCGGTTCAGCAGCTGTCGCTTGGCCGCGTCGCCGAAGATCTCGGCGCCCAGTCGCGCCCGGTCGATGGTCGCGTCGTCCCGCAGTATCCCCGGCCCAAAATGTTGCACCACCAGACGGTATGGCGTCTCGCCCGGCTCCATCAACTGGTGGGCGACAGTGTCGGCGTCGATAACAGGCACGCCCTGCGCGCGCAGCCCGTTGCTGACGGTGCTCTTGCCCGTGGCAATTCCGCCTGTGAGTCCGACTATCAGCATTGCAGCAGAGTAGTAAATTTATGTGTGGCCAATTCAGTTGGAGAGAAGCAAAAAGCTGCCAGGGAACCCCCGGCTTATCTGCCCACAGCACTCTATCAGCGCTTGGACCGCTTGCTCCGGCTCCGCCCGCTGCCCCCACGCCTGCGCTTGCCGCCGCGCGGCTTGGCACTGCCTGCCTGCTGCTCGGCCTGCACCCACTCGGCCAGGTCGGCTGGCGGGTACGTGTTTGGAATCTGCCCAGGCACCGCCGCCTGCCACGCCCCGGCCACGTAGTCGCTGTCGATATCAGCCTCCAGCGTCGGCTCGCTGCCGCCCGCCAGCTCGGCTCCCAGGTCCAGCACCGCCCCGCCCGGCCCACCCGCATCGTCGGCTGCGCGGTAGACGGTCGCGTCCCAGGTGCGCTTGCGATGCACCAGCATGTACTGCCCCGCCGCCAGCCCCAGCAGCTCGCGCAGCAGCTCGCGCACCCCGCGCGTCGACGGACTGGTGCCCGGCGACGTGCACTCGTACAGATCGCCCGAGCCGACCCGTGTCGCCCGCACCGCCTGCCCCGCGCCCACATCCACATGCGTCACCCACACCTCCGACGGGCTGCCGCGCATGTAGCTGCCGAGCCACCACGCAAGCCGCTCTGTCTCCGTCACCTCCTCGCCCGCCGCGCCCAGCCCGCGCTGGTACTCCAGCTTTGTCTTCAGCGTCACCGTCGCCACACGCCCTCCCTCGCCCGTGGCAAACCCATGCACCCGTGACCGCACCAGCACCCGCAGCCCGCCAAACTCCCACAGCGTGTAGCTCGCATTGCCGCTCTCTGCCTCCGAGCCGCTCTCCACCCGCCCCAGCATCGAGCCGCGACGCAGGTCCATGTCTGCACTGTCGCCGCTCACTGCCCGAGCCGCCGCCGCCGCCCCGTAGAACTCCTGGTTGAGCATCCGCGGCGTTGCTGCCTGGGCCGACGCCAGCGGCGAGTCCACCACCAGCACGCGCCTGCCGTCTGTCTCGCGGATCTCGAACGGAATCATCACGTCGCGTGCAAACGCTTGCGCCAGCGTCAGCAGCGCCTCCAGTGCCCCCAGCGCCAGCGACACGTCAGCCCTCGCCAGCCCTGCCAGCTGCATCGCACACGCATCCTGCGACATCGCTGGAGCCACCGCCCTGTCCACCCACGGATCCGCCTGCGCAATGTCGCCGCTGGATACCTGCTCCCACGCGACCCTGGCACACGTCCCGCGCTGCAGCAGCGTGTCGCTGTACTCGAACTGCACATACCCCGGCGTCGTCGGCCGGATCGGCGTCACGTGCACTGCCCGGTACCGCCGCCCATATATCGCCAGCGCCCGCGCCCGCTGCCGCTCCAGCTCTGCCGCTGCCCACTGCTTGACCGCCGTGCTGATAAACCCGAGCCGCGGCGCCACTGCCTCGCGGCTCTGCTGCCGGAACCGCTGCTGCTCCGTCTCCACCCGTCCCCGCAACCGGCTCAGCTCCTGCATCTCCTTGTGTGTCAGCGTCTCGCCTGCCTTCGCCCGATGCGTCTGCTTCAAGTACCACACATGCTCGGCCACCGTCAGCTGCGAGAACGGCCCGCTGTATTCTCGAGGAAGCAGCGCCGCCAGCTCCTTGGCCGTCTTGCCACTGTCCCCTACTGCCGGTTGCTGCTGCTGCTGCTGCTGCTCTGGAGCGACTGCTGGCGCTGTGCCCTCGATCGCCTGCATCGCCACCAGCAGGTCATTCGGCACCTCCCCCGGCTTCTCATTGCTTGCCTCCACCGCCGCTGCCTCGCCCACATGTGCCAACGGCGATGCCTGGCGCATCCGGCTCACCATTGCCTCGGTGCCTGTCTTTGCCAACCCCGGCGACTTCATTGCCCCCAGCAGAGCCCCTACAACATCATCTCCCTCACTAGCCACTGCCCGTGTCTTTGCTGCTCCCTGCACGTCCTCGGATCCTGTGCTATTCCCTCCCGCCGCCTCCTTTGGGACCTCACTTCCTGCACCTGCCGCCCCATGCGACCGCAGAGACGACGGCTTCTGGTGGTGGTGGACTGCCGATACCGCTGGCGCAACTGCCGTCGGCCCTGCTTCCTTTGGCTCACTGACTGCTGCCGGCTGCGCTTTCACAACCGTGTACCGCTTATAGACCTCCACGTCGAAAAACCGCCCCTGCGCGACTTTGGGCACATGTCTGTCGCGGAAATCTTGCTGCATCCGATCCAGCACAGTAGTCTCTGCCACTCCGCCCACCGTCTGCTCGCTCCCGTCCAGTGCCGGAATTGACTCAAACTCCTCATCATCGCTCGAGTGTCCCGCCGCCGCTGTCTTGTGCTCCTCCCCTACTATCCGCTCCACTCCACGCATAGCCACCGGCGACTGCCGCGTCGATGCCGCCGGCGTGTGGTTCTGCGATATCAGCCGCTCCACGTCTTCATCCGCTTCAATCTCCTCAAAGTCAACGAAAAATCCCCCCGACCCTTCTTCCTCTATACCGCCGATCCCCGCTTCGCTCTTGCTCTCGTCCTCTGAGGACGACCCGGACTCATCCAAGTCCGTGTCATCTATTGTTGCTATTTGCGAAAGCCGCGCTGCCATCTCTGTGGGCTCCTGAAACTCGCTGTCGTCCAGCATTGCGTCCTGGCTGCCTTCCCCATGCATGGTTGTTGGGTGGTCGCTGGCGCTGCTGCCTGCTGTGTCCTTTGCTATTGTCCCGTCGCGTAGCTCCATTTTCGTATCTATATGTGCTGGGCCTGCTGCTTGCTTGGAATGCCAGAGTGTGTAAATTCGTGTCAGAAAGCAAGGACCGAAAGGCGTGTGTTTGACGTGTGCGCGTTTTTTATTTTCTGTTTTTTTCTGACTATCCGACTCGTACTTTGATATTAAAGCGAGCCGAGCCGATGTAGCCACATTCCATCATGAAATGTGGTCGGCTGCATACGAGAAACCACATATTTCATGGGTATCATTGGCTAGGTGCAGAATCCTCTAGTGGATGCTGTGAAATACTCACTGTTGCCGTCCTATCCACGCTATCTCTAAAATTAGTAGTTTTTTTCAACTGCTATCCCAGAACCCATTTGCCAATTTCAATATTAAAACACATACATGTATCAGATATATCGTTGCTGCGTTTTATACGAGGTGTGAGTTTTCTAAAGGGCCCACTTTGTACTAGAGGGAAAAGAGAAAGAAAAAGTTACATTGCATGGCCACCTTAGCAGGGAATCACCCTGTATGTGCTGAGATCCTCCATCCCAATGCTTACGACTCAATCCCTTTAGAGGATTCGGCTCATATAGTGCCCACTGCTCCAAGCACAATTTTAGCATGGTCCTGTAGCAGAAGCAGAATATATTTAGTTTACCCATGTGTTTACTCGCCCTTCTCTCTTGGTATTAGTACGCAGTGACACTAGATTGACCCCAGTGTTCTGGTACTCTGGTACTTGGCATTTGGGGCAGTGTATACAATTCTCTGGAATGGAGACCACTTCTTCACTTTATCGTTGTGGACACATGTCTTGCCGACTTTTACGCCCTTTCACAGCCAAACATATTTGCTGGAGGTCCACACAACCTCGAATAAGGGCAGGCAATATGTGTAGGACGTGCGTGCTTAGATTCGGGCTTGGGGCTGCACCGCACTCCATTGCCCAAGCCTGCTCCATAGCATATATTCGTGATTATATGTTGTTTGAAAACACAAACTGGAAGTGGTAAGCTTAATCTTTACCTATATATAAGATTTTATAGTCCAAAAAGTGTCCGACCGTCCGCTAAAATCTTTTTAGTTGGTTAAAACATAAAACTCTTAAGCTTCAACACGGGTTTGAGTGACTTGCTCTGTAAACTCCTTTTGATCTTGTGCGGCATCTGACCTCATCGGTGAAACCAGGGCGACAAGCTGTTATTGTAGTGGTCACAGGTCTCCACTAGATATCTCCACTGGTTCAGCGCGAGAGCTGCTCTCGTTGTCGGTCGACTCGATAACTTCCATGGCGTCATCATGGTGGTCATCACCGGCTGCGCAACACTCTTAGGATATTTATCTATGAGCATCTATTGAATGAGGTCATATAGCTCTTCTAGCAGTCATGCAATATTTGTGGATTTATTTTATAAATTAATTTGTCTTATGAACATGCGTAAGCAGTAGTATTTGGGCCACAATGGACCCAGTCTGTATAGACTGATTCAAGAGACTGTATCAGTGCTAAGGGCCCCAAGAACCATGCAAGCCAGATCATTCTTAATAAAAAGTTCTTAATGCTATGCATACGCAATAAAGCAAAACTGAACAGCATCATTTCTCTTCTTACTTGCCTATTGAATTTCTCAAATGAATATTACCCGCAGCACTACTGCCATAAAGACATCACTTGGTGGTATTGGCTTCCGTGATTCTATGTTTCCCCGCCTAGAGCAATTTGTACACAGCGTCAATATCATCAAAGAGCATGCATACATGCTTGCACGATGGATACTACTCCATCAACTAGCTGATGATGATACCTTTGACCCTGCAAAATTTGTGAAAAAGGGATTCTCTCGTTCCATTTATTTATTTATATATCACAATCTGAAGGCGAAGACTGTCATATCTGCCGAGGACTTCGTCAACCGGAAGGACAAGTCAGAACTGTCGAGCGCAGATTTCGGTGATGTAGCTAGATACCATATTTATGATTATCTATTACATAATGGCGATATCCAGCTACATGGTGTATGCGAAATGAACCAGGTGGCGACATACGTAGATACCGAGCTAATGACAGCATACAAGAACAACATTGTGTTGCACTATGACACTTGCCTACAGCGGATTCTGGCCAAATTGATTTATATTTGCCACCACAAAAACACACTGCACAGTACAATGGGCAATGTGTCCAAGGCTGAGTTCAATGACGCATGTCAAGTGTGTATTTATACACCTGCACAGAAGCTCCGCCAGGCAGTTGCCTCTAGGCACCCTGATCTCAGTGTGCTCACCCACCGATGCTTGCAATCTACAACAAGCTGGCACCAGTCCTTAATGCCTATGATGCCAAGTACAGATTCGCCAAAGGCAGCCGATACTATGATGCCAAGGTAAATCCACTTCAGCATCTGCATGCATACATTCGTCTATGCCAGCTTATTGAGAATGAGCAGCTTGGCAAGTCTCCCCCAATGCTTGCCTCTGCGGACATCATGGATCCCAGGCCATGTGCGCTTAGACAAGCAAATAATCAAGCAGGTGTTTGTTTCGAAAACACATGAGGAGGTTACCAAGATCAACGCAGCAAAGAGGGCAGCAACAGAGGCAAGGAAAGCAGCAGAAAAGGGCGAAAATTTGGCCAAGAAGGCTGCACGCGAAGCAGCGAAGATGCCATCGGATGCAACAGAGCCACTGCAGCAACTGCAGCAACTGCAGCAGTAGCAGCTGATTCATTTGCAGGTGCATCGGCTGCTGCAGCAGACATTCCGGCATGTTCCCAACCCGCGGCCCTACCAGAGATCGAAGAACCCAACTGTGAAGTGCCATGGCCTTCTCCGCTGTACAAGCGAGTCATGTAAGCGGGCCATGGCACAATACAGGCGGGCCTATTCGTCTCGGCTCTTGAACCGCGATCTCGCAGCAATTCTAAACTTCAGGCTCATTTTCCAGTCACTCTGTGATTCAGGCAGTATTCCTGAACGGTTCCGTCGTTCTACGGCCATTTCTGCCAATGCTTTGGCACCACCCCTGCAACAAAGAACCCGTGCAAGAGGCGTGCAGCAGCAGGCGACTCTGCTGCTAGCAGCAGCGAGCCAGCGCTGAAGCGTCCTGCGCTGAGCAGGCCATCAAGATGGGAGATGTCCATGATCGACATTGCACCAACAACCATCTGACACGTTCAAATGGCCGGTTCGCCGTGATGCTCTTATCGACGTGTCAACCCATGCTGACTAGCAGCCGAGCTCGCATCGCGAGCAGAGCAATTCTAGTAGTGAATAAGGCAAGTAGTTTCAAAATACGGGTTTATTCATTCAAGATGTAGGTGTCGACGGGTGAAGCTTTTCAATGTCGCTTGCCAAAGCGTCTCCTTCATCGTCTTCGCTGTCGTAACTATCCGCATCTTCCTCATCGCTGGAATCAATGGCCAGCCTAATTGGCAAATCACCATTTGCAACCATCAAGTCCTTGCCGCTGATGACCGCACTTGGAAACACGATCCAGTGCTTGGGCACACTGTACGACTTCTCCACCGTCTCTACTCCGCCAGGTGTGGCCGCATCTCTCACACTCGCTACCACCTTGATATCAGGCGGAGACTCGATTGGCGCTGGCATTTGTGCCTGGAACTCCGCGCTCTGTGTGCTCTGGCCAGCAACCCGTGGATGCCGCAGCTCCCAGCCGCACGCATGGGCAAGATATGCCACAATGTCGTCAGCATCGCCCAGTAGCTGCACATCAAAGTTGAAGTGCAGAATTGGCGTCTTGTTGATGACAATCTGCGGAACTGTATGTGGCAAATGCCCCATGATGTCGGAAACCGGTGCCACCTTCAGACTACTACCCATGACCAACAGCAGGTCAACCTTCTCGCGGTCGGCCAGCAGCGCTTCGTCAAAGGCATCCGGCAGCTTTTCACCAAAGAATGTAATGTCTGGCTTCATTACGCCGCGCTGCATCCCATAATCGCCATCGTCCTCGTCATCATCCTCGTCGTCATCATAGCCGCTTACCAAAATCCTGGTTAGAGATCGTTGTGCCCTCAGGCATGACGCTCTTCGGCTTGGTGGATTGACTCGGCTGGTCGTTGCACTTTGGGCAGTAAGCAATCCGCTGCACCATGATATCTCCTTCCAGATCCTTACCGTCGCACTTGTATCCGCACTTGATACATGTTGCTGTCGCAAACGACCCATGGCAGTTCAGCACGTTCTTGATTCCTTCTACGTGCTCCAGCGTATCGATGTTCTGCGTATAGTTGCGCAGCAGCTTCTCCTTGTCCTCAAGCATCTTCACAAACGCATGCGATGGTGCTGGAGTGAAATTGGATGGAAACAGTTCCTTGGCAAACGAGTAGAACAGCTGGGGCATCATCCGGAAATACTCGATATCAAACATCTGCTGAGGGTCATCCAGGCCGTATTCGTCGTTGAGCCGAGTGTATATTCCCGTCGGCGACCGGAAATCAGGAATACCACACGAAACACTGACGCCAGCACCGGTCAAAACCATGATGCGCCGAGACTGCTTCAGTAGCTTGATGACGTCCTCCAGCGAGTTGACAGAGGGAAGCTTTGGCCGGTTACGGTAGAATCGCGTCAAGTAGTGCTTGAGGAGCGGCAGCAGCTGGAAATCAGGCACAGTCTGGATAAGCGATGTGGGTGCCGCAAACACGTCCAGCAACGATCGGACCGAGATGCCCTTGCTGACCAGATACTCCTGGATGAACCCATTGATGCCCAGCACATGCGCCTCGCTGCGGATAATTGCCTTCTCAGGCATCGCCAAAGCGCATGTACGTGTCGTCAATGATCTCGTGTGATGTGTCCGGCAGCGGGGACGGCGCGCAGCTACCGTCGACGTTTAGCAATTCCTCGTCCTCCTCTCCAGCATCAGTGGCAACGCTGTTGCCAGATGTAGAGCCGCCAAAGTCGCCATCCTCCTCGTCGCTGTCTTCATCCGTGTTTTGATGGGTGTGATTGTCATCCGCACCCGCGGGCTTTGTCTCATCGCCTGGCAGACCTGCGGCGGTGTCTAGGCGGTGGCGTTTTGAGCTCTTGAAGCGGCCGAGCTCGTCCTTGTCCAACTGCTCTGGTCCGTTAACCGATTCGGAGCGTTTGCGACTACTCGAGTTTGCCTCGCTGTGGTCGCTAAGCTCAACAGTTGCGCCCTGGACGCTATGCTGGGCCATTTGATTATATCGCGCAAGTACTGGTGGTGAGAGGAGCAAGGGAAAGCAGGCGAACAGCAGGCGAGCGCGTCCAAATTGAAATGCTGAAAAAGTTAAATTATGAAAATCGCAGGTCGAAAAAAGACTTTTCAGGAGAAAAGGACGAATGGACGCGATTTGCCTGTTTTGGCTGGAAAGCCCCCTGCCGATTTCCCGATTCTTGCAAACAGGCGAGCCAGCAGCGCATGTCCTGGGCATGGTGGCGCAGCGTTTATTTGAAGACCATCTGTGAAATGAACCGGAACATATAGTCGTCAATGTGGCCGATCTCCTTCGGCCTCTTCCTGCTCACCGGCGTCGCAGGCATTTGCATCTGATGGCTGCTGCGGAGCACTGGACTCGGCCTTGCCTCCAGCTGCCTGCAGAGCCGTGCGAAGGCTCCTCGCCCAGATCAAGCGCATCCGCCTGCTCGACTTCCTGGATAGCAGTCCGCAACGCCGCTGTATCGGCCTCGTCGTCCTCAGCAGCACACACAGCCTGGGCTGCCTTCGCGGTCTGACATTACGTGACCACGAGCAGCAGGCTGCACCTGGTGAGGCTGTGGCCGAGCGGATCCCTGACTGCGCCAAAACAGTGGACGCCAGGTCATACCAGTCTCCAACGCCCAATGTCGTGTTCGCACCTGCCATCACCGCTTCATCCCCGACAGGCTGCTGCTGCTTCGGACCCATGGTCTGCGAGTGGTCAAAGTGGCCGTCCTGGATAACAACCTGGCTTAGCCAGCGCTTCTCACACTGCTTCCTCCAAATGGCCTCCTCAACCAGTGCGCTCGCTGATCATGCGGTAGATGTGTACCTCACGCTGCTGCCCGATCCGATGGCACCGGTCCTGGCACTGCGCATCCATGGCATGGTTCCAGTCGCTGTCGTAGAAAATAACCGTGTCTGCACCAGTCAGGTTGATGCCCAGCCCGCCGGCTCGCGTGGACGAGATAAACACAGACCAGCGCGGATCATGGTTGAACTGCTCGGTCAAGTGCCAGCGCTGCTCGACGCGCGTAGCACCATCCAGCCGGAGATACCGGTAGCCATGGAGATTCAGCCACTTTTCGAGGATATCCAGCACCTTGGTCATTTGCGTGAAGACCAGTGCCCGGTGCCCCTCGTGGACCAGTCGGCTCAGCAGAGCGTCCAGCGCCTGAAGCTTGCCGCAGTCGTACTGCAGCAAGAACGGCTCGGGGAATGCAATCTGCTGTCGGATCTGCAGATCGCGCAAAAAGCCTGTCTGCTTGAGTACTCGACGCTTTAGATGTAGAATGGAAGGTTGCACCTCCTTGAGCCAGCGCTCGTCGCGATCAGCTGTGCGTAAGTGCGGGTAGATGGCTGCATTATCCGATGCAGAGTTGATGACGACAACTGGCGGCGTGGCGAAGACGTAGTTTTTGAATGGTGCTCTTGTACCGCACAACACGCTCAGGACTGGTGAGAATCAGATCCCGCACCAGATCGCATGACTGCTCGCGCAGGGTCGGCACCACACGGCAAACATTCAGTACCCCGGCTCCGTATATCGGCTGCGATCCACAGCCATGCACGCGCCGCATGTTTAGCTCGGCTAATCGCATCCACACATCCTCAGCTCGAAGTGCACGCTGGCTCTCAGCAAAATCTGTGTTCTGCTCAACCGACCTGTACTTTGACGCATACGGCTGCATTTCCAGCTCGCCCCAGGACATCGCCTGTTTGCCCAGCGCAATCTGCGCCTGCCGCAGTCCATTTGCGATCATCCTTGGCGCTGCATCCAGCCTCCGCGTAGACTCACATGCCATAGCATCACGCGACGCCTCCGTGCGTGTCAGAACAAGTCCCAGCTGAGAGGCTGTGCTGCCAGAAAACGGATTGTGATGATCGTGGCCCAGCATGCGTCGAATAAGTCTCTCGGATGTGGCCATAGGCAGCAACATCGGACCCAGATACTGCCCAGCTGCTCACAATCGGGCGGGTCTCAAACAGGTCCGGGTGGTTGCACACCTTGCGCAGCTGCATCAGGCAGCTCATGACGCCCAGGTATGCACCGGACCGCAGCGTCTCGCGGGTCTTTGCCCGCGACATGAAGTCATCGTACAAGAAGCGCTGGCGCTTCGACAGCCGGCAGTACACAACATGCTCCACCTTGTTTGGCAGCTGTGTCTCCACGTTCTGCTTGAGCCGGCGCAAAATGTGTGGCCGCAGAACCACATGCAGCTTTTGCACCGCCATCTGAGCCTCGCTCTGGGTCTCCGAAACGCCACCAAAATCCATTCCGCCACCCTCGAGAAATTTTGTTGTGTTGAAGGCAACGCCGCTGTCGGACACTGAGGGCACTGCCAGCTCGGGCTGTGTCGCCAGCAGCTTCTCCAGTGGCTGCGCAAACCACTCACGGAACCGGTCAAGCGCAGCAAACCCGCTGCCATCCTCGGCCCCCTCGTTGCCCGCAAACTCCTGCGGCATCAAAAAGTACAGCAGCGACCAGAGCTCAACCAAGCTATTCTGCAGCGGGGTGCCTGTCAGCAGCAGTCTGCTGGCCGATCGGAATGTCAGCAGCGTCTGCCACCGCTGGCTGCGAAAGTTTTTGATGGCCTGTGCCTCATCCAGAATCATGTAGTACCACGCCTTGCGCTTGAACACCAGACGCGTCCTGGATTGCGAGCTGGTAGGACGTCACGCACACATGGAACGCATTGGGCTTGCTCCACCCCTTGCGCTTAAGTTTGCGCTCGGCACGGACTGCCGTAGTACGTCAGCACCTTGAATCCAGGCAGCCAGCGGTGGAACTCCTGCTCCCAGTTCAATAGCACGCTTGTGGGCACGACTACCAAATGCGGGCCCCAAATGCCCTGGTGGCACGCCAGGTGGGCTAGCAGAGATATGGTCTGAATGGTCTTGCCCAGCCCCATCTCATCAGCCAGGATTCCGTTGATCTGGTGCTGGTGCAGCGACGCCAGCCAGTCCAGCCCTTGCCTTTGATACTCTCGCAGCTGCCCGCGCAACAGAAATGGCTGCTCCACCATATGTGTCTCTGCCTTGCTGACTAACTCGGCGATTCCGATCTCTGGTGACGGCGGGCTGCCGCTGTCAGCAGCATCTTGGCCGTCCATCTGCCTATACTTTGCCAGCAGCGACTCGATCGGCACATCCTGGTCCAGCGCCAGAGCTGACATCTCATCGTCAGAATCCTCTTCAGACTCACTCTCAAGCTCAACATCGGACTGCTCTGGCGACACCACCGCCTCCTCCGTCGTCGTCGTCGTCGTCATCATCGCTCAACAGAGCACTGCTGGGCGGCAATGGGCTGCTCGGCAAGGGATGCAGCATTGGACGCCTGTTCAAAGTATCGTCGGCGCAACTCCTTCAACATCAATCTGCTGCTCGGCAATCATCGCCTTCAGCTCATCGATCCTGAATCTTCTTCAGACTCGCTGCTGAACTCCACATCAGACTGCTCAGCAGGCACCTGCGCATCCGTATCGCTGGCATCTGACTCCATATCCATAGTCCTCTGGTCGTTTGTAGCCTCATCATCTGACAGCGCAGGAGTCAGACGAGGACAGCTCTGAGGGATCAACACTGCTCTTGCCCGCCGCGCTAAAGTCGGCACGCTGTTCCTCCAAATACTGTGTCGACCGCTCCAGCATGTTGAACAGAACACGCTTGTCCTCCTTACTCCTCTTCTCCTCTTCCTCCATCTGCCGCTGGTCGTTCATGATCGACTCAACGTATGCCCACCTTTTCATCACCTGCTGGACCGTCCACTTGGCCAGCCTCCGGTGGTTCTCGCGCTCCGCACGCTCAGCCTGCTCAGGCCGTTTGTAAATACCAAGCTTCGCTTTCCTCTCATCGTCCTGTTTCTCAATTAGCCGGCTGCACTTGCGCAATGCAGCCCGTTGGCGCCGTCCAGTAACTGACACCTCCTTGTGCCGGTCTATGATGTCGGTTAGAAGCTGGTCCCACCATGTCCTTGCTCGCCGTGGCTCACGCGCACGCGATGCTGGTACCGGAAGTGGCGGTGGTAGAACAGGGACAGGTAAACGGACTGATTTCTTCACACTCTGGTGTCTGGTCAGACTCGGCATTGCTATCGGCGTGGTGTTCTGGATCGCGAAGCATGCCTCTGCGCCGTAGCTCCGAAATGCGGTTGATTTTAATCGCAGTATCGTCTACCCATTCTTTGTGACGCTCTTGCATTAAGCGCAGGAGCTCGCCACGGCTTGGCCCGACTTCCTCAGCCTTGACTGCGCGATCCGGGACCGTCATTGAACCAGCTTTCAGCCTGGCAGGCTTCTTTTTTACCTTCGGCCGGCATGCTAGAACTGTTTCATCTGGCAATGTGATGAATGACTGCAGGTAGCTGTTGAGTTTTGTGCTTTCGCCGACAGCTCCCTCCTCGCGTGCCTTGCGCACAAACACCCAGGGCTCCACCATGCTTGACATGACCCCGACTGGTGTTGTCTGTCCCGTCATGACAGAGTCGGTCATGCTACTTGCTGCCGATATCTTTCTTCGCGTCGAGCCCCCACGACCCCTGCCTCGCCCACGGCGCTTCACCCCTACCTCTACAGGCTGGCTCAGTGCGGAGTTTGTGTCATCCGAATCCGCTGAATCTGCTGAGCTCTCGTCCTTGGTTGCGGCCCTGGCCAACGAGCCTCGTAGACGGACTAGATCGCGAGCCGCGGAGGCCTGGTGGGCGACCACGGCGCCGCCCGCGAGTGTTGTAACCGGAGGAATGACTGGACATGAATGAGCTGCTCTGTGCATATGGCTGAGCCCAATTGGCAGCTGCGGAAATTGTATGGAATGAACAAGTGGAAACCAAAACTAAAAGTGTGTGCTGCAAAGAAGAAGTGAGGAATATAGAGCTCGGAAAAATTCGGTGTGGCTGTGGATGGGAGCTGATCATTCCAGCATGGATCATTGATGCGATCAGATCTAGAAATGCAAGGACAGACATGCATGATAGCCAAATACATGTAGTCAGTAGCTTGCCAACCACAAAGTGGCCGTGGCTAACAGCTAAACCCAACGCGCAGCCAGGATCAGAGATACGTATCCATCTTTGGTACTGTATGTACAGCCAGGTATTAGGCATAGCGACTCTAGGTGCCAGATGATTTTGGAAGTGTCTACAACGGAAATCCACAAAGAGATATCAGTATATGTACACATGCAATACGATGCCGTTGTTGTTGAATAATGATATCTCGCGATAGCTGCATGAATAAAGAGGGTATTGGCGAAAATGAAGAAAAACTCTGAGCGCTGGTCCATGGCCAATCTATGCCACTCTAAAGTTAACTAAGCGTCATACGCAAAGTTTATAAATAAGAAATGAGAAAATACTAAGCGGCTAAACGATAAAGAAGAAGAAAAGAAAAGTTCTTTCAGAGAGAAACTCAACGTCACATAGTTGGTGGTCTGTCTAGTCAGGATTTTCCTCACAGTGACTTGCCGATTTGGGACTAACTGTGTAGTCCATCGACTAGTGTCCAACACACTCCAGCCGCTCGCTGGCAGTGCCGGAACAGCGGGGATAAAAGAGGTATTTATGCTCTGTTACCATTCTGTGTGTTTCGGCTTCTTGCACTGATACACTATTTTGCCCTTACCCCTATGCTGGCCGTTGACAACAGTGGTGATAGTGTCTGTTGACATTCGGGTCCGGAGTCCCCTGCGCCACCATAGACAAGGCCGAAACGCATACTTACAAAGCCAGACAGACGACCAGCTTTCTTCTTCCCTCAGTCATTTTTTGGAGAAGTTATTTTGTTCCATATATTCGATAACCACTCATTCCCAAGTTAACAGTGTCTAAACTGCCTACTTTTCAAACTTGCATTGTTTGCTGTAGTCACTTGTAGCCATATCGGCCAAATATCAGGAGAACTAGGAAGAGAACTAGGAAGAGAACTGGAAAAAGAACTAGGAAGAGCTACGAGCGCCTTAGTAGCCAGATCCCTGGATCTGTTCTAGGGGCTCGTCACTAGGCTAGTGGCTGAACAGGCTGGTACATTGGTCCATAACCTCGCCCTTGCATTTGCACAGCTCGCGATCCCTTAGAACACGGCGAAGTATCTTCCCAGTCGGGGACTTGGGGATTGCGTCAACTAGCTCAATACCACCACGGAGCTTTCTTGTAGTAGATGACACGGGTAGACAGCCACTCTTGTATATCATCAATGACAGCAGACTTGTCTGCCTCGGGTCTGACAACGATATAACCCTTGGGAAGCTCTGTTGCCTGCTTCTCATCGTAGACGCCGATAACAGCACAGTCCAGAACCGCTGGGTGGTCAATCAGACAGGCCTTCCAGCTCGGCTGGTGGTACCTGGAAGCCCTTGTACTTGATCAGCTCCTTCTTGCGATCGGTGATAAAGACGTTCCCGCTGCTGTTGATGTATCCAATATCGCCTGTGTGTAGATATCCTTCAGAGTCGAATGACTCTGCTGTCGCAGTTGGATTGTTCAGGTATCCTAGCATGATGTTGGGCCCACGTACACATAACTCTCCCACCTGTCCTTGTTCGACCTCTGCATCTTGGTCATTGACAACCTTTGCAGTGATGTTTGGCAGGAGGCGACCAGCTGAGCCGAACACGGTTTCGCCAGAGTGCACGCGGCAGAGCACCGGGACTTGTCTCCGACATTCCATAGTCCTGAATTACTGGGAATCCAAGCGTGCGCTGGGCCTCCAAGTGGAGCTCCTTTGTCAGCGGCGCTGCCCCGCTCGTGACGTAGACGATGCTTGACAAGTCGTATTTTCTGACGGCTGCGGTCTTCGTGAGCGCCAGAATGAATTGGTGGGACGATGTGTGCGGTGCGAGCACGGTACTTTTGAACAAGCTGGCAGAAGGGCTCTAAGCCAAACCGCGACATGACCAACTACTGCAAATCCCTGGCAGAGATGGAGGTGGAGGTGGCATGTGAACCCGTATATATGGAAGAACGGAGTGATGGCAATCATGTGGGGCACTCCGTCAGTCGCTGCCATCCGTGCGCAAAGGGGCTTATCGCTGTCAAAGGCGGCCATGTTCTGGACAATGTTTGCGACAATGTTCCTGTGGCTGAGCATGATGCCCTTTGGTTTTCCGCCTGTCCCAGAGCTGAACACGATAGCTGCGATGGTGCGGGATGCCTCCTCCTCGGTATTGATGTAGATCTGCGGGAAGGCGTCTGTGCAGAGAATGTCGAAGATGGAGTTTTCACCATCGATCGTGAAAACATGGCACTCTGCAATCGCTGCCTCAGCGTGTTTCACGGCCGCCTTGATGTCTGCCAGCTTCTCATTGGTTGTAACGACCATCCTGGCACCAGAGAGCGTTATGTGGTTTGCAAGTTCGCGCACAGTATACAGCGGATTGGCCGTGGTGACCATTGCACCGAGCATCTGCACGCCAAGCGTGATTGCGGAATAGTAAACAGTGTTTGGCAGCACCACAAGAAGTGTGTCGCCACGAACAAGACCAGCATTGTTGGCTAGTCCCGAAGCAATCTGAGTCGTATGTCTCTCCATCTCTGGTGAATGACAGCGTTGTTTGCTCGCTGACAAGGAATGGCAGTCCTGGGGTCTCGGCCAAACACGGTCTTGCTCTTCACTGTCTCAAAGAAAAACGTCGGCAAATCGACTGCCGGAACATTGATGCTGGGATGGCTGGAGGTAAAAGGCATGTTGTGAGCTTGAAATTATATCTGCAATCTGGACGGACAGAGCTGAAAACGTCAAGACGAGGTCTCGGTTTGCGCGCATAGACTCGCACTGCCTTTCACCCATGGCCTCCTACATACCTGTTCCCGTATAATAGGCCAATTACATGTTGCGGAAGCAGGAGCAAAAGGAGGCGTAAGTCACATTCCCATGAGTGAAGCGCTCCAGGATTCGCACACTCGAACAATTGCCATATGTAAAATGGTATGTGAATGAGGCACACACAAGGTATAGTATAGGAGGCACCACGCAAACAAATTTCCTGCAGTCCTGTCTTGCCGCATCATGTAGAGAAATATATATCCTTGATTTTTGGTATTTCTGTATAACTGAGTATAATAATTGCTCAATGATAAAGCTGCACTACCCTCCGTCGCCCCGCACTCCAGGCACCGACATCACTACGCGTTTTGGTCGAGTACAAAGCCTGTTGATACTCTTTGGCGCTGCACGGTTTGTCTGCTGCTAACAGATATGCGAGCAGTTTATGAAGTGGAATACATATCACGTTTGCCTTTTAAATCCAGTTGATATTGTCAAATGCTTCGCACTAGAATTTTGCTCGTTGTCACCTTTTACCCATTTTGTATGATGAGGCTTCGTCCCAGCGCCACGAAATTGGTGTATAATGCTGCAACAGTAGAAACAATTAGCACCCCCAATATTCTCATGCTGGATCTTCTCTATCAGTGGAGTTGAACGCTCACATCCTTTCTCGAGCTTGTGTGCTTGTTGATACGAGCAGTAGTCCCCATCCTCCTTTGCCTGTGGGAGGCGGCCTGTGGGGGACAGTCTGTGTTCCACCACTTGATTTCTGGCCAGGCAACTTGAAGGCATGTAGGCTTGCGCTATATAATTCAAGGAGCTCAACCTCTGATGCGAAACTGCCCAGCATAGATCCATATCTCGCAGCTTCACATTTATTCCAATTTATTTACTTACACCTGTACCAGATTCATATATTATGTCTCCTTGCACTATCACCCTCGAAGGGATATCCATTGAAGTCCCTGCCCATTGTCAGGATGATGCAAAGGTGCTGGCCAGCAAATATATTTGCGACAGAAGTGCCAGCGAAATGGAAGCTCTGGCCTCGTTTGTCAGCTTCTGCTCAGCCGAAAATCTGGATGTTGCCATCGCTGCCTTCGAGCACCTCCACAAGTCTCACTGTCTAACCGACAACATCCATGTTGTTGTTCAGCAGCACAACCTCTCGCAGCAGCAAGCGCGTGTCGTCATCAAGGGCTACTACTCAGTTTGGAACGAGCTTGAGTCGCGCAACATGCTCCCAGAAGTTCCGCGTCCAGCACTGTTTAGCAAGGCTCATGCGGCGGCAGTAGCTATATTCGGAGGCCAAGGCGGTACTGATACCTACCTGGGCGAGGGTATGTGGATGCTAGATGTATATCGCCCGATTCTCGTTGACTTTGTCGAGACAATGTCCCGGTTTGTCAAGGGTGTGATCTCACGACGAGAGGCTGGCTGCTGTCTATACCCAACCACTTGATGTGGTCAGCTGGATAACGACTCCTGCCACTCGTCCATCGGCCCAGTACCTCGCTCTTACGCCTGTCTCCATAGTCACAGTGGCATTTGCCCAACTGATGCACCTGATGGTCTTGTACAAGACACTCAGGCTTAGTCCAGGCGAACTTTCTCAGTCATTCAAAGGTAAGTCATCTTGGTGTACCATCTAGACATTACTCGATAGTGGCTCAAGCTACTAACACGCGTGCAACTACCTTATAGGAGCTACTGGTCCATTGCCAGGGACTTGTATTCGCTACATTGTTCGCTTCGTTGACTGATGAACAGTCTTTTTATGATTCCTCCAAGAAGGCGCTGGGCATTCTGATGGTGGCAGCGGCGAAAAACCAGCTCTGCACGCCTTCCTATGTGCTTAGCACCGAAACTGTCGCAGAGTTTGCCTCACAGGAGGGCAAGCCTTCGCCAATGGTGTCTATTCGCGGAATCCCCAGGCCGCTGCTTGAGTCTCTGATCGCCAAGTGCAACCAGCACAGCACCCAGCAATCCGACAACGTTTATCTGGCGATCGTCAACGGGTATGACAACTTTGTTGTCACTGGTCGCACGACAGCCGTTGTGCAGTTCGTGAGAATGGTGCGCGCATGCTGCGCCAACCCAGACGATGATCCAGTCGCGTATCCCACCCTCACAGCGCAGGCCAGTCGTGTCAACCAGCTTTTTGAGCATCAATCTTGTTGGTCATTGCGAGCTCCTGCAGGAGTCAGCAGACTGGGTGTATCCTGCCGTTATCGAGGAGGGATGGCACTATACGACTGACGACCTGAACATCGCCGTCTACATCGGAGCCGATGCTCACTGATCTTCGCTCAGAGACCGATGTGACACGTGCAATCGTGGACAAGCTTGTGTGTCAGTCCAGATTGACTGGCTGTCCATGGTTTCTAGCGCCGACGCAACGCATTTTGTTGACTTTAGTCCCGGAGGCTTCAGTGTTTTCTCGCGACTCACTCAGAGCATTGTCGAGGGAAAGGGGGCAACCATCATCAGTGCTGGCTCGCTGACTGCAGATCCCAAATCGCGCTTCGGGTCCAAGGCCGATCTCTTCAGATCAGAGCTTGATCGCGTCTTCTCTGCACCCAACTGGCAAAACGACTATACCCATCAGCTAGCTCCGCTTTGCTCTTGACGGGAGAATATGCATCGACTCACCTCTGGCGCGCATTCTTGGTTTGCCGCCAGTTATACTTGCAGAGGCATCCCCACCCGTCTCCGACGACCGGTTTGTGGCAGAGGCTAGCAATGCCGGGTACCACGCCGAGCTGTGTGGTAGCTATATGTACCGCGAGAAGGCGTTCAGGGAGAGAGTCCACGGAGTCCACGCATTGCTCACACCTGGCCATGGCTTTGCCGTTAACATTGACTATGCGAACCAGAAGCAGTGGTCATTCCAGTATCCGGAGATCCTGCGCATGCGTAGAGACGGTGTTCCAATCACTGGTCTCACCATCAGTGGCGGCGTTCCGTCAGTTGATACCGGCAGTGCAATTATCCGCGACCTTCAAAAGTCTGGGGATTCGGACATGTTTCGTTCCACCCGGACTCAGCACTTGGTATCCGTCAAGTCCTCCAGATTGCCGTCGCCAGCACAGGAGTTCCCGGTACTGATACAGTGGATGGGCAGGCACACCAGTAGCCAAAAAACAGCCAGGGATTTCCACCAACCAATTCTCGAGACATACAGCGAGATCCGATCGCTGCACAATGTGCTCCTTGTTCTAGGATTCGAGTTCCAGCGTAGCTGAGGAGGCACTGCCATACTACACTGGCGAATGGAGTCTCCAATTCGACTGCGCACGTATGCCAGTTGACGGTGTGATTCCATTGTCGAGCCAGGTGACAGACACTGCTGGGGTATCCCCAGCCGACAACATCAGCCCCTTCCTTGGTGCATGATGTCCGGGTCATTAAGGACCTGGATCAGCTTGTAGTTCTCGCACCCGGTAGATATGCATGCCAGCCTGCTCACCACGCATCGGGAGCAGGATCACCAAGCTACTCTGCAGCTATTCTGCACGGCCATGGTTTGGCATAGATGCAGATGGAGGCGTGGTGGAACTGCAGGACATGACATACATGGAGGTCGTCGATCGCCTTGTTGAACTCATGTATACCCGCCATCAATCGCAGTGGCTCGACTTTTCCCATCGCAACCTGGTCGGTCGCTTCCTGAGGCGTGTAGAGGACAGGTTTGCTGAGTCTGTGAACATGCGCATCTTCCAGAGATACGGCCACATTGACGACCCTGCTGAGGCGGTTGAGGAGCTGGCGTATGTGTACCCAGATATCAAGCTTCACCCTGTGCAATGCCGAGGATTCTGACTACCTTGTTGAGATCTGCAAGCGTGCCGGAACCAGACCAGTTCCATTCATCCCTGCTTTTGGCGAGGACCTCTGGGTATGGATTATGAACGAGGATGATTCGGCAGCCGGAAGCTCGAGTTTTGCTGGCGATAGCGAGTCTTGGACCAAGTTTGTCAGGGGACGACAAGCCCTGGGTTTAAACACCGAAATGACTTGGGCACATACCCAAGACATGGCCAATAGCATTAAAGCCGTGCTTGTTGACCAGATCATCCAGAGCCAGTACGATGGCGATATTTCCAGCGTGCCATATGTGGAGTACATCGGTCTGGATATTGCGTCAGCGCCACCCGTCTCATCGGTCACATCAGCTATTAATCCGTCGGAACTCACATACGTGTTACCGGCCGAGAAGGCCCAGCTCCCAAGTGCTGATTCATGGTTGAGCACCCTGGCAGGCCCAGAGAAGAGCTGGCTTAGCGCGCTGCTGACCGCATCAGATATTATTAGAGGCACGAGGTGTGCCAGAAATGCTATCCGGCAGATTTTGAGGCCGCTTCCCGGGCATTCGGTAAAGATTACACTGGACAACGGGTTTCCATCCAGGCTGGAGGTTTTTGATCCTCAAGGAATGGCCGATGTCTCCATCTCCATCGACAAATCCCGTGCCATCACTGCGACTATCTTCCACCGCATTTTCGAAAACACCTTCGAGCTCGAACTTGTCTACAGGTATGAGCCGACACTGCCAATATCCCCAATAGTCGAGATTGGTGATGGTCGTCTTGAGAGAATCCAGAGCATCATAGTGGCAGCGCTGAAACTGGGGGCAGACATCCCAGATATTGAGGCTGTCGACGTGTCTCTTGATGCCGTACCTGTGAAGTGCGAGCCGTACGCTGTTACCGAGGGCCTTGTTCGTCGCCTGTGCAACAGTGTTCCCAACATGCCGGATAGCTACATGCGGCATTCGGACGGCACCCAACTTGCCCCAATGGACGTTCTGTTCTATGCTACCTGGCCTGGTTTTGCAGCCATACAAATGTCACCTGCGTTACACGATGGCGCATTGGACAACGTCCACCTCTACAACAGGTTTTCACTGTCAGAAGGTGCACAGCTGCTTCATGTGGGAGATATAGTGGACAGCGACATCCGCGTCACATCTCTGGAAAACACACCTATTGGGAGGAAGGTGACGCTTGTGTCTCGTCTGTTCCGAGATGGAGCTCAGTTCGCGACAATCGAGAGCGCCGTTCTCTCACGCAACGTATTTGCTGACTATTCTCAGACGTTCAAGGTTGTGGACGAGCCCGCCTCACGAGTAACGCTTGTGACCGCTGAGGACGTTGCTGTCTTGCGGTCCAAGGAGTGGTTTGTGTTCCTGAAATCTCCTGAGGATGAGCCATTGTCTGCTGGTCAAACCCTCGAATTCTCGATGAAATCGGTTTATCGCTACAAGTCCGACAGGCTTTTCTCGTCAATTCAGACAACGGGCACTGTTTATGCTGTGAAGGCCCGATGGTCTGCGCTGTCATGTTGCCGACATTGACTACATGAACTGTGACATTGCTGGAAACCCCGTCACGGAATATCTGAAGCAGGCGGCGACCCACGCTGAAGATACAGCGCTGTTTGACCATGAAGGGTTCCCCATTTGTATGGAAGACTCTACATGCAATTCGGCTGTAGATGCACCATCGGATAACTGGAGGTATGCCCATGTCTCAGGCGATTACAACATCATCCACACAAATCCCTACGTTGCCAACTACGTCGGATTGCCTGGACAGATCTGCCATGGCATGTGGACCTCGGCGTCGACAAGGGCGCATGTTCGAGCGGTTCGCTGCTAACGGTGACCCCAATCGTGTGCGCTCTTACCAGGCAGACTTTGTTGGAATGGTTCTGCCTGGAGACCAACTCGATACCAAGCTGCTCCATGTGGGCATGAAGCGTGGGCTTATGCTTGTCGCCGGGAAAACACTCAACCAGCATGGTGATCTCGTGCTGACCTTGCACAGCAGAGGTGGAGCAGCCCAAGTCGGCGTATATATTCACTGGCCAAGGGAGCGCAGTTTGCTGGGATGGGGAATGGATCTGTACAATTCGTCGGCAGTTGCACGGAAATGTCTGGAATCGTGCAGACACACACATGCGTGCCAAGTATGGCGTCTCGCTCTTGGAAATTGTCCGCGGGAATCCTAAGCAGCTACTAGTGAAGTTCAGTGGCAAGAAGGGGTCACAGATAAGGACAAACTACCTATCTCTAACTCGCACATTCGCTGGCAAGACGATGCAGCTTGTTCCGGGGATCACAAGGAAGGTCGCCCCACTACATTCACAAGTCTGCCAATGGCCTGCTTAACGCCACGCTGTTCACTCAGCCGATACAGACAGTTATGTCGCTGGCGCAGATTGCTGACATGCGCGCACACGGGAGTTGTCCAAGAGGACGCTCAATTTGCTGGCCACTCACTCGGGGAAATTGGGTCGCTAGCTGCAATGGCTGAAATTGTGTCTGTTGAGGACGCAGTCGACATTGCACTTTACCGCGGCCTGCTACTTCATGCATCTGTAGAGCGCGATAGGCCAAGGACTCTCGCAGTATGCAATGGTTTCAGTAAACCCAAAGAGCATTGGCAACGGGTTCAGCGAGACACATCTCCAAGAAATCGTTTGCCAGATCCGTAGCCACCGACAGGAGCTACTTGAGGTCATCAACTACAATGTTGATGGCATCCAATATGTCGTTACCGGCCATACGGACTCGCTCGAGGCAATGAAGAGAGTGATAGGCGCATTGGATCACGGAGCACGTTGTGTGTAGCGACCCAAGCAGCATGGCCACTATACGCTCGGTCCGTGCAGAGCGTGCTGGCGGAAACGATTGCTGGTGTTGCTCTCGAGAGCGGCAAAGGCACCACAGTAATCCCTGGCGTCGATGTCCCGTCGCACTCTAGCCAGCTTGTTTCCAGTGTGGACTCGTTCCGGGGTGTTCTTGTGCAGAGAATCCCGGTAACTGATTGTTTGCCCAAGAGGCTCTGTGGACGCTACATTCCAAACATGACAGGCACGCTGTTTAGCCATTTCGCTCGAGTTCATTCAGAGTGTTTATGATATCTGCAAGTCAGATGCCATACACTCGATACTCAAGTCTTGGAACGATTCCAAGTACGAGGAAAGCTCAGCAAGGGCGCAGCTTGCGCACACTCTCCTCATTGAGCTCCTGGCATTCCAGTTTGCCTCATCGGTGCGCTGGATCGGACACACAGAATACTCTGTTTAAATACTCCGCGATTACACGGCTGGTGGAGATTGGACCAAATGGCTCGCTGTGCCGTATGGCGCGCCAAACATTGACACCAGAGTATGGTGTTCGAAGGGAGGTGGAAGTTCTTCATGTTGGCAATGATAAGGACGAGGTGTATTTCCTAGGCGATCCTGAAAGCACAGACCCCGCTACAGCTGACGACATGTTGGAAAAGCCTGTGACGGAGTCAAAGCGTGAGTCCACCGCCCAGTCCAGTCGATAGCTCACCATCACTCATGGAAGCTGACACAGTGCAGCCGTCAGTGGCAGCTCAGTCAATTGAAGATGCTCCTCTCCAAGTGGCACATATTCTTCTCTCGGTTGTCGGGCAGAAACTGCGCAAGAGCGTGCTTGACATTCCATTGAGCAAGTCAGTCAAAGAGCTCGTTGCTGGCAAGTCCACGCTGCAAAACGAGATTGTCGGCATTATGCAAAAGGAGTTTGGGAAAAGCTTCCCTGACAATGTCGCCGAGAAGCCGCTGCAGGATGTTGCAAATAGCCTTGGGTCGATCGTGAGCTCGCTTGGGAAGCATTCAACAGCAGCCATCCAGCGCTTGTTTGCAGCCAAAATCCCAAGTGCATTCTCGCAGGCAAAGGCTCGAGCATATCTCAAATCGACCTATGGGCTTGGTAGGGGTCGACAGGATGCAGTTTTGCTGGTTGCAACCACTCTCGAACCAGCTAAGCGCCTAGAAGATGAGGCCGTGGCAAAGCCGTGGTTGGACGATGTAGTTCACAAGTATTCGACGCTTTCTGGGCTAGTGTTGTCAAGGGAATCTGCCCATGCGATTACTCCCCATGGCCACGCTTCGACCGTTGTCGATAGCAGAGAACTGGAGGCTCTGAAGAACACACAAAGCAGGCTGGCTCTCAGGCAGATGCAGCCTGCTTGCAGAGAGCATTGGTGTGAATCTCCGGGATGGAGCCAAAACAGTTGAGGAAATTAGTGAGAGGCTCTTGGAGCAGACCAAGGAGATGGAGCATATTCGTGGGGATATCGGTGATGATTTCATCCAGAAAACAAAGCCTCTGTTTAGTTCGCTGAAGGCTCGACGCTACAACTCGTACTGGAATTGGGCCCGCCAGGATGCCCTGCAGTGGATATACGACATTTTGTCAGGGAAAGAAGATGCCGACCAGGAAACAGTCTCAAAGAGGCTGCACATGCTGCGCAACCGCTCGACATCTGGGCTGATGAAAATGCTAGATGGAATTATCGCGACTTTGACTGGGTCCACAGATCCGCTTTCAGTGAAGGCGCTTGACGTCGCGGAAACAATGCGCTCAGAGTGCAAGGCGCATCTGACAACTGACCCAACATATCGGGAGCTCTCCAGATCCCTCCAGCCCCATACACACATTACCCAAAAGGGGGAGGTCATCTACTCTGAGCACCCCCGTGAAGACGAGCGAGACATCGTTGATTACGTTCGAAATGTGCAGACGAACAAGGTTCTGGGTGGACCTGATGTGTTCCTGTTTGGCAGGGAATTAGGCGAGCCCTGGACGTATAACAAAGACTTGTCAGCAATATTCTTTGACGAGCTGGAGTCAGTGGCTACAGAAGGGCTGACATTCAAAGGAAAGGTAGCCCTGGTTACTGGGTGCGGCAAAAACTCCATCGGGTCAGGGCTGGTTGAAGGGCTGCTTTCAGGAGGAGCGCGGGTGATTGCAACAACGTCGAGCTTCAACATGAAGTCGATTCGCTTTTTTGAAGAAATGTATCGCAAGTTTGGCGCCCGCGGCTCGGAGCTGGTGCTCGTTCCCTTTAACCAGGCCTCGGTCCAAGATGTTGAGCAGCTAATCGAGTTTATCTATGGCAAGGAGGGGCTTGCATCAGACATTGACTTTGTTGCGCCATTTGCCGCTTTCCCCGAGCACGGAAAGGACATGACCAGCGTTGACTCAAGCTCCGAGTTGACAATCCGCATTCTGCTCTCCAACTTTTACCGGATGTTTGGCCAGATCAAGGCAGCCAAAATCAAATATGACCACACGGTTGCGCCAACACTGATAGTTCTACCCCACTCGCCTAACCAGGGGCTTGTTGGCGACGACGGCTTGTATGGCGAGACGAAAGGCTGCTTTGCACACCCTCTACAACCGCTGGTACACCGAGTCCTGGGCGGACTACCTGTCGATCACCGGAGGTGACATTGGCTGGACGCGCAGCACAAACATGACATTTGGCTCCGGAAATGTGTTTGCTGACATGGAGAAGATTGGCTGGCGCACGTTCTCACGAGAGGAGATGGCGTTCAACGTTCTTGGCCTGTTGACCCCAACGATGGTCGAGCTTGCACACACATCGCCGGTCTACGGGAACTTCAATGGCAGCGTCCTGCGTGATCACCGAGTACGGGAAATCCATGCCGGAATTCGTATGGCAATTGCAGGAAAGAGAGCCGAGAGGAAGGCGGTTTTATCGGCGCTCAGTGGAGACGAGTTTGTCGAACTGCAGGAAGATGCCGGAACACTCGAGCACTTCCTCCACACCCACCCCCTTGCGAAACACCGTGCGAACAGCCCCAAGGTCAAGTCGTATGAGCAGCTGGCTCATCTGAGGGATCTAGAGGGAATGGTTGATCTAGACCGGGTTGTGGTGGTGACTGGGTTTGGTGAGGTTGGTCCATTTGGAAACTCAGCCCTGCGGTGGGAGAGAGAGGCATTCGGCGAGTTTTCGATTGAAGGATGCATCGAGCTGGCCTGGATCATGGGCTTGGTTAAGCACATCTCTGGCAAGCACCCAACAACCGGCGAGGACTACATTGGATGGGTTGATGCCCAGACTCTGGAGCCGGTCCATGATGCTGACGTCAAGGCTAATTACGAGGAGCAGATTCTCGCACATACTGGAATTCGTGTGCTTGAGAAAGACATGTGCGAAAGCGGTGATCCATACCAGAAGAACTTTGTTTCTGAGCTGCAGGTCGATCAAGATCTGGAACCGTTTGAGACGACTGAAGAGGAGGCTGCCAATTACAAGCGTAGCCATGGCAAGAGAGTCGACGTGTGGGCGAATCCCGACGGCTCATGGTCAGTCAAGCTGCTCAAAGGCGCGATTATTCTTGTTCCGAAGGCACTGAGGTATACACGGTCGGTTGCTGCCCAGCTTCCAACCGGATGGGATCCCGTTAGACTGGGGTTGCCTCAGAGCCTTGTCGACCAGATGGACCCAGTAAACATCTATGCGGTGGTGGCCACAGTTGAGGCACTGGTTCGGTCAGGAATCACCGACCCCTATGAGATCTACCAGTACTTCCACGTTTCTGAGGTTGGCCACTCGATCGGGTCATGTCTCGGCGGGGCCACAAGTCTCCTGGATGTCTTCCGCACACGCTGGTCTGACAAGACCATGAACACAGAGACCCTTCTTGAGGCGACTATCAACACGACCAGTGCGTGGATCAACGTGCTCCTCTTGTCAGCCTCTGGTCCGCTGAAGCCGACTGTGGGTGCATGCGCAACTGCAGCAATGGCTCTGGACATCGCAGTCGAGAGCATCATGAATGGCAAGGCGAAGATGATGGTGGCCGGTGCGGTCGACGCGTATTCGCAGGAAACGGCATACGAGCTGGCGGTGATGGACGCAACAGGCCAATGCTGATGATGAGCTTGCACACGGACGCTTCCCAAAGGAAATGTGCCGGCCATGCACTTCTACCAGAGGAGGGTTCACCGAAGGGTATGGTTCTGGCATTTCCATCCTGATGTCGGCATCAACAGCGAATCGAAATGGGCGCACCAATCTACGGCATTATTTCGCTGACAACCACTGCAACTGACAAATCAATCCGCAACTTCACTGCGCCTGGCCAAGGAATTCTGACGATGGGCCGTGAAAACCACGGCTCCGGTAATTCGCCGCTTCTGGATATTGGCTTCCGACGCCAAATGTTCAACGGACAGATGGCATATATCGAGAGTGTGGCCGCTGAGGGTGAGCGCACAGGCAGACCAATTCCGCAGGACGAGCTGCTGCGTCTGAAAAGGGAAGCACAGAATACGTGGAGCAACGGGTTCTATAAAAACAACCCGTCCATTTCGCCGCTTCGTGGCGCGCTGGCCATGTGGGGACTTGGGCCCAACGACATTGGCATGACATCGTTCCACGGCACATCGACTACCCTCAACGACAAAAACGAGTCCGAGGTTATCAGCAAGCTCATGAAGCAGCTGGGCCGTGAACCAGGTCTTCCTGTTCCCAGTGGTGTGCCAGAAATGGCTGACAGGCCATCCAAAGGCCGTGGCAGCGCAGTTCATGATGAATGGCCTTTTGCAGGCAATGAACTCTGGGATCATTCCTGGCAACGAGAATGCCGATAACATCGACGCAGAGTTCGAGCAGTTTGAATATCTGGTGTATCCGAGCAGATCATACAACGTCCCTATCATCAAGGCCGCAATTCTCACAACCTTTGGTCTCAGCCAAGCAAGTGGAGGCGCACTGGTGATTCACCCAGACTACCTATTTGCAACGCTGACCAAGGACGAACTGGAAAGGTATCATAGGAAGAACACTCGGCGGACCACCAAGTCGCAGAGATACTTGTTGGATACTTTGGCTGGCAGGCATACGCTGGTACAGGTGAAGGAGGCGCCGCCATATACGCCAGAACAAGAGACCGAAGTGTACTTGGACTCGCTTTCCCGTGCAAAGTATGACCCGAAGACAGGGACATACTGCTATTAGATTTCACCAGGCTATACTTGTATTGTGTTGGATATATTCTTTTTTTAAAAATTATATATTGCTGATTATTTATGCAAACTGCAAGTGCACTCTATGGACACCTTGTTGCGCACACCACAGCTGTCCCTGACGTCGACATGTCAGCTGAACCAGGTTACGGCAAGCCAGGCGCCAACAAGAGCCCTGCTACAGCGTACACAATGGAGGTAGCATCGGGCTTCTGATGAGCTGCGCAGCCGGACGCAGTGAAGATACGTCCGCGCAGGTCATCTTTACTTTTCTCTCGTTTCTTTGGTATTAAATATCACCTTTTAGAACCTCTATCTTCAACAAACACAACAAGTGGAGGCGAAAGGGAGTACAGAGGGGACTGGCATTGAAAGTTTACCCACGATATATGAGTTCTAAGGGCTGGAGACGGCTGTGGGGATGCTGGGTTATATACGCTGAATGCTGTTAGTGGACAAGCAACAACCGGACAGACAAGGCTTGTGTGATACATGTTGTAGCTGGCTTGGTGTGTGGATATTGTTGACGCCTATGAACCTGGCAATAGCCATACAGTGGTTGGTGACATACGACATTGCATATGGGCTATCTTTCAGCCAGCTGCTGGTTAGGAAAACAAGCTTGACAAGTAAAACGAAGTCCGAATGACAGAATATGGCTAACTTGAAAATGTTGGATCCGCTGTGACAGCGGCTTGCTAAAAGCGCGAAATGTCGCGGCCGAAGAGCAGTTCCCGTGTCCAGTCCATGGCCAGCATGAGTCTGGTTCTGAGACTAACCTGCATGCTCCAGTATGTGCTCCTCCAAAGGTACTTTGCAGCAAGATTGCTACCCCGGTACGTATATCCACCCCCAAAGTCAGCAGCAGCGGCCCTGCCCAGATACGCCAGCGTGCCGTGATGGTGGTAGTTGAATGGCTGGATAGCCTGGTTTTCAAAGTGCCACTTTGTCATGCACGCTGGAATGGGCGTTGTCGGACGTTTCGGCGAACGTCTTTGCCAGGATACTCAGAGAGCGACCCAGATATGCACCTTCCTGGTCGGCGACCTGGGCTAGCGCCGGCAAAGCGGTGAGGCTGCGGTCGACATGGACTAGCATGTTTTTGAACTCGCTGAGACAGATTACACCGTTGCCGTCGGCGTCAAAGTCGTCAAAATGCACCCCCAGCTCCTTCAGATGGCCAGCCGCCAAAGGATACTTGCGCGCGGTACTGTGAATAAACACTTCAAACTCGTCCCTTGTGATCTCGCCGGTGTTGGTATGCTCAACCGAATCAAACAGCTCCTGGATATGCTCCAGAAGGTGCGGCATCTCAACCGTGGCACAGTCGCCGAGCGCATACACTGAGCCGTCAGAGATACCCTTCACGCGCAGATGGTCGTCGACAGTGATTGCGTGCCGGTTCTTCTGCGAGTCAGCCAGGCGGTCGCAGATGAGACGCGTGAACGGCGTGAGGCTCAGACCCGTAGACCACAGCACGAATCCCTGAGGGACCTCGTGCTCAGTTACATTGCCCTCGAGGTCCTTGCTGGTGTAGAAAATTGACGACTCTGTGATACGGGCTACCCTGGAATTGGTAATAACTTTCATGTTGCGTCGGCTGAACGTGTCCTCGGCGAACTCGGAGACCTTCTGGTCCATCATGTTGAGGATGTGGTCGCGCGACTGCACAATCACAACGTTAACCAAGCCCTGGATGGTTTCGGGGAAGTAGTGGACAAGGTCTTCGACCAGCAAGTCGTAGAGCTCGGCGGCAAACTCGCAGCCAGTGGGGCCGCCGCCACATACGACAAATGTCAGCAGCCGCCTCTTCTCCTCCAGCGATGTGGTGGGCAGGACTGCTTTCTCAAAGTTGGCCATGATGTGCTGCCGAATGCTCCTCGCGTCGGAGACGCTCTTGAGCTGGTGGCAGTGTTGCAAGCCGTCGATACCGTGGGTGACGCTCTGGGCGCCCACCCCTACAACCAGACGGTCATACGGCACCCACATAAACTGCCCCTGCTTCTCGACCAGCACCATCTTTGCCTCAAAATCAACGTCCACAGCGCCTGCCTCGATGTATCGGCCACGCGTGCGCTTCAGGATTCTGCGGATGGGCTCCATAACTGACCGGAACTCGACGGTACCAACAGTCACAGAGGGTAGCAGTGGAGTGAACACAAAGTAGTTGTGCGGTGAGATAGATATGACGTCATACAGGTCAGCCTGTAGTGTTTTTAGCAGCGAAACTGCTCCCCAGCCAGAGCCCAGAACCACCAGGCGCTCCTTGCCCGTGGCAGGCAGGTCGACAACTGCGTAGCCCTTGTGTTGCTTGTTGGCGGCCAGCTGCAGCTCGGGCGGCGGCTTCTCATTGTCGAGCGCTTCGAGCTCGTCCTTCATTAGCCAGTACCCAAGCGTGGCTGCCGAGGTCGTGCCCAGTGTCCAATACAAGAGCGTGCGCTTAAACGGCGAGAGGCGGTTGGCACCAGGCAGAAGTGTGAAGGAGCGGCGCCTGCCGGGTCATGGGCGCCGGAGGCCCGGTGTGACGGACTGCAGCCGAGACAAGCGGTGGCGTGCGTCGGAGTAGTTTGTGCACTCTGAACATGGCTAGAAAAGTGAGGGCTGATAAAATTAGGCCAAAGGAATGCAGAGGAGAAAGAGAAGAACGGGATGGGTGCCAGGCCCACGCGGATAAGACTCTGGTGTCCTGTACCAGGCGGTTTTTCGGAGAAATGTTTTGGAGAAAATCGCAAGGGGTTCGGCAGTCCCGGAAACGGGGCTAAGCAGCGCCAGTGGTGCATTTGGACTCGGGATTACGACAACTTGCGCCAGGCGCTGAGTGTCGTCAGCCGGGCTCCAACCGAGACTGTTGGCAGCTGCGGCATTGTCGCCAAGAGTCAGCCAATAGCTCCGCTTGATGACTGGACCCAGGCACTCCACCAAGACCGTCTTAGCAGTTCTGTGTGCGCTGGTACCGTTCACGGAACCCCTGCCGACCAGCAGGAGCTATTGTAAAAGGTATCCCTGTAGGCGGCTATAGTAATACTTTGTTTGGAAATAAACAGGAAACCAACAAGAAGGCTAGACGACAAATGCTGCCAGAACGAAGAGAACGGGTGCGGGTAGCTGGTGCAGAACCCCTGTATGCCCGACAAGAGTGATCTCAGCAAGCGCAGTCGCCAGCACCGCCAGCGGCATTCCCGCCCTGCGCCAGATTAACACCGCTCTGCCCCTGCAGCTGGGCTGGCTCCGCCGCAATGGGGATCTTCTTTGCCAGCTCTGTGAACAGCCCTGAAATCTGGTCGCCAGTCTTTGCCGACGTCTCAAAGAACAGCAGGCCGAAGCTCTGGGCGTACTCGCTGCCCTCCTCAAGCCGACACGGTTCTGCGGTCCGACAGATCGGTCTTGTTGCCAGCCAGCGCAATAACAATGCCCGGCTCTGCCTGCCTCTGCAGCTCCTTGACCCACGACTTGGCGCGCTCAAACGACGCCGCCTGGGTGATGTCGTAGACCACTATGGCAGCGGCGGCGTTGCGGTAGTACATAGGCGCAAGGCTCTTGTACCGCTCCTGGCCTGCTGTGTCCCAGATGTGTAGGTTGGCCGAGTTCTCGTTGTCGATAGGCACTACTTTCATCAGGAACGCTGCGCCAATTGTGCTCTCCTTGTACGGGTCGAACTGGTCGCGCACGAAACGTGTGACAAGACTACACAGAGAAAGTTAGTGATTTCAGCCTTGGCAGGCCAAGCCCAAAAAGGATATAGCTGCTGCTGCTGCTGCTGGTGTTCAACGACGCAGGGTCGGAAATTGAGAGACACGTACCTGGACTTTCCAACCGCAGACTCGCCTACAAGCTTACGTGTGGTGTTAGTTCTGCGGGCTCAGCCGAGGAGGTGCAGGGCGCGGCATGTGCGGACCAGTGGTACGAACCTAGCAAGACCACCTTGAACGTGTGCTGCTTTGGCTTTGTCGTTTGCTGCTGGCTGTTGCTGTTGTCGGCCATGGCGTGTCTAGAAAATGAGGCTCGGATAAATGTCGAATATCTACGGATACGAATTAGAGAAGGGAAAATAAAAGGTACAAAATGAAACAGCAGGTGAAAGTTGGAAAGGCTCCACACGCCCATCGCCTGACCAGACAGCTTCATTAAAAGGCGCGCCTTTCCTTTGCCATGGCAGGTCTGTATGAGGAGTTTCGACTCGAGCCGCACTGACTGCGCACCAACACCTTTTTTTTTTCGCTTTTCGCACCTTTACTCCTCTCGCCTCTCGCCTCTCGCCTCTCGTCTTTGTTGAATTCATCAAACCTTTCCCCCCTCATGGCCTCGTTCAACACCCGGTTTGCAAAAGAGTACAAAATACTGCAGAGCAGCGACCTTGAAGGCATCCATATGCACGCCCAAGCACGACTCCCTGAACCAGTATGAGGCACGCATCGACGGGCCCGGTGAGACGCCGTACGAGAACGGCCGCTTTCTCGTGGACATCACCCTGACAGACCAGTATCCGATAGAGCCCCCCTCTGTGAAGTTCAGAACGCGCATATATCACCCGAACATCGACGACCACGGCAACATCTGCTTGGATATATTGAAGACGGGCACGAAAGGGCACCTGGAAGCCCCAGTGGACGCTGGTCAGTGTTCTGCTGGCACTGACTGTGCTGATGAGAGCGCCGAATCCTGATGACCCGCTTATGCCAGACATAGCAGAAGAGCTGAAAAGCGACACCGAGGCGTATCAGCGCAAAGGCAAGAGAGTGGACAGGCCAGATACGCAAAGCCAGTCGAAGGATGATCGAGATGAAGACGAGACCGGGCCGCTGCACGCGCCGCAAACGCCCGAGGGAGCAGTAAAGCCGGTGCCGAAGATGCGCAGCCTGGGACTGAAGCGCAAGCCAGCGTCCCCGGCACCCGCAAATACCCAGGCTGGGTGCAACGAGACCGGATGGTTCTGGCAGCCAGTTCGAGAAGCCTCTGCCAGGAGCACCGGCAGCATCGGTCTCGCCGATCAGCAGCTCGGTAAGCCGACGGCTCGGCCTTAGTCGCAGCCGAAATGCACCACCAGCGAAATCCCGTGCACAGCAACAGCAATCACCCGGCCTGGGCCGCGTGTCCTTGGCATCGTCACAGGAGGAGCCCGGGTCGTTGAGGCGCGGAAGCAGCAGTCAGGGCAGCGCCTTGTCATCATCAGCGGCCTCGTCGCGGAAGGCGAGCGGCGGTGCCAAGCTGTCTGATCTGCTAGGGAAAACCAGCCTGTCAAAGAGCCGCAATACGCGACGCAATCTGCAACCCTTTCACGGTTCACAGGCATTGGCGACTTCAGACGGCGCAGCTCCAAAGGCAAGGGCGGTGCAGAAGAAACCCTGCCGTTGGCGATGGCAGTAGCAATGGCAAGCGCAAGCGGCTGAGAGTCCTGGAGCCCGAGTCCGATGAGTCATCGCAGCCAGCAGCACAGTTTCTGGCCGAGGAGAGCGATATTGGCAGCGAAGAGCTTCTTGGCCTGGGAGGCACGAGTAACACCAATCTCGACTTTGAATGTCTGCTAAGCCCTGGCGAAGATACGACCAGCCTCTCAGTCAGCATTGCCCCGAGCTCGCGCGATGACAGCGAGCAAGGGCCACCAGTGCCACCAGTGCCAATTGCCAGCAATGACGCTGCAGGGACTGTGTTAGAAGGCGAAGCTACATCCCAGCCAGCACTGCCAGTCGGGCAGGATAGAAAGGGCAAGGGCAAGGCTCCGGATCACTGTCCCCAGCAGCAGCAGCAGCAGCAGCAGCAGCAGCAGCAGCAGCAGCAGCAGCGGAATACTGAGGCTGTGGAGGTTCTGAACGAATCCCACTTTGGCCCACTAGATCTGGGACTCCCACCGATCCACGTCAGTGCGCAGCGCAGGCTCATGAGAAGGCGCCATCGCCAGTAAATTCACATTTGTAAGCAAGGAGCAGGGCTGAACCCCGTCCGTGTGAACATTGGCTGGCTGGCTGCTCGGACTTGACATTAACCGGTCGTGCCAAAGAGCACAAAATCCGTTAATGGCGATCGTCACTTGGTCTTTTATTTGCTCAACTTTTCTCTAATCCCCTCTGGCAGTGCGGCTTTCTCTTGCTTCTCTATTCCTCCTCATTTTCGCTCACTCTTGGATAAACGCGGCTCTTCTATACCTGTACTATACGCCGATAAACAAGTCTCTGCTTGTCGTTGTTTGTTATTATTGTTGCGATTCGCCCCGTAGAGAGAGCTGCTCGCTACTACCTGCAATTAATCGAATCCAGGGCCACCAGGAACCAGGCCAAATAAAACTAGGAAACCCATCTGGGACCAGCCTATTCCAGGGACAAAGAGGCCGGTTCAAAACAGCCATTGGCACAAAGGAGATCCAAATACTGAACTGCTATGGCACGGAGCGACGGATATATCCCCATTACTGGCTCAGCAGCCGAAACACACCAAGGTTTGTATTCCATGGCAACCCGGGCGAGATTACGTGATGGCTCCCTTGGCCATTGCCAGCTGGATTCACCCTGTCGCCATCTCGGGGCAGCCCATGCATGTTGGTCGCAAGCCGGCACGCCATGTTGCACAGATATTGGCTCATCGGACACATGCATGGCGACAGCAGGGAGCCGTTTCTATCTTTGGAAAGATGGAGTATGTCGATTGCAAAGATGCCCACCACTCTCGCCTCATATGAAGGGAGTCGCCGGTTGTCGATCGCCATTGCAAGCTGTATTCGTTGTGTGATGAAGGGATGGGCCAAGGCGTAGGCTTGTGTCCCCCCTAGGTTGCACTGCAGCTGTCCCTCTCCCACCCCCACCATCCGCGAATGGCCAATGCATGGCGTAGAGGAACAGCTAATTGTCTGGTGGGAGGGATGGCGGGGACGGTTGGGAGTATATATAATGGCCATTACTGCCTTGGCCTTCCGGGATGCCATCCCCGTCCAGTCCTGTTATTTTCTCTTTCCACGCATATTAATACTGGTCTCCACCGGCATCTCCTTCGCCCTTCTCTGACCACACAACATTCTTACATCCACTTAAGCGGGCTCCCACCATTCCGTTTGCTTGATTCTCTCCCTCCACCATGAAAGCAGAGGTCTCCGAATCCATCGAGCTCCAAGCACCCGGTGACACCTGGGCAAAGGTCAGGCGACTGCAGGCTAACATTGTTGGCAATGTAGATCCCGAAGGTGCGCAGCAGAATGCAGACAGACACCGCTATCGCACGGTCGACGAGTCGCAAGTACACTTTACGTGGCGAGCCGTGGCAGTCGGGCTTGTGTTTGGCACAATCCTGTGCTTCTCCAACATGTATTTCGGGCTGCAGACGGGCTGGATCTCGATGATGAGCCTGCAGTCGTCGCTGGTCGGCTTTGCAGTCTTCAAGGCGCTGGACAAGGTCCTGGACGTCAAATTCGGGCCTGCCGAGAACGTGGTTCTGCAAACCACAGCTGTTGCTACAGCCACGATGCCGCTGGCGGCTGGATTCGTGGGGATTTTGCCGGCGATCAAGCAGCTGGATCCAGACGAGACGCATGGCGCGCAAACCGAGCTCGGCTACGGCCAACTGTGCGCGTGGGGGCTGGCGCTGACCTTCTTTGGCGTGTTCTTTGCAGTGCCGCTACGCAAACAAACGATTATTCGCGAGAAGCTCCGGTTCCCATCGGGCACTGCAACAGCACAAATGATCAGTGTTCTGCACAATCGCCCGGATCCGACTTTTGAGGAAGAGGATGGGCGGCGGGCGCTGCCGGAAGGCCATGGCCACGGATTCATTGAGACGGAGAGCCAGCTGCGCAACCGCCGCAGCAACAATCAGACCGCCGGCTTCACCCGAGACCGCCAATGATGAGCCCGAGGAGCCAGCAACGCTAAACAAGGTGGTGGTTGATGTCAAATGGGTGATCAAGCTGCTGGTTCTGCTGGCCTCGTTCCTGCTGTCTGGCGCCTATACGCTGATTGCTCATTTCTATCCGATCCTGGCCGCCCTGCCCGTATTTGGCAAAACGCTAAAGAACAAATGGCTGTGGACGCTGACGCCCTCCCTCAGCTACGCCGGCCAGGGGATCATTATGGGCCTGCCAACGTGCATCTGGATGCTGGTCGGCGCCCTGGTCGGCTGGGGCGTTTTGTCGCCGATTGCCAAGACCGAAGGGTGGGCACCCGGACCGGTCGGTGACTGGAAGAACGGCAGCCGCGGGTGGATTTTGTGGGTATCGCTGGCGGTCATGATCGCTGAGAGCGTGGTCTCCCTAAGCCTCATTACGTGGAAGGAATGCAGACGCTGGGCCCAGCATTTCCAGCAAGCAATGGGCCGCAGGCGCGAGCGCAGGCGGTTGCTTGACGAGACTGTGGGCGGAGATGAGCAGCCGGATGGAAGCCGGTCGCCGAGAAACAGCTACGGCGTGGCAGGCGAAGGCAGCCAGCAGACGACCCCAGAGCAGAATGACCAAGCGCAGACGTTCAAGCCGATGACCGTGATGTCTGCAGATAGTCCACAGCCCGGCGATGATGCCGATGATGAGGACGTCGACCCACGGTACCTGGTGCCCGGGTGGGTTATCTGGGGCGGCCTTTTGGCGTCGACTCTGCTGTGCATGGGCATTGTCAAGGCAATCTTCAACATTCCGATGTACGATACGCTAATTGCTGTCCTTTTGGCGCTGCCCTTGGCTGTGCTCGGTGTGCGCGCACTGGGCGAGACCGACCTGAACCCGGTCTCGGGGATTGGCAAGGTCTCGCAGGTTATCTTTGCCGGCGTCATGCCCGGAAACATCATTGGCAATCTGGTGGCTGGTGGAATCGCCGAGGCAGGCGCTCAGCAGGCCGGCGATCTGATGCAGGATCTGAAGACCGGGCATCTGCTGCATGCATCGCCGCGAGCGCAGTTTGTTGCCCAGATGATCGGCAGCGTGTTCAGTGTGTTTGTTTCCGCCGGCGCTTACAAGCTCTACAACCGTGTCTACGAGATCCCCGGCCCGCAGTTCCCGGTCCCCACCGGCCAGGTATGGCTAGACATGGCGCGCCTAGTCAACGGCCGCCCACTGCCGCCGCACGTCTGGCCGTTCATTGCTGTGTTCTCTGCCATCTTTGTTGTGCTGCCCATTCTGCTACTGCTGATTACAAAGTCGGGCAAAAGATCGTGGCAGATCGGACGCTTTACTGTCAGCACCCTGACTGTTGAGCGGTGGTGGCCCAGCGGAATAGCCTTTGCCATCGGTATTTACAACACCCCGAACTTCACGCTTATGCGCGCGATCGGCGCAATTGCGGCTGCAGCGGTCACCGAGCTTTTGGTCGCACGCAATCGTCGCTCACATGCACTTAGTGCGGCGGAGGAGCAGCTGTACCGCAGGAAGATTGGAATGCTGGTTATTATTCTGGCCAGCGGGTTTGTGCTCGGCGAGGGCACTTTCTCGTTCGGAATCCTTCTCTTTGAGGCCTTCCTTTAATAGATGGGTGAGCAATGCCCAAATAGCCTTGTTTATAAACAGCACCCAATCCATCCAACGCACAAAAAGCTGTGTTTGTATGCGTGTTTGTGGCGAGGCATACTGATCTGGACTTTCCCTATGCCAAATGGCATGTTTATATGGTGTTGTCGTATATTGCAAATACTGTGGGTACCGGCAAACCCGTATACGGCAATGTAGTTAAGCCAATGCCTCTTCTAACTGTACATTGCCTAGAAGCGCTAGCCCCACTTTCTTGTCCACAGATTCACACCGAATAAACCCATGATCCTCTTTAAACCACGTCACTGTACCCTGCTAGCACTGGCTGTCCTGGCTGCTGCTGCGTCCGCCGCCTACAGCTCGACCTGCGCTAATAACGTTGTTACCTACTGGGGCCAGAACAGCTGGGGTGGCAGCCACCTCAACGACCCTGACCACTGGGAACAGGACCTCGCCAAGTACTGCCAAGGCGACACCTTCGACATTATCAACCTCTCCTTTGTCACAAACTACAACACTTCAGGCCTCCCAGTCCTCAACCACGCCGGCCACTGCGAGACTAGATTCAACGGCACAAACACCGTGACATGCCCGGATATTGGTGCCGACATCAAGACGTGCCAGGCCAAGGGCATAAAGATTGTGCTCTCGCTGGACGGCGGCGGCATCTACTCTTACGGTCTGGCAAGCGATGCTGATGGCAAGACGTTTGCAGACACTATCTGGAACATGTTCCTTGGCGGATCGCACGACTACAGGCCATAGGGCAATGCTGTGCTCGACGGAGTTGATCTTGATATCGAGTCAGGCGACCACACCGGGTATGCTGGATTCATTTCGCAGCTGCGCACCCACTTTGCCAGCGCCTCGAAGCAGTATGTCATCTCGGCAGCTCCGCAGTGCGCCTACCCAGACTACAACCTGGATTCAACTCTGCGGAACGCCTGGATCGACAACAACTACGTTCAGTTCTACAACAACCCGTGCAACCTGGCCAACATCGACAACCAGTGGAACTTTGGCTACAAGAGCTGGGACGCACTGGCGAAGAAGAACCCAACCCCCGACTCCAAGGTGTACATCGGCCTGCCCGCCGGACCGGCTGCTGCTGGCAACGGATATCTGAAGCTATCGACACTCAAGACTGATATCATGCAGCTGTACTCGAACTACTCGTCAACTTTTGGTGGAATCATGCTCTGGGACGCGTCTTGGTACTCGAGCAACAGAGAATATGTGCAGGAGCTCGCTACCTGGGTCAAGACCAGCATGAACTGTGGTGCCAGTGCCTCAACACCAGCTTCTTCAGCAGTGGCCTCTTCATAGGGAACAGGCTCAGGCACTAGCTCAACACCAGAGGAAATGCCTGCCCAGTAGTCATGAAAAGCATTTTCTATTTTTGGACGTTGTTGTGTAGGAGCTATCAAAATCAATTCACATTGAGGAGATGCCAAAAGCTTCAAATATCCATGACTAGTCTGACCAGTGACGGAATCCGGCTTGCTATCCGAGTGACCCCAGCACAGGCAGCGGCACGAACAGCAGTGACCTCGAGGGACTGTAGCATGGTGTCTAAAGGAACCAGGCATTGACTTTTCTTCGGCCCAGTAGTGCTGTCGTGAACGCATACGCACAGCACTTGCAGTTCAGTCAGCTCGGACAGTATTTCTAGGATTTGGTTCACTGGGAACGACGCTCGAGCAATCTTTAACCGGCGAAGGCGCTTACACCTAATACGACCAGGAACTGACACAACCTGCATATGCGCAAACGACACCTCGAGACTTGTTAGATGCGGATTCGACGATAGGATCCAGTTCAGGAACTCAGCAGGGTTGTATGGGTAGCGGTCCGAGTAGCCGCTGCGCAGAGCGACATTCAGTTGGCGCAACGAGACAAATGGCATGATGTCGAACTGCATGCTGCGTTCCGAGTAGCTGATTTCCAGCCTGAAGATGGGTGCGGGCGCGAAGAGCAGCAAGAAATCGGTGAACTCGTACTCGGATGGATCGAGGACCAGTGTCTGCAGGTTCGGAAACAGCGGTGCGCGGAATCCGTCGCCGCAGTTGATTGCCTGGTGTGACGAAATCCAGCGAAAGTGCAGCCGCAGGTCCTTCAGATTCTGGAACTCGACACGCTCCCTGGCCCCTGTCATTGCGAATAGATGGCTCAGCCCAATTGATGGGTGCAGGTTGTGCAAATCAAGAGATACTAGCGACGCAGCCACCAGCTTTGTCAACTGACTGGCTTGCCCTCTGTCCATTAATGGCTGGCGCAACACCAGTCGCGATAATTCCACTTGATGTGCAATACGACAGCCCCAGACGTGGTGTGCTGTGCCGCGCATATGCGGCTGTGCCAGGACCAAATTTGGAAACACGCTCTGCACCCCAATGCTCGAGATATCTGTCAGGTTTGGCAAAACTGTACCCAGATACCGCTGAAATTCCAGATCGGACACTGCCAATCCAGCCAACTCCAGTCGGCTGTTCGCGTCGCACCCGTAGAGCGTGCACATTGTTACTGATGGCCATGGGCAACTACCCAGCCCTGCTTCCTCCAGTTCCTCGCACAAGCGCTCAATGTTGGATCGAATCTTTACCAGCACCCGGCTGGGGGCAACCCCTCTACCATGGTACTCTGCCAGCAAGGGCAGGTTGGTGCGTGACCTTTCTCTTAGAGACAGATCTATGCAGATGGCTGTGCTGAAGACTGGCAACATGTGCTCACGCAAAAGGTGAGATGCTGCCAAACACTGTGTCAGCTGGCGGACTCCCTCGATTGGGTCACTGTGGTACTGCCTGTCGAGAGACTCCAGAAGCCTGGAAACGACTAAGCGCAGTATGTCGCTGCTGCAAAGGTGCAGGTAGTTTGAAGGAACCATGGCATAAGCTGTATAAAGAAAATGTATAAAAGCCAGACAAGCAAAGGTATAGGGAAGGAGCAAAAGATATAGGACAGGACCATAAATAGTCAGGAGAGAGGGAGAAGGGGAAGAATGAGCAAATGTCCATTTGCCGTGGTGGCCTATGACTCCGTCTTATCTGTTCTGCACGACAGGAGCAAACCATGCAGACGGAACATAAGGAACTACCAGCCTTCGCGGAGATTTAAATATTTTAGGAGCTCTGCTCTGTCGGCACAGGAAGGTCTGGGACGCACCACCAGGAGGATCACGCAGACCAGCATGGGAAAATGTGAATAGGTAGCTATGTAGCATGTTCAACGCTGGTGCTGGAGTGAGGCTAAGAGCCAGCACACTCTGGACTGTGTAGCTCACCAATGGCTGAGCCTCTATTTGGCAGCGTGCTGCTTTGTGAATGCTACATCTACACACGCCCTTGTAGCTGCCTGAGCCTCACTAGCAGTGGATCCATGGCAGAGATATGTTCTAAAGTGGAGCTGCCCGCATCACTCGGCTCAAGAATTCTGTAATCTACTGGAATACTACTTTGTACAAGACGTTGACATGTACGTATGGCACCGACTACCCCAAGCATGTCAAGTGCAGAATATCGTTGGACTCGGGTATGAGTGCAAACGCCGACGATCCCAGCAGCTTGCCACACTTTGCACATGTCTGCGTATAATCCAGCACAACTGGGCCATGATTCTTGCTGCTCTCCATGGCCTCAACCCTCGACTGGAACTCAAGCGACTGGCGCACACTGCGCTCGACTTTGCTCGTCTGTGCACCATGCGCCAGCTTCTGGAACTTGCTCACAACAAATTTCTCGATAACCGAAAACTGCCAGCTATCAGGCACCTGTTCCAGAACATCCATGTCTACGAACTGGCCGTACCTTGCCAGCAGTCCGGAAACGAGGCGGGCCGCCGTTTCATCGTCTGCTTCGCCCAGCGCAATATACATACTGACTAGCTTGCGCACGTTATCAGGATCCACGCTAGTGCCCAGTGCTAGTGTGCGCAGCTCGTCAGCGATGCTGGTAGCTGTCTGCTGGTGGAGCAGCCAGTATCCGTCCTGATCGCCATCGGAATCCTCGCCTAAATCCCTGTGCGCCTGGCACATCTGCGCCAGTGATTTCTGCAACGACGGACGCAGGAGCAGTATCTCAGCCTCAGCATAGTCCTGAAGCTCTTTGACCAAAACATCGATGGCCTCGTTTGTGCGATCCAAGATCACCAGCAAGACCGCTCGCTCAGCCAGCAACAACGGCTTGGCTTCCTGCTCAACGCAGTCGAGAACCTCACCTGGGTCGTACGACAGCGGTCGGGCACACAGGATGGCTAGCAATTGTGACCGCAAGCTGGTGCCAGCATCCTGGTTGCAGACGGACTCGAGATATGCACGGAATGTCAGCGACAGATCATCGGCTTGCGCGCAGCGGTAGTCATCCATCAGCTGCTTCAGGCTGTGCCTTGCCTCCTCCCCATCACCCAGGTAGAAATCACGCAGCTGGCGCACATACACCTTGACTAGATACGTCATATAGTGCTTGGCCCTCGCATGCTTGGCACCAATCAGCCGCTCAATGAAAGCGCGCAGCGGCTCGTCCCCGTATGGCTCGATTTCCTTGATGACCTTGTCGGCATCAATGGACGCAACCGACTCGTCCGTCAGGTACATCAAGACCTGTAGCGACGTGCCAATATCGAAGCTGACCAGCCAGTAGTACTCGTCAAGCAGAACACGCTGGTTGTTGACCACCTGGATATACTCCAGATACTCGGCCAGCCCACCAAACTGCTCATCCTCCCATTCACCAGTAAGCAGTTTCCGCCATACATCCAGGACGCCCTGTGTGTCCTTACGCGCCTTCTTGAACAGGCTGCAGTAGTAGTACCGATGTGTCTGCAGAAAATAGTCGCGAGCAAAGTCCTCGACAATGTTATTGTCAGATGCCATGATCATGGAGCTCAGTTTGTCGTGCTGCGAGCTCTCGGCATATATCCGTGCTAGCACGGTGTCAATAACAGGGACAGAGTCGGGCGCAAATGGTTGCTCGGGTAGCGACATCTGAAGGCGCGCGTACTCAAGGTACCGCTCCAGCATCTCTCGAGCATTGTCCTTCAGGGTCTGCTTCAACAGTTCTAGCTGGTCCTCACTCTCACCAGCCATCTGCCGCGCACCGACTTCGACTAGCCTGTCGACATCACCGATCGCATAGAACACATCGCGTAGGCCAGCGGCCATCGGGATTCGGCCAAATGGAATCAGCAATGTCCCTAGATAGTCAACATATTCGGGAAACAGATGCAATAAAGCGCGTGGATCCAGGCTCCCGCGACGGAAGTGTTGCAGGGCGTCATCCAGAAGCATATTCTTCAAACAGACTGCGCCGGCTTTCTGGAAGCAGTATGCGACTTCGTCCATCTTTGCGTTAAGCGAGGTATCAGACGCTAGCGCCTTGTCGGCCAGCAACAATGCTGCCTCGACCTTTTGATCGTCCAGCAGCCTGTCCACGCGCACCAGTTCCGGCAAGTTGGCCAGTGTATATACGGAATCCTGTGCACACACCAGTATTGTTGCATTGGTGAACCGACTCAGCGCCTTTCCCGCGGTTCCATGTGCTGCCGACACGCTGTTATCACCCAGCATCTCGCGGTCCATATGCTGCGACTGCGCCAGTGCTGCGGTCCAAGGCTTTGTGTCCATCTCGCTTTCCGAGTGTTTATGCTCAGCCCGGAACAAACTGCTGGCATCAAGATCAGGCGACGTCACTCGCACCCCAGCTGCCGAGCCATCGATGACCTCAGCCCGCGAGACATTGGTGCACAGCAGCGTGCTTGCCACAGTGCAGACCTTGCGTGGCCGGCTGCTGTTTGGAATGTCACTCTCGGGCTCCGCAAACAGCTTCTGTGTCAGTGTCTGCTCTTGCCGCCGCGTGTCATATACCTCGACCACACCGTTGCCGAATATCGCAATCACATTCGGATCGTCGTATATGATGGATTTCGGGTATGTGGTAAACTGCAGGGTTCCCCGCAGCGCCTCGCCCATGGCTGTAATAATGACACCCAACGTCGTCTCATCCCCAGACGATGTCAGGAACATGAACTCGTTGGGACCAACCACCAGCGTACGCGGCCGAGGTGGACGCACAATCCTCCCTGTCTTCTCGTCCTTGTACGGCTGTGTTGTAGGCAAGAGTACCAGCTGCCCATTCTCCACCGATGTGGCTCGGATTTTGGCCAAGTCCAGAATTTTGTATGTCTCTGTATCCGCCAGGCACACATAGTTTCCATACTGGCATATGCTGGCTACGCTGCTATCTATCCCCACCTCCTGCTCCAGTCTGAGCTCTGACGCCATACGGTACATCTGAATGCTGCGCATCCTCGCCACGCACAGAATCACCGTCGTTGCCGATGACCGATCCGCGCGCTCATCAAACGCGATACACGAAACACCCTTCACTCTGCCCATCGATGGCACCGGCCGCAACTCAGGCAGCGAGTAAAACAAGACCGTCGAGCTGCACAGAACTACCAACCGACACATACCAGGAAACGCAATGATATGCTCGACACGCTTGCCACCCATCTTCAGGTCAACGCTATTCACACGGAAGTTCTCTGGCACTTCACCCGAGCCAATGACCGGCGTGTCGATCGCATAGTGCACGATGCGTCCGTCGTTGGTGCCCACGTACAGGTCGCCGCCCACCATCTCGGCACACTCGATCTTGGCCATACGCTGCTTCTGCATCTGTGAGCTCACTGAGGGTGCTGGCGACGCAGGCTTGTCACCAAGAAGGTCGGCAATTGCTGCTGCACCAGCATTCTCTGCTGGCGGACTGCCTGACTGCTTGTCTGCTTGCTGCTCGTCGGACTCACCAACGTCTGGCTCTTTGCCTCTGCCTTTGCCTTTCTCTGCAGGTGACAGCTTAGGCTTCTGTGGTGCTTGCTCTGCTTGCGGCTGTTGGAACCCGAGTCGTTGTGACAGGCTCTGCTTCCGTGGCCGCCCGCCTGCTGGTCCCGAGCTGCTGTGCTCATCGAGCTGAATTCCAATTGCCAGTGTCTGTAAGAGGTACTGCGCCTTGGCATTCGTCGTGTCCATCTTTACTGGTAGAATGTAAATGGAGAGGGTGTAGAATGTTGGATTTGCACTGACAGCACGAAAGAGCCTCGCTTTCGCGGTAGCGCGGAGAATCCTGCATGGGCTCGGTGATGGGTGACATCGTCACCCCTGAATGCGAGCCGTGGCTCGTCCAGATGGCGACTTGTTTCGGCTCATCATCAGTCTGTCACGTTTCCCACTTCCAGCGTATTACATATCTGAAACAGCACACACCACAACTACATCCCTGTTTAGAGTGCTATACCCAGCCAATATACATACCGAAAAGAAAATGGATATGCGGTTCTCCATATACTCATCATTGCATCCCTGTCCTGTCTTAACTTTCATATTGCTTTTGACAAGCAGTCACATTTGGATATTTGGCTTGGGCACCACTGATCTATTACAATGAAAGTACTGGTATGCATGCCAGCTGCTCTATTTCGACATGAACATCCACAAACACTTAGGATTTTACCCTGGCATAGCCTCTCACACACTCCAGGCAATAAATCTTGAAGATAAAGTATCATACAGCAGCAGATCACAGCAACATAGATCTCATTTTGCTAATTCTCTCGCCATATCCACCTTCAGGCACTTTGTTAAAAGCGCGAAAATTCCAGCACAAAAGGTGCAAAAAAACGACTCAGAACGCCATGTTCATCCTATGAGTAGGAACCATAGACCCCGCTTGCTAGTTGGATCACATGTAATAGCGCAAATATTTTCATTGTCGGAATAGCCGGACACACCGATACTCGAACCCGGTAGGCCCAGGTGAGTACGGCCCAGTCGCCCTAAGGCGCTGAGCTATTTGTCCTGCTGGGATTTTTGTATTGGAATTGTAGTCATTGGTGCGACCCGTAGCTCCCCAAACAGATCAAAAAAGTTTTACTGCTGCTGGTGATCGGGTTCGAATCGGCTGAGGAATGACGATTACGGCTGATTACTCAGGGAACACCAGAGCTGCTCAAGAGCCTGACGTCCTTGACTAAGCGGTGGTGGAAGTGTCCTTGAAAATGATGAACTCCATGCGGAATCCAGCATAGTTCTTCACAATAATTCCACGCTGGAATACCCTCGGAGCTGCTATGGCATCTGCTGCAAACACAGCAGGCTCGTTGGCTGGGACCCAAGCGATCTTCAGTACCACTTGGTGGCCATTAAACGTTCCATAGATAATGTGGTCCAGCCGACGTGAAGTACCTCCGATGAAATACGATACTCCGTCCATCTTGAACGTACCCTGACAACATTCGTCTACTGCTGCCATCGCAAACTTGTCGCCTTGTGGAGTGAATTTGAATCCCTGCGGTTTATGCGAGTAGGCGCAGACATGTCCAAATTTCTCGGCTGGCAAATTCATAAAATAAGGCATCCTTTGCATGGCTTTCGTGTACTCGCTGTATGCGGTAGCAGGTGCTGGTCCGGGACGACTATTAAACCGCCCAATGTTGCTGGTGACCATTAATTCGCTGCGATTGATGATGACCATCTCGACATTGAACCCGTTGAGGAACATGAACGGTACGAAGAGACGTGTTTGCTGGTGGCTCCATATTCTGGCTTCAACAAGCAGCATTTCAAAGCTCACATCCATGGGAATGCCCCACAAGCCAGTGTCGGGTCGACAAATTACAGGTATATGAATCGAGGAAAGGTCGTATGTAGGTGCCGGGCGATAGCAGATCACACGATCCACATTCATATCGGTTCGAGGTATAGCATGATGCTGGTAGTTGACGAGGATGTACGGTGACTGCCCGTTACGTCCAGGGTCTTTGCTCGTCATTTCGTTGTCAATCGTGGTCCAAAAGCGATCAAACTCGGCCAGGATCTCTTCTTTGCTGGCAAGTTCTCTGCCAGATGTTTGCTGCTGTCCTTCGTCCATTAGAACTGGCTGAAAAAGATACTGGTATTAGGAAAGGCGGAATATGTGTGTCGCTAAGTGAGAGTGTGTTGGTTTGCCTGGCTACTTATAATGTAGTCGACACCAGGTGGTACCAATCAGCAGTAGGAACATTTCCATCACATTGTTTTTGAGAGATACATCTAAGCTCTGTTCTAGAGTAATTAGATATCGCGTGATCGGTAATCTGACAGCTTTTTTTTTTAGCTGGGCTTTTTTTTGTTAGAGCCCGCTTGCTTCTGGGTAACCGCTTTCAATTCACTAAAATCTCATTTCTTGTTCATTGTCTCACCACTTCCCGACTATGTCGTCTACAGAGTACGTGTTGGCGTGAACCAGTGGCAGGGTGGCAGATCGAAGGTTGCAGCAGCGTTTACTAACAGGCTTGTCTCATTCTAGAGCATACACACCACCCGAGGGCTTCCGCGCCGTCAACGGAACATGGCCGGAGCAGTTCGAGCGCACAGCGCTTGATGGCAAGGATCTCTGGCTGTTGCGGATACCTGACAACATCAAAGCGAAGCATCTCGAAGGGCTGACAATCAAGCTTCCCAAGAGCGCGCACAAGGGCGTCATGGGCGAGGCAACGATCGACAAGACGACATACAAAATCGTGTCCTCTGAGGCTAACACGGCGACAGAGTTTGCAGGCATGCACGAAATCAACGTTCTGGTGCCTGACAGCGACGAGTCAGGCAGCCTGACTTTGATGCCGAATCGCCCAAAGCACCTGGTATCACTGGTCGAGACGATTGAGATCCCAGAGTCATTCGATGCTGCTCAGCAGATCAAGAACCGCGAACACCCGGCGCGCGACCAGCCAGAGAATATGAAGATGCAGTTTGTGCCCTTTGGATTCTACTCAGCCGAGGACTACAAAAAGATGGATGGAAAGCAGGTCGAGCCGCTGAGTATGCCGACGGCCACGTCAGAGGAGCCCGCCCAGAAGAAGCGGAAGGTGAGCGCTGGTATCGATACGCCTGCATCGCCAAAGGCCGACAAGAAGAAGGCCAAGAAGGAAAAGAAGCACAAGAAGGCGGAGAAGAGCGCCGATAGCGGCGCTACGATGACTCCTGCGTCGTCAAAGGCATCCAAGAAGGAGAAGAAGCCGAGGCACAAGAAGAGCAAGGCGGACAAGGAGTAGATGGCTCGTTAACAAGGCAGGTTCAGGACAGTATTTTTTCTTTTGCTAAAGACAAATGAACATCAGGAATCTTGAAGTGGCCTAGCCTGTTTAGCTAAGAGTCCTGGATCGGAGCGAGTCCGTTGTATCCTGAACCTCACACTTGACCTCATGCTTGGCACCAATCTCACCAGCAGTCTTGCGTGCAATGTCGATGACGTCTTGGGGGAACCCCATGCGACTGGCAAGTTTGATCCCGTACAGAGACTCTGGCTGCTCGCCGCAGGTAGCCCGGTACCTCTGCAGCCGACCATCTTCAGCGTCCTACAGAGTACGAGATATGGAAATATGCTTGCTACCGAGTTGGACCTATATCAGCGCGTTCATATGGACGCAATACGTGCACTTACCGGATCAGATAGTACCAGTCTTGAGCAGTTTCTGTGCTCGCCGAGGATATGCGGCAATTCGAGGAAGTGTGTAGTGAGGAATACAGTGGCGTGGCTTTCCAGCAGCTCTTCGCTGATAGCACGGCAGATGGCCATCCCCTCCTGTGTGGCAGTGCCACGACCCAGTTCATCAATCAGCACCAGGCTGTGCTGGTTGTAGGTGTGAAGGATATACGAGACATCGCGCATCTCACGCACAAATGAGGACTCGTGCTCGGCAATGCTGTCATCGTTGTTCATACGCACAAACAACTTGTCGAATACCTTGAATGTTGCCGAGCGTGCTGGCACGCTAGGATAAAGCCACAGGCATTTTTAATCGTGTATACCAGCGCATACATGAAACGAGGCTCCAATGCATTACTTACTAGCATCCGATCTGTGCCATGATAGCCATATATGCAACTTGTCTTAGATACGTCGACTTGCCGCCCATGTTCGGCCCAGATATGATGGTGAACGTCTTGTCAGCGGTGTTGATCCTGTTTGGGGTCACTGGGTCGCCCATCGATTCGATTATAGGGTGCCGCCCATCTTCGATGCTGATTGCATCTGAAAATTGCGGCTGCACATAGTCGCTAGTAGTGCAGAGATGCGCAAAAGACACCAGCATATCCAGGAGTGCAACAGCCTCAGATATCTTGTATAGCAGGACGATATTGCTGCTTATTGTATCTGCAACAGATTTTATAGCCCTACAGGAAAAGAAACATGTGTGGTGTTAATAGAGTGTACGTGTACGCCATTAGCAGGGCTTCTCACATACTTTTCCGTCAATATGTTGATCTCGCTGACTACCGACGCCAGGCGATTGTTCAGCTTTACCAAGTCCAGCGTCGTGAATGTGCACTGAGACTTTTTGCGCACAAAATTCAAAAACTCCTCCGGCACACCGTCGCTGAAGCAATCAGACCTGCATGACATGATGTACCCAATGTTTGGCCGATACACAGCCTTGATCGAGATCTGTAATTCATTGGCATACTGCTCGACAAGGTCAATAACCTGCTGCGACACTGCATCGAAGATTGAGCGCGAAACATCGAGAAACCCATCGACACTATCCTTTACCATGTGGCAGCGCTGGCTGCGGATCGCCTGTGCCGATTTCTCAACCTGTATGTCAGCGCGCACCACCGCATGGATTACTGCCAAAAGCTCACCAGCACGCAAATCGCCTAGGCTGGTAGCGATTTCACAAAGTAGTTCACTCTGCACTGCCCCGTTCAGCGAGCCAGCAATGGCCAGCGATGTCTCCAGAACATGCTTTACATGCAGCACGTTGTTGATTACCTGCGTTGCTTGGCGTACAGTTTTTGCCTCCGGCAAGCGAACCAGTGCGGTTATGACGCTGTCGATATCAGGGAATTCTGCAAGGGAGAGCGACAGGCTGAAAAATATGTCCTCATTATCCAGGAGATCCTCAACTGCGCATTGGCGCCCAGTGATGGTTGACAGATCAGTTGACGGCTGCAGAATGTTGGCACGGAGAAGGCGCTCGCCCATTTTGGTATGTGTATGCTTGAGGGAGGCAAGTAGCGAGCAGTTTTGCTTGTTGTTTCTCGATCCTGAAGGTTCGGTAAGTTGAAGATCGTGCCACGCTCCAGGATCTAAAGGAATGGCTGCCCCATTAATAGCCATGTAAAGGAAATGCAAAGTTAGGAATGTACGACTTACCTATCTGCATGGTGCCTACAGGTGCTCTGCATATTAGAGGATCTGAGTAGGATACCAGATATTACGCTTAAGGAGGCACTCAGATTACAAGCTATGCCTACCTTCCATCTGCCTGTATTCAAAGTAGACTGACGCCTTTGCATACACACAGTCGTGATTCTGGCCCAAGTATGTAAACAGGGCATTAACAGCTGCATATGTATACTGCTTATCCCTCAAGCACCGTCTCAACCCAGGCAAGATCTCTGGCACACACATCTCGCTTACAAAACGCATGCCCGCGCCATCGTCAAACAATCTCCGATCGAGCATTTGCACCGACGCCCAGGGCAGATATCTGCGAATCGTTCGCATACACTTTGACTTGCCGACCCACATGGCGCGGGGCACCAGGATAGTGTGTGGGCGCAGGAAGGTCAGGCTGTAGATGGTGTGGGCGAAGCTGGCAGTGTCAGCGTACTGCGTCACCCAGCACTTGCTGGTTGTCAGGTCGATAAAGCTGAATGCTAACTCGCTACACACCGAGCGGCCCTCAGCCAGCACAAGTACGGTGTTGGGCTGGGTGGGAACTTCAGTGTATGCAGATGTCTGGATAGTTGATGGCGGTGGTGACGGACTTGGCTTTAGGCGCTTGAGAGCAGGTATCGTGTAGACGATGGAGACGTCGTCGTCGTTGTTGGTATCGCTGCGATCACTTTCAGAATCGACCTGTGTCAAGTCTACCACGTCTGGTCTACCCATACTTTTATTTTATCAAGGTATTGAAGAGGCAGGCGGAAGGGATGTTTGTTGAAGCATGCAGCAGTCTTGCACCCCTATATCACATGCAGCCTGCGCGTTGTTTGAATGCTAAGATCTCCTCCTTGTTTGGGGGGATCCTGGCTTCCTTGCATGGAGAGTACCGGCTACCTGGTGTGCCAGATCGCGCAGTATCTCCGGTATCAGCCAATATACCGGCGACAAATATGCTAACGCTGGCAAACGCACCTCACCACCGCGCATGTTGTCCAGGGCATCAAAAACACGGTCAGCCGCAAGATCAGCTGAAAGAACCGGTGCCAGCCACTTCTTTGTTGGAATACCATCAAGCATGTCGCCGTCAGTTTTGCCCAGATGCAAAATAGTAGTTTTTATTCGCTCACTGCGCACGCGATACCGCAGCTCGAGCCTTAGCGAATCGCGGAAGCAGGCCAATGCTGCCTTGCTTGCACAGTATATCGAAAGCTGGGGTGCGGTAGAGAATCCAAGGGTGCTCGATACAAACACAATGTGCCCACGAGGCATTGTCAGCATACCTGGAAGCAGGAGACGCGTCAGGTGCATGGGCGCTAGCGCATTGATCTGCATAATGTGCTGCATGTCGCACTCGGTCATCGTGTGGATCAGCTTGGTGCATACAGCTCCAGCATTGTTGACCAGCATCGTCGGAATCCCCAAGTCATTGTTAATGCGTGCCACAGTTTGTGTAATCTGGTTGGTGTCGGCCAGGTCACACTTGTAAAAAAACGTACTGGCCAGCTCTTCTGGCGGCTCGGCGAGATCAATAACCGCAATGCGTGCGCCCGTCTGCGACAGTTGGTTTAAAAGACTGAGCCCGACGCCATGCGAGCCACCAGTAAGCACGATGAGCTGTTTGTCCCACTGGATTTTCTGCGCAGGACCCATGGGCTCCAGTAGCCAGTGCCAAAACTTGCGTGCTAGAAACACCCACAGGTATGTGAGGAACCAAACACTGGTGAGCTGATTCCACATGAGTGCATTCATGGCTAGTAGCGTCGCTGAGATTTGCGAGGATAGCAGGATGTCCAAGATCCCTACGGCGGTGTCAAAATTAAGTCCCAGTGGAATATCCTGCATGTTGAAAAGAGTACAGAAAAGCGATACTGGTGAAAGCCGTTGGGTGACAAGTCGTGCGAGCAGAGCACCTCTTGTGTTGAACAGCCTAATAATAGTACAATTGGTGCTGTGGCTCCCGACAACACTGATTATCCCTGGGAAGCACATTTCCTTACCCACGGTTAACAATGACCCCCATACGCCACCATTTGGGCACCACCTACCTGTAGACTTCTACTATTTAAGATATCACAGGCACCATGAGTCCAGTGAGCAGATATATGGCTATTCATCTCACGATTCTTCCTTCCCTTATTGGCATATGGGCATATTTTTGTTTTGGTTTCAAATACGTTTGCTTTGTAAGAATCTTTCCACGGCGTATATTAAAACCTATGGAACATGCCACATACAAGGAAAGGGAGTTTTAAAGTAAATGGGCGGCAGCCTACATATGTATTGTGTCTGTCACCTGGAATAGCAGGTGGGACTATTGTAGCCTGGTGGTTTAGGCCCATGGGCTCCCGGATTCCGTGATCGGGTGGTTTGGGAATCACAGGTAGTATAGCGACAGGGTTGCTGTTCTGTGTATGATGAGGCATAGAGGGCTTATCTATCATTGGGCTATGAGCAGGCGTATGTTTCCTGAATTATAAAATGTATTATCGTTGACGTTGCATTTGCAATCAGGTGTTTATATTAGTGTCGCTCTTTCTGTACTACCGACTTGTGATCATTCATCGAGTATAAGCTTCCAGCAACCTGGTGTGCCAAATCCCTTACAATCTCTGGCATGGCCCAGTATATTGGCGCCAAATACGCCATCTTGGGCAAATACACCTCCCCACCACGCATATTCTCCAGGTTCTCAAAGATTCGTCCCGCCACCATCTCCGTACTTAGCTCCGGCGACAGCCATGCAGGCGACCCAACCCCATCGAACATGCCGCTACTGATCTTCCCTGGAAACACAACACTAGTCTTGACCCGCTCGCTGCGCACACGGTACCGCAGCTCAAGCCTTAGCGAATCGCGGAAATTGGCCACCAGCGCCTTGCTGCCCGCATACGTCGCCGCCTGCGGCAGACCGGCAAACCCCAGCACGCTGGCCACGAAAACAACATGGCCGTTCTTCTGCCTCAGCATGCCAGGCAATAGCAGCCGTGTCAAGTGCATCGGCGCCATTGCGTTCACCTGCATCACATGCTGCATCTCGGCCTCGGTCATCTCGTGGATCAGCTTGGCGCACACCACGCCCGGCGTTGTTCACTAGCATCGTCGGCACGCCGAGGTCATCGCTGATCCGCTGAACCGCCTTGGTGATCTGCTCCGTATCGCTCAGATCGCACTGGTAGAAGAACACATTCGGCAGGTCCCCTGCCATGCTGCTGACGTCCAGGTTGGCGATCCGCGCTCCGGTCAGCGACAGTCTTTTCAGCAGGCTACAGCCGACGCCGTGCGACCCGCCAGTCACCACCACAACCTGCTTCTCCCACTGGACTTTCTGCTGTGGCCCGCTTGGCTCCGTCAGCCAGACATACAGGTTGCGCAACAGAAACGCCCACAGATACAGAAGGAACACATAGGAGCTGAGCATACCCCACAGATATGCGTGGGCGGCTATCAGCGCCATGGAGAGCGGGGATGTAAACAGAACGTCTAAAACCCCGACTGCCGTATCGAAATTCAGGCCCAAAGGAGTATCGTCCATTTGAAACAAATTTATGCAGGAATGCAGAGTCAGAGTTGAAAAAAGGGGCAGCCAAAGGGGCGCTCATAAACATGCAAATGCAGGTCGCCAGCCTCTTGCCGGGGATAAAGAAATTGATGCCACGCAATTTGCTTGGGCCGGAAACCGCGGATCGGCACAGGAGCAGGCCGACGAGCATTGACTATTTCCAAAAGCGATGATTTCTCAGTGTCCATCGCCTCAGGGAAGAATAACAGAAGCTATGAATTTGCCCTGACAGAAACAAAATGGGTGTATCTAGTTAATTGGGGGTGTTTACCGCGGCATCGGCATCGGAGGCACCGGCGACGCAACGCGGTTTCCGCCAGTCGCGCTGCCGTAGCCCACGCTCGCCGACGACGTCGACCGCGGCATGCTCTGCGCCTGCTGCCACGAATTTGTCTTGCTGCGCGGCGACTGAGCCCGCGACAGCGCCCGCACACGGTTCGTCACTGGCAGCTGCTGGTCAACCCACGCAAACAGGCGGTCGAACTCGGCGCCGATATCTTCGCGCGTGCGGCGGTCCAGAGCCTTGCCATGCTTGGCTACAGAGCCGCCGCTGGCTGCATCGCCGCCCGACGACCGCGCGCTGGCGGTGCCGCTGTCCACCAGGCACGACGGGGCCACGCGGCCGTCGGCTGTAATCACTATGGCCTCGTAGTCGGGCCGGCGCTTGCGGAACTCGGTCAGCAGCTCCACCACCATGGTCAAAAACAGCTCAGGGTTGAAGTCGGCCTTTTGTGCCAGCAGCTTCTCGCTCGCCACCTTGATGTATGTTATCAGGAACGCCACGTAAAAGTGCCGGTGCGCGCGCTCGTATGTCACCACCGCATCGCACACGTCCCACCACCGCGCAAACAGCCCGTCCTCCACCGTGCCGATCTCCTGCTGGTCCGAGTCGGGCTGGTCAGATGGCTGCGTTTCCGCCACCAGCAGCATCGACAGGACGCTTCCCAGATCCAGCAACAAAACCATGCAGAACTGGCGCAGGTCGCGCGGCGGGTTGTCGCCCAGCTCCCACGCCAGGCCCAGGTTCTGCACAATCTGCAGTGCCGCATCCTCCACCTGCTCGATCCGCCCCGTCAGCCCGCTGCCGCCCGCCGTCTTGGCCAGTGCCGCCGCCGACACGCCTGCCTGCGGCAGCGCATCCTGCAGCTCGGACTCGGAGCAGTGCACCAGCAGGTGCAGCAGCATCGGCAGCGTCACCACCGCTGCGGTGGGCACCTTAGTGCTGGCTCGCGCCCACAGCTCGCGCAGCTTGGCCACCTCCTCGACGCTGATGCTCATGCCCAGACGCCGCACATCCAGAATCGACTCCAGGTACGTGTTGTTGATGGCGCCCAGTGCCTTGCGGTACACCATGTCGGGGTCCAGATTGCAGTCCTCGTCCACGTCCGTCATCGATGCATCCGACGGCGCCCACGTCTGCCCAAAGTTCACCAGCGCATACTGCACAAAGTCGCGGTGCCGCTCGTCTTGCGCCAGCAGAATCAGCACTGCAATCTCGCGGATCGCGTTGATCCGGTCCTCGCACGAGAACACAGACTTTACCAGTCGCGCCCGCACTGCGCTCTTCTGCTCCCGCGTCACCAGCCGCACACGCACAGCCTCGTTCATGATCACGTTGATTACGCGCCGGAACGCCTTGGCTCTGTCCTCCTCCGACACGCGCCCGGCATGGATCTCGCTGCACAGCGGATCGGCACAGAACGAGTCCAGGCAGCGGTTCGAGTACTTTGCGTCGAATGCCATCATGTTGACGTTGATCAGGAATATGTAGTCCACCACCGACGCCGTCTGGTCCCGTGTGAAGTAGTTGAGTCGCCACTGTGACACCGCATCGAGGTTAAGTCTACACAGCCTGGATTTAGTGGCGTTTGCCGGATGTGCATACATGCATGATGCGGGATAAAATAAGAAAAGCCCGCTACAACTGCATCCCTAAAAACACGCTGCATGTGGTGGTTATAGCGGGCTAGGCGGTCCACATCTCGGCGGAAAAACAGATGAGCGAGACCGCAGAGGGCAATCGGGCCAAAAAGGAGATCGCCAATACACGCGCATACTCCCCCCATCTCTTGTGCACATCGCACTGTGAGTGCTAAATTAAGCGAGCAAGCTCCGCTGGGCCTGCCTCAAAAAAAAAAAAAGAAGCCAGGCCAGCGGTTCCTGGACTGATAGAGAGGGAGCCAAAACAAGCCTCACAGATCCCCGCCCATTAACCACTCAGAGCGAGGAGATCACTGGCGATGGGCAATAGTGCTGATACCCAGCTCCTTGATGCTGCAGCAAGGTCAATACTAGTGCTCGTTCCAAAACAACACGCCCAGAATCCCCGGGGGCAGCGATCGCACCAAGGTCTCTCAGTGCAAATCGCTCTGTCCGTGCCTTGCTCTGGGTGCGAGTGTGAATGTGTGCATGTACGTGTGGAGTGAAACAATGCAGGCTGCTGGGTGCGAAGCCAGTTCCCATGGGGCAAAAAAATTCTCTTTCCCACTTACCGTGTGCTCTTGCATGCCTCGGACACATCGTCCAAGATATCCTGCAGGTCCTCTGGGTCATAGCGGTAGGTGCTCTCCTGTATCCGCTTCACCAGCTGCTCGCGAAACTCCCGGTAGAACAGCTCATCGACGCAGAACTTGCTGAAGAACAAGTCATTCAGCGTCCGCAGGAACCCGCGCGCATCCACCGTCGCATCCCGCCTCTTCGCCATCATCGACGCTCCAGCCGCGGACCCGCCGCCACGGCCGCGCTGGTGATTCATCTGCTTCTGCTTCATCGAGTCCTCCGACGACCCCGACGAGTTCGCCGTGCCGCCCGGATGCCCAGGTGCACCAGACGATGCCCGCGACGGCAGGCGGCCCGGCTTCGGCCCGCTCGGGTAGTGGCCCGTTGACGACTGCGACCGCGGCTGCCCCGTGTGCTGCTGGTTCACCGACGTCGTGCTTGCCCCCGGCGAGTTCACCCGCGTCTGGCTCGCGTTCAGCGTGTTGCGCGCTTTTTGCCCTGTCGACAGCGTGTTCATGTACTGCTGGTTCTGCGACGTCTTGGAGCTCCGCGAATCGCTGCGGAATACGAGCTCCTCATCGGCCGTGTTTCCCGCCCGTGGCATCAGCCGTGAATTGAGAACATCGTATGACGCATTGACCGATTCACGGCTCTGTTCGGCGCTGCCTGTCGAGCTGTACATTGCAGAGAATAGGGCTGTATTTTTATAGAGAATTGCAGAGCGAAGGGGTTTAGTAAGGGAGGGGTGGAAAATGAAAAAAATTAATGGAACTGGAAAAAGCGGTGTTTGTTCCGGGAAAACCAAGCTTGGGCTTAGCAAGCGCCAGGGTGGTTGAAATTTGTGGTTCTTTCCATTGACCCAGCTGCACGAAGATTGGCCCAGACGCCCAGCACATTTTTCCGCTAGCTCTCCCGACGCCGTCTCAGACAGTCTCACGTAGCTCATGCAGAGGCAAAGTAATAAACTTCGCCGCTATATTGCGTGTACAGAGCGGTTACACAGGCGACCCGATCACCGGAAAGCTATCTGGAAGGCCAGGTTAGTCCTCTCCCCCCCAACCTATTCTTAGAATGGCAGCAGGGTCCTTGCACCGCTGACGAGGTTGCTTGTGGTGGACTGCAGGCCCGCCGAGCCGCCTGGGAAATACGACACCACATACCACACCAGCGCAACCACCTGCACCACTACAAACAGCAGCGTTCCCAGGTACGAGTGGACGACCACCGAGAAGAACAGCGTGAAGAACACCGAACCAAAGTACGACACGGTGAACAGCAGCCGCTCGCGCGACAGCATGTGCGCCGTGTGTGCCCGCGGGCCGCGCAGCAGCGCAATGCCCGAGATCGTCGACAGCGAGCCCAGCGAAAACGCAGTCGCAAACTTTTGCGGCGAGATGATCATCCACGGCAATGCCATGAACGCCATCACGTAGCAGAACAGCGCAAGCACTGCGCACCCGCCGAATCCAATCCACCGCTAACCCCGATGACGTGATATGTTAGCTGCCATTTGCTCCCGATGTGCATATTGCTGTGCTGCTTGCTATCTGCCCTCCACCTTACCTGCATCAGCGTCAGCCCGAACCACTCGCCGCGGTTGCCCGTACTGACTGTGTCCTGGCTATTGCTGCCTCCAAGCAGCGACATGTTTGATATTCCGTCGCTGGCGCTGGACACTAGGTTGCTGGCTCCGTCCCGCAGATTGCCCAGGAACCCGCCACCGCTGCTGCTTCCTTCGCCCGAGCTGGTCGGCAATACGTGGTTTGACGATGTCTTTAGCCCGCTGAGGGCATCTCTGAACGACGACATTTGAAAAGAGGAAGTAAATGCGAAAAAAAAAAATTAAGGGTGCTGGGAGCAGAAGACAGGCAGCCGCGGCAGCCGGCTTGGCACTTTGCGTGTCCTTGGCGCCAGTGATTTTAATCCGGCGACCTTTCTAATTGCATGCCTCGCACTCCCCCGCCTCCCCTCTTCCTGAGTCCCATTCCGAAATTCCTGAACCTGCTCTTTATTTTTCCTTTTCGCAGAACACAGCTTGAATGCATTAGCGTACAATGACAGACCACAGCACGGTTATAATCAGAGACGTCTGGGAGAGCAATCTCGAGGAGGAGTTTGCGGCAATCCGCAAGCTCATTCCCCAGTACCCGTACATATCGATGGACACCGAGTTCCCGGGCGTGGTAGCGCGACCAATCGGCACCTTTGGCTCGGCGTCAGACTACCACTACCAGCTCCTGCGGTGTAATGTGGACATTCTGACAATTATCCAGCTGGGCATAACGCTGATGGACAAGGACGGCAACCCGCCGCCGGGCGTGTGCTCGTGGCAGTTCAACTTCAAGTTCAGCCTGACCAGCGACATGTACGCGCAAGAGTCGATTGACCTGCTGACAAAGTCGGGGATTGACTTTCTGAAGAACGAAGAGTACGGCATTGACGTGTTGCATTTCGGCGAGCTGCTGACGGACTCGGGCATGGTGCTGTTCAAGGAGGTGCGCTGGGTGTCGTTCCACAGCGGATACGACTTTGGGTACCTGCTGAAGCTCCTGACGTGCAATGCGCTGCCCGAGGACGAGGACGGGTTCTTTGAGTTGCTGCACACGTTCTTCCCGGGCATCTACGATATAAAGTACATGATGCGGAGCTGCCGCACATTGAAGGGCGGACTGCAGGACGTCGCCGACGACCTGGAGGTGCCGAGGATCGGGCCCCAGCACCAGGCGGGCTCCGACAGCCTGCTGACAGCCATGACGTTCTTCAAGCTTAGGCAAAAATACTTTGAGGACAAGGTCGACGAAAGCAAGTACCTGGGCCATCTGTTTGGCCTCGGCTCCAATGCCTTCCACTCGTCGGCAGGAGCTGCCACGGCTGCCACGGCGGCAGCGACACCTGCGGCGGCGGCGACAGCGACAGCAACAGTGGCTGCGTAGATTACACACGTTATATTATTTCGCATTTGCTTCTCTTAACTAAAGCGTCTATCAACATCTATTAGTCAACATGTTTTGTTTTACACGACCTTTACGTTGAACTTGCTGGGCTCCATTTCGTTGAGCTGGATGTCGCCGTCCTGCTGTCCGCTGGAGGAGCCGGCAATCGGCACATTCTCCTCTCTAGCGTTGCTGGACGGCAGCACGCCGTTTCCCTGCTTGGCATTCGACGGGCCGCCGGCATACTTTCCATACATGTACGTGGCATAAATAACCAGCGCCGTGCCAAAGACAAAGGCCTTGGTGATACGGAAGTCAAAGATCCACACGGATGCCAGGCACGACAGAATAATCGAGATGCTGGTTGCGAATCCCTTCAGGATGTTGTCTGCGTACTTGACCACCACAGCGACGATGAGCCCGCCGACCGCCTGGCACGCAATCGCACCTAGAGTCCAGCTCGTGTATCCGTAAAAGAACCCGTTGGTCCTGACCCCCTGCCCGTCGACCACCAGGACGCCAAACAGCGCCGGGATGGTCGAAAACAGCGACAGCTGGACATTGCGCGTCCACAGCGACTTGCGCGACCCCTTCAGGACCTTCTCGAAATACACGCCCGCCAGACCCGACAGCACGCACGCGACAAACACCGTGAGCAGACCCATCAGGTTCGCCGACTGCCCGTCGGCACTCGGGGCATCGTCGCCAGACGGCAGCTGCACCAGAATAACACCCACCGTCAGCATCACCAGCGACGCCCACCGCATCATGCCCAGGACCGTGCCCAGCAGAATCACCGAGCATAGCGCCGTGGTCAGGATCTTCAGCTGGTACGTCGCCTGGAACGTCGCCGCGTCCAGCAGCGACACTGCCACATACTGCAGGTTGTTTTGAATCGTGTAGAGCCCCGCCGGAATCAGCATCTTCCAGCTGTCGCCGCCCAGCACCTCGCGGTACACCGCAGAGGGCACCAGCTGCCCGTTGTGCTCCTTCATGGTCTCGCGCGCCGAGATGTACAGGCACACACAGAACTTTGTCAGCTCGCTCAGCAGCACCGCAGTAGACGTGTAGTAGCGCGTGTCGCTGACTACGCGGGAGTACCGCATCACCAGGACCAGCATGCTGTTCTGCACCGTCAGAACAACCAGCGAGATGTACTTTAGTGGGACGCCAAACAGCTCTGCCATGGTCCAGAAGAGATGGTAAGGGTTTTTGTTTAAAAGCTATAAATAGGGGAGGGGAGAAGAGGAGGGAAAATCAGCGGGTTTGGGGTGAGGAGAGGGGGAGTGAGGGAGTGAGGGGGAGAGAAGAAGGAACATGAAGCAGAGCTGCTGGCTGCAAAGGCATGCGCTTAGGGATGTGGTCCGGACAATGGCACTAGATCACTCGAAAATTGGTGCCGATCTCCTCGCCTTCCCAGCGGCTGCAGCAGCGGGCGTCGAGGGAGAGAATAAACAGGTTGCGAGCGAGCGCAGACGCGCCTCCCCACCCTTTCCCTCCCAAGTCTATTTTCCCTGGCCTATTTCTGCCACTCTTGCCAGACACAGCGATGCTCAACACAACCGGCCCAGACAGCCTGCGCGACGAGTTCTTGTCCGAGCTGCGCGACCACCAATACGGCCTTGCCAACTTCTCGCCACCCAACCACCTGCAAAGCACGCTGACGCTGATCGAGGGCCACCAGATATCAGTGACCCTCGACACGCGCGGCTACACGGTGGCCAAAGCCAGCGGCAGCGACATGGCAGGCTGGACCGGCAAGACCTTCGAAACCCTGACGTCATTATTATCCGCTGTGAGCCCGCGCTTCAACAGCAGCATGCACCAGGAGCTGTTTTCCAAGCTCCAGGCGCTGGCCGACTCGAGCGATTTGGGCCAGGAGCAGATCCGCTGATGGCCCAATCACAGCCAGGGCCTTTTATTTGCCTTCCCTCCGGCGAATTTTTTTCTCTGGCGTGTTTTGTGGGCACGCATGACTCTGCCCCGTCGCCTCTTCTCTCTCTCTGAATCACCCCAGTCGAAAACATTCATATTTATACCACACACTTCTTTTGTCGCTGCCATCGCCTCTCTCGATAGCAAAGAACGCTTCTTCGTAGCCTTTTACATACAAAAGACACAGAAAAAGACACAGACACAACCCCCCAGGTCAAACAGGTCCCGCGCTATTTATTATCAGCCGTCTCTCTTTCTTCCTTTTGCTGCTTAATGAGTACTCAAGTTTCCAACGAAAAGCCCACTTTGAATGGTGTCAGGATTCGTACTCGCAAAGTAAGTGTCTTTCCAATCTGCGGTGCCCTGATTCTAGCCAGCCGGCAGGATTGTAGCCGATTGCTAATTGCAACTTCTCGTGTGCTTCTCTTTTTGGGGGAGATATAGCGTGACGCTAAGGCTAATGCCAAGTATGAGCCCGAAGGTAAGTTTGCTGTCTGGTTTGCCCCTCGCCGATACCTCCTCGCAGCCGCAAAAGATTCTAGACGTGAGACATTTCATCCTAAACAACGTGTGTTTCAAGGAGAGCTCTTTAGATTTCAGGGACAGTCTTTTCCAGGTAATTGAGGGCATCGAGCCTACCGACTTTAGCAAGATCTCAGCCGCCCTCGACACGGCCGGCAACACGCTCGACTACCGTCGCTACGGAGACACGTTTTTCGAAGTTCTGGTCACTGGCGGCATCATCGCACCGGGCGGTATCATTGAAGATGACGAAGAATTCGGCAAGCTGCCATTCAGCCTGTTTGTGCTGGCGGACGCCAGCGAGCAGGGCGCGCAGGACTGGGCCAAGCTGATCACGCGGCTGACGCGCCGGTACAAGTACCTGGAGCGGATTTTCACGGAAGCCTGCAAGCACATTCTCGAGAACGTGCACCGCTACAGCGAGGCAGACAACAAGAAGCTGTCGCAGGGCCTCGGCGTGCTGGTGGCGATCGGATTCCTCCCGATGGATCCGTTCCGCGTGCTGCAGAAGGACCACCTGGTCAAGGACGGGCTGGCGCTGCGGTTCATCACGGATGTCATGCGCGAGTACCTGAAGAACCACTCGGCCAAGCAGCTGCATATGGCTCTGATCCGCGGCAAGATCGACAGCCTGGTCGACTTCTTCCCGGCCAACAAGCGCGACGACGACTGCTTTGCGCGGCACTTTGAGGCGGAGGACATGCCGGCGCTGATTGACATGCACATTGCGTCGCGGGCCAACGCCAGCCGCAACGACTTCATTGCGCAGATCGAGAGCATCCTGCGCACGGCCAAGGCCAACGACGAGGACGAGGACGAGGACGACATCCTGGCCATCAACACCGAGGTGGCAAAGGCCGCCAAGGCCGCCATGCGCACCAACAAGTGGCCCGAGGAGGAGGCAGTGCAGCTTGTGTGGGAGGGCATCCTCAGCGCAGTCGACTGGGCCATGAAGCCCGAGCAGATCGAGAACCAGGTCATGGGCCACGTCAAGCGCTACACGCCTGTGCTCGAGGTGCTCACCACTGCGCCCAAGAGCGAGATCAAGCTGCTGCAGTACGTGCAGAACTACTGCTACGAGGACGCCAAGCTGATGAAGTACTTTGGCAAGATCATCCAGGTCCTGTACCAGGACGACGTCCTATCTGACACAGCCATCCTCTTCTGGGCCAAGAAGGGCGCCAAGCCCCAGGGCAAGGCGGTGTTCCTGAAGCAGACCGAGCGTTTTGTCAACTTCCTCGAGGAGCAGGAGGACGACGACGAGTCTGACGACGAGTAAAGCAAGCCTAAATCTTATTTTACGCGCCCGCCGGTCATGGGGGCGTTATCAAGGAAATGTCAGTAATTGTTGATTTCCGAGATCTCTGTTTTGGTGCCTTTATGCGGTGCTGGTGTGGAAAGTGAATTAAAATTATCTCTCCTCTGCTTCTGCGCGAAAAACCACACAACCCTTAAATTCCATTCCAGCATGCCCGGCCTCAGCAGCGCACTCGGCCCGCGGTTCCAGACAATCCTGGCGTCGGCGTGGATATCCAAACGCACGGCAGCCAAATACGTGCAGGACTACGTGAAGCAAATTCAGACGCAGCCGTCGACCGCGCGCGAGCCGATCGCCTTTGCCCCGCCCATCCAGGTGCAGGTCCTGGAAATCGACGACCGGTCCCCCTACGACTCTCTGGACGCCATCAACGGCGGCGAGGACTCGCTGTTCCACGCGCGCAACAAGCAGAACCTGGTGTTTGGCGTGGCCGACGGCGTCGGCGGGTGGAACGACTCGGGCATCGACCCGTCGGTGTTCAGCCGGTCATTGACAGCCTACTCGGCCGATGCGGTGCAGCGGAGCTTCCTCCTGCACGAATCTGACGACGTCGACCCCAAGGAGGTGATGCGGCGGGCGTTTGCCAACATGCGGTTCGACCAGATCCCCGCATACGGGAGCTCGACCGAGCTGATTGCGAACCTGTCTTTGGCCACCGGCACTTTGCGGACAGCGCAGCTCGGCGACTCGACGTATGTGGTCCTGGACGCAAAGCAGAAGGCCAAGTTTGTGTCGGCCGAGCAGCAGCACCGGTTCAACATGCCGTACCAGCTGACCATTCCGCCCACCGGCGACACGCCGCCGTTGCCCAAGAGCGACCCGGAGAATGAAGAGAACGCGCAGTTCTTCCGCCCCCAGCCGCAGTCCGACCGGGAGCATGAGGACTCGTTTGCCGATCTGACTGCCGTCGGCTTTGATACTCCGAATGATGCGCGCGAGGACTCGCACAGGTTGTCGCATAACGACGTCGTGGTGGCAGCGACCGACGGGCTGTTCGATAATGTGCGGGTGGAGGAGGTCGAGAAGTTGGCGGAGCGGTTCATGGGCGCCATTGACAAAATCTCCAACGTCACCAAAAACGTCACTGGGCGCCCCAAGGCCGATTTGTTCGGCGGCCTGGCCTACAGCATTGCAGCCCAGGCTGTGGCTAACTACATTCAGCACGACTTGCGCTCGCCGTTTGCTGAGCGCGCAAAGCTTGCCGGATACAATTACGAGGGCGGGAAGCCTGACGATGTGACGGTTATGATTGCCTGGGTGCGCGAGAACGCCAAGATCAACCAGGCCAAGGCAAAGCTCTAGCTTTTTCTTTTCCTCCTTTGCGTGTTTTGCTGTCATTAATGCATCCGTGGCTTTTTCTTTGCAAGCGGTGCTGAGCGGTCCTGGGCCGGATAAGCTAGCTAATGACCCTTGCTGCGGATGAATCATCTACCTGAAACACCGCAGCAAATACACTCTGGATCTGTCAGCACAGGGTAGTAAAATACTGCTCCAGCCATGCCAAAGGAGGCCAACCTCGAGCCGCCTGCCATGGTCCAGATGCTAGGTAAACAAAAAGCTCTCTCCCCTCTCCATATGAAAGCTCCATATGAACAACAGCAAATAATGGCCAACGGTAAACCACCCCCTGCAAGTCCGCCATGCGCAGCACCAACAGGGCAACGGAGCAGGGCTCGCATCCTGACACGTCAAACAATGCTGCTTCTGCTAAATCGGCGAACCGCAGTCTATACTTAGCCCTGCAGTCTATTGATCTGAGTTGGGGTAAAATGCATTTGCTACGGCTGCCGTCGAACAGCAGCTCCTGGAATAAGCTCGTCAGCCTTCCCTGCAACAAAAAAGCAGGAGCAGCCAGTGCATATAAAGAGCAGCACATATCCAATGCCTGGACCTGCCTGGAAAACACATTTCTATTTATTCCTTCTTTCCTCTCATCAAAATGCCCAAAGCCGAGAAAATTAACCACCGCTCCACACGCACACTCTTCCAGGTGGTACTTTCGTCGGCATGGATATCAAAGGCCGATGCACAAAAGTACGCAAAGGACAATCTGAACGAGTTTAGGGCTGGCCAGTTCACATTTTTACCGCCAGTCCGCTATGAGACCGTTGTCATTAACGACTCCACTCCCTACAAGCGACGGGAGAGAGCATACTCGGGCGACGACTCGATGTTTCATGCACGCAACAAGGACACCCTTGTGTTTGGTGTGGCGGATGGAGTCGGCGGCTGGAAGCGTCGGGGAATCAATTCAGCTAGATTCAGCCGTTCGCTGACTGCGTACTCTGCCCATGCCGTGGCAAGGGTGCAAGATGGCAACCCAAAGGAAATTATGCACAAGGCAGTTGTGGCTATGAAATATGATGATATTCCGGTATATGGGTCGTCAACTGAAACTATTGCCAGTCTGTCGCTTAAGACTGGGACTCTGCATCTTGCGCAGCTGGGCGACTCGCGGTCTATTGTGCTAAATTGTCGCCATGAGGCAGTGTTCGTGTCACCAGGGCAAGTCCATTCGCCCAATATGCCATACCAGATTTCGTTTAGTCCTCCTAAGGATACCAACACTTCGTATGGCAGTAATAATGGCCAGGTGGATGATCTATGCTACTACCGGCCGCGAAAGGATTACTCGCTGCTGACAGATGGCGCTGAGAGAGAAATCATCAGGAATTTGAAGCGTCAGAAAACCGATACCCCTCGTGATGCGCTGGAAGAGATCGTCTACCTGGCACACAACAACATGGCGATTATTGCTACCGACGGGCTGTTTGACAATATGGACGTAAAGCATATTGAAAAATTAGCCAGGAAATATGTACGTGAGCCTAGCACAGCCAGAGCTGATAGCGTATCTTTGACACGATTTACTTTCAGAATTGTTCAGGAGGCTGTTTTCAACTACCTTTTGCCGGTTATTAGACCGGTAACACAAGGTAGTCGCTCGCGTGGTGCTGCCGCCAGGCAGTGTAAGGCTGATGATATCACCGTCATGGTTGCATGGGTACAGGATATATCGTAAGAACTACTGTTACTCGAAAAGCAACTCGCGTGCCAAGGTCTTGGCTACATCAGGAGAGCATATAAATGTCTTCACTCCTCCGCTCACCAACTTTTCTGGGCTGACTCCCGTCCGTTTGTTTCCACACCATGTCCTTCGGAATATATCGCATAGTTATTTCCTCTGGTATTCACAATAGACCTGGGGATGCACGATTTCTCGGCAATATTGTTAATGGCTTCATTGAAATGAAAAATTGCATATAGCCGAATACCATTGGCATTTCTTTCTTTTTTTGGGCGAAGGGTCCGTAAATGGTTATGTGTGTTTTTGGATATAACATTATAACCGATGGCGTTGTATGATACTCCAGCTGGTCTCTACATGAGTTGCTCTTGCCAAGCGACCATCCAACTATCGCTGCTATTTTATGGCTATGCTGTGTGCTCATGTGTAGAGCAGCGTTAGCTAGTATGCATAGCGCTGGACAGCATGTAAGCTTGAGCAAGAATATGACAGAACAGTGGGGGTTTGGGCTGATCGGCGGCTCTGGCCAGAAACAAGTCTGAAAAGCCACACCAGAGCCAAGTGCCGAAACCGGTTTTGCAGCTGCCACCACAAGCAAAAAATCCTGCAGCACTATTTCGACAGCTTTCTTTATGCTTGCAAGAACCGCCTCTTGTCTTGCGCTTCAGTTTTTTTTTTTTTTCAAATTCACCGAATGAGCACCGAAGACGACTCGTTCTCCTTGTCTGCCGACACACTGGCCGCGCTTCAGTCATTCCTTGACGAGAAGGAGGCGATGGACACGTCGTTCGAGCGGCTAAAGGAAAAGGCAGAGCAAGACTTTGATGACAAGCAGCTGGAGGTTACCATGGATATGTTCCAGGAGGACTGGCAGCTAAGCCAGTTTTGGTACGACGACGCAACCGCCAACTTCCTGGCCGACACAGCTCTCCGGCACACAGAAGAATCCGACTATGTAGCTTTCATAAGTGCGCCCACTGCCTATGTCGCTTTGCGTCGCAAGGACGCTGCACGGCCGCGCGCCTATGTGTTTGAGATTGACCAGCGCTTTAGTGTATTCAAGGACCAGTTCGTGCTCTACGACTACAACAAACCATTTGATTTCACAGGCGCCGAGTCGCTAAAGGGCAGATTCAAGTTCATTTACACCGATCCGCCATTCCTGAACAGAGACTGCCTGGGGAAGATGATCGAGACCATGAAGTTTTTGGCTGCGCCTGATTGCAAGGTGATGATTGTCACTGGTGCGGTGATGCAGAGGCAGGCCAGCGAGGATATTGGTGCGCGCGCTACCGGGTTTGCGCCGACACATCGTGGCGGGCTGTCAAACGAGTTTCTGTGCTACACCACGTTTGAAGACGATCACCTCAAGTGGATTTAAGGCTACCACAACCCACTAGACCTAGCATAGTTTCTATTGTAATGAGACCCATGAAGTACCCTATTGTACAACCTCATCAGCAGTAAATACATGTCCGCTATATCAGCCCAGACCCTCGGGGATTGGAGATCGTGTGGTCGATCTGACAGTGAATGGCAACAACGTCTGACCGCTGCCATTGAATTGGCTGCGAACTCTAGCCTCGGCTCCCTGGCTTGTTAGTGCCAAACCCCGATGAACAGGTAGCATATCCTCACATGCAAAACTATCCGGTTCCCCATTTACTGTTGCAAGCTCGACGGGGTCAGGGTAGAACTTGCAATGGCAGTCGATATGAGAGGAGTTAGCCTGAGCCTTTCCACAGCACCACCGGTGACCACATTGGCAGAATGTTTAGGACACAATCAATTGCTACCTGGTGTGCCGATTTCGCAACTTCGTTATCTTTGGGCGCCAATGGGGGCGATAAAGGATTCCAGGTGGGGCTCGTAGCTACAATTCTTATAGTTCCCTTCAGTTTCAATATCATACTGCTCATTTTCCTTAGGAATAGCCCACAGAGTATATATGCAGGCTTTCTTTCTCCAGAGAGATTATATTTATGCGACCCATGTAGACAAGAGGGGTCAAGTATTCTGGATGGTTGAGTGCGATTAGGTAGATGCCGGCAAGGACTGGCATTCGTATGATAAGTACGAGTTGTCAATTACTGTTGACTGAGACCGCATTTCTTTTCCAATCCTCACAAAAACACTTTTCATACTAATGACGAGCTGGGCTACACTGAATCCATATATTATTCATCGAATTGGCCACATCTGTGACAACAGTATTCCTTTAGATGATCCGGATGATGTCGATACCTATACCTCATACCTCCAGCTAAAGCATGTTTGCCAACGCTGGAGGGCCGTTATAAAAGAGATCCTCTATAATAGCACGCCTATTTTGTGCTATAACCCAACTGCTGAGCAACTAACTCTATATGGAGAAGCCTCTGATTCAGACCAACTCGCTTCCGGCGGCATACATCTTGCAGCCCCATCACCACTGTTGACATTCGGGGTCTGGAGTCCTCCTGCGCCGCCATGGGCAAGGCTGAACTGCATACATACAAAGGCCCAGGCAGACGATCAGCTTCCCTTCTTCCCCTCAGTCAAATTTCTCAAAAGGCATTTTCCATATACCCTATAGCCACTCATCCCCTAGGTTAACCGCAGACACTGCTTTTAGTAGTCTTTTGGCGGATGTCATGTCATGAAGCAAGTTCTTTACCCAGCATATTCACGCCAATCTGCTGCTGCGAGTGACAGCCATATGAAGCTGGCTCTGGCTGCTGCTGCCAGCATGCATATTCTATTAGCATTGTAGGCCTGATTGTTGTGATTCGCCAGGCCAATGTCAATCTGCTTTTTCACAAGGCAACTGTGCCAGACTCATTTCCGCACTTCTCTCCTCGTCCTTCCTTCCTCTCAAAAATCTAACCTAATTGATATCCAGCTATGTCCTTTAGTGCTCAAAACACCCCTATTGCTATCATCAATAGGATCCTTGACTACGTAGTCCAACAGTTTCCAAAGACGCCATATATTACATATGGCTGCTGTTGTGGCCCATATGCGCGTCTGTTCACAGTTGCTGGTCTGTGTCGTCATTGGCGAGAGGTAGCAATCAGCAGGCTGTTTGAGGAAGTTTGGTGGTGCAGCAAGGACGATGATGACAGTGGATTCTGGAATATGTGCCGCAGACAGCCTGACCCGAGGAGTCTCGTAGCAGCATATAAGACAGGCAACCTGTTTCGTGTGAAAACCGTGCGGATACATTGGATAGGCGAGGATATCGTGGACGGAGCTGCCACTGAGGTATTCAAAACTTCCCCTTTTGATACGCTGGTGGTACCCAGCACCACCACACTGGTGTTTTCATTAATGCACTCGCATGCTACGAATGGCGTACAGAAGTCTGGACTTGATGCAACCATTCATGCCGAGGCATTCTGCAACGAGATCCACCGGATCTTCCCAAATTCTCAGATCTGCGGCTTGTCAAGTCTTGGCAGCCTTAATGACTATGTGGATACGCCATTTGTTCGCAGTCTAATATCTGGTCTGACCAGTCGCGCTACCGCTGTTTCAACTACTTTGTGGTCGATACCCGCATACAGCTATCCCCTTACCAGCGTTGCCAACCTATTCGAACTGGACATCGATATCAGTGGCCCAGATTCGCCCCTGATAGAAGTCATCCGTCGCAACGCGTCAGCACTAGAGCATGTTGGTCTTAAGAGCCAGCATGCAGCGGTGTTTTCTAAAATTGTTCAGGCTGACGACGGTACACCGATAGTATACCCACGTGTAATGGCACTAACGATCGCGTGTGGTGATAGGGCTGGGCAGCTTGAGAACGCTGCTCTTGGTTCACCGACTGGAGCGCCGTTCCCAGCACTTCAGAAACTGACATGCACCGCTGATTATCCTTTCAGCAACGATGTGCTCTTTAGAGAGAACAGTTCAACACTCGAGTGTCTGAAGATTTCCCTTTGTCCTCGAGCTGCTACAGATCTGCGGGGCTGTGGTGTATTTGATGCAGGCAGATTCCCCGCGCTAAAATACGTCAACTCCTATATTGACACGAGATACCAGGAGGATGAGCGTACAGACCAAGCTAGGTGCCTCCTTGTCCTCAGCACCAACGCTAGAATATTATTCACAAACGGAGGCAGCTGCTTGTTTGACAATATTGGGCTCACCATTGGGCAAGTTGGGCGGAATATCGTACAGCTGCAAATTCCGAGTGTTAAATTCACTCTGCATCGTTATCTTCAGCTGGTCAAGGCACTGCCCTATCTGCGGGAAATATCGGCAGGGATCAAAGTTACTAGTGAGTTGCTTGGTAACGATCGAGCTCATGACGATTGCATCGCACAATGCCGGCGTCAGTGGGAGATAGAAAGGGATATACATGTGGGCATTGAAGGCAACTTGGCAGACGAAACTGGCGCGGAAAAGGAGGCATCTATTAGTACAAGTGAAAACGAAAACGACGATTACAGCATGTATGGCGAAGAGGCGGACGACGAGTACCATTACTGGTGCTGGAGCAACTGCAAGAACCTTTACCGCACGCTTATGTTGGGCCATTTGGATACGCTCTATGCGGATCTGGAGTTTGTTGACGCACTCTATGATCAGTACTACCCACTCTCTACTACGCTGACACTACTGGACATATCCATTCAGAAAAGGGTCCGCCTTATTCCATTGAGATTGGCAATAATTATCGTCGCCCTCTGCCCCACTGTCCAGTGCATTCAGACCTCCTGGGTCGTCGACGAAGGATTCGCTTTGCATTATGCACCAGACCTAAATGACTGGGTAATTGCAAGATCTGATGTCGAGGCAACTACGCAGCATACAAGACTTAAGAACCATCTCCAGTCTTTAGAGAGGGCTTAGCAGTAGGTTTTTTGTGTTTGGTTAAATGGACCCACCATTGTATACCTGAAAGTTATGTATATGCGAAGAGCGACTATGCTAGCAAGGATGTCTACAATTTCAGGTAGGATCGCAACACATTTCTGCTGCAATTCATCTCGTAATCAGATAGGCATAGTTTCAGATAATTTTATTCATAACCAGCGCCTATAATCCAACAGGGGTCTAAGAATTAGCTCACACATCCGGTATGCAAATTTTGTAGGTCTAGAGCACAAGGTGGAAGATATAGAGTAGCGAATAGATGGAAGGAAGGGGATGGGCAACGAAAATACATGGTGTGTGTATATGTGTGTTTTCGTGGAATGTGACTTGCAAAAGACATTTAAACGGCGTTATATCAGTCCAAAGGTGTGCTAGTGCTGTGGGCTTAGTATGATCAAAAGGCAACAGAGTCAAGGATAATATTAATGTGTAAAAAGCTAAATAAGAGGAAAGTTTGAGGGCAAGTGTAAAGGTTCTATACCATCGTTCAGGCGGTACGGCCAAAAGGAAATAATAAATAAAGGAAAAATATTAGTGGAAAGAAAAACTATGTAGTTCACAGTAATCGGGTCTTGGGATTCCAACAAATATTAGGCAAAGACAAGTTTGCGTGCAATTTAAAAATTAGTACTAGAGATGGCGCTGCTAATTTTTGGTACTATCAACATAAACTATCAGCATTGCATCGCTCTTGGCAACTCATCGGTGCAACAGGAAGCTGTGTGTATAGACAGTATGGAACACTAGATGCCTTTGGGGGACCGAGATTTATAGAAGCCTAGCATGATGGTACAGTTCATGTGCCAAGAATGTGCTTATACTTGCGGGTTCGGTCACCTCATACTGAGTGATCAGGGTATGTGGATGTACTTGTAATAATAAAGGTACAAACAACCATGACCATGGCTATATATCAAAACAGTATTTGTGTAGCATATATTTGCGCAATAGTGGCTGAAATTTCTAAGACTCAGAAGTAGCCGTTGTAAACAGGTGCTCCACAACGCTATTTAGAAACTCATTTTGGCGAACCTTCTCCATGACCGAGCTATCAGCACACAAGTATACCAAGAGATCTCTGCTGGGTGGAGGGCAGCGGAATATGTATACGTTGTTGGCACCGATGATCGGAATAGTCGCTGCAAACGACGGCGTCCCACCACCAAAATCTATAAGATAGTGGTCTTGGCGGGACATATTAGACACCATCCCTGCGCCCCTGTTCCGAGATATGTATACCAGCCTCCTGGTGAAGCAGCGCGGCCGTGAGTTGACCATATCAAAGTATTCAGATACATAAGGAGGCATGACGCTGGCCACACTTCGCCGTACCCTGGTCGCATTCCATGCCAGCGACCGTGGTGAGATGGTCGGCTCAACATCAGCTGGGTCGCTAAACATGAGCTGCACGAACGTTCCATTGCCGACATATTTTGTCTGGTCGATGCCAATGCGGTGGCGGATATCGCATGCGATTCCTATGCATTGCTGCAGCAGTACCTGGTGCTTTTGTTGCTTGCCAAGGACCTTGTTTATTAATCTCCTCAAGCGACTGGTCATGAGGCGGCTGCTGTGCTTGGGCCAGCGCCATCATGCACAGTGCAGTGACGATATCGTTGTCCGAGATACGCATCCCGTCATGGACAAACTCGGCAATTGCATCATGCAAGTTCTCGAGAATTGGCCGCGATATAACAAACGCACTGGTTCGGAGGTTCTTTGTACTTGCACCCGCGTATATAAGCCTGGCCCTAACTTTCGGCGACAGCGATGCGAGAAAGTTGCCAAATAGCGTCTTCATTTCGTAGATGTCGCGCATAGAGCTTTCAATGGGGCTGCGTTCCACAGGCAGATTCTGTGGGATTATTCCTCGGTCGAAGCGAAATTCAACTGGTGGTGCTAGGAGTGCCGCCAAGCAGTGCCCGTGTTTCCTCGGCCCAACGGGCGATAAAGTACAAGCTGGCTGCACTGTCCACAATGCAATGGGCAATGCTGATAAAAATAATCAAGCCACTGTTTTGCTGCAGCCGCACGATGTGAGCATTGAGCAGTTTGATACGCCCGTCATGGTGGACCTTGCAGAGCCCGCCCGCTGTTTCCAGACTTGCCGGCCATATGTTGAAGTTAAAGTTTGCGTCTCTCAGTTTGTTGAAGTGGAGACTTTCGTCGGATGATTCGAGATATTCAGGCATATTCAAGTCGTACTTATCGACAACAATTTCGTGGATGCCCTTCCTGCGTGAATGTATGTGTCCAGCCAGGATGGGAAACTGGCGCAAGGTCCTGTAAAACGACTCTTTGAGAACGCTGTTTGGCATGAAGTCGTCGCTGCCGTCAGGGTTACCGAAAAAGTACACCAGCGGCACGTTGAAAAAAGGATGGCAGCATATCCAGGAATACCAAGAGGGAATATCTGCGACTGCGCCTGATGCCCTGAATGACTCCATTTTGGATTGCAGGCTGAAGAGCAAGTTAACAATGGATGTGGAAATATATGTACAAATGCGGTATTGACTAGCGGCCAGGACAAACAAGAGGGTCATATGCTTCTTGCGGACATTGCGCGAGTTATGGATAATTAGTGGTGCAGTGGATATCGCTAAACTTGGTAGTAGGCAATACTACGTGCTTAACCAGCAATCAAAACTACTCTAATACTGGTGGTAGCGCGAAAGTAGCATTTCTAGAGGGCACTCCAATAGCTCACAAATTCACAATTAGTATTTAAATATCGGCTGTGCTTTAGAAATTGTTGTTAGCTACCGCTATGGTTAACAAAGAACTGCTCACAGGATGTCGTCGCCACTAAGATCCGCAACCATGAGCTTGGTGTATATCGAACAAAGACTCGGGTCCTTGGGATTCAGTGAGTACATGACTCTCTGTGTGTAACTGCTACACTTTTTGAATTTCCCCAGTGGGATATCCCCCAGGTTCATGGCACTGTGCCGCTCGTATCCAGAACACATAAGCATGCGTTTGTAGGGGTCTTCAGAAACCCAAACCCTTGGCGGTTCTAAGGATCTGACAGCGCAATGGTAGAGGGTGCCTCGAGCGTCATCATCGCAGCGCACAAATCCATGGTGGACCACGCCGTCAACTTTGAAGTCAAGGGCGAAGGTTGCACCAGTACCTTGAAGACGAACCACAGAGTTCAGCGGACAGATTTGAGCGTTTGTAGAGACCAAAGTCGGCCATAGAGAACGGATAGTTGGAGGAAGGAGAGGGGCTAGGTAAAGACATGTGCAAGTTGTGCGAGGACAACAATCTCAATATATATCCCTCTGGCTATGATGGCAGACTGTGATCTATTCGGCAGCACCAACAGAGAATAGTCCCTATGCTGGCTCGGAGCTTCTCAACCCTTTTGACATCAGCACCAAATGCAGCAGACGCGGTAGATGGGGCGCAGGTATCAAACAGCCTATAACTACATGCTATTTCTGCTTGTCTATAGCAGCCGTGGATGTCGAGGCGGTGTGCAGAGCCCAACAGCGACATTGCATCAGCAGCCAAAAAAGGCGTTCTGCAGCAGGGGTGATGCGCTGGCACAAGTCGCCTGTGTCGGATGCAATTTGATCATATAATCAGGATTGCAGGGATCACATGTTCTAAAAGGTGGAGGCGCGATCAGCGATTTTGAGGTTAACGCGTGTGGGCACCAAAGCAAGTAGTGTACTGGACAAGGTGTTGCTCGGCCTTTTTCCTTCAAAAGTAGTTTTTTGATTCACATTAAAATGCCTGCCTCTGGAATCGTCGCTGGTGCCAACTCGGGCCACATCACCGCTCGCCGCACGCTCGCCGCTCGCCCGGCGAACAAGAAGGGTGTATGTATCGAAGGAGAATGGATTCGTATCCATCAGAAAATGCGGACGGAGCAAAAATGAAATGCAGAGAGAATCCCATGGGAGGAATTTCGAATTTGCATGGAGGAGCCCTGGACAAAATTGCTAATCGCATTTGCATGCTCACACCCCTTGTAGAACACCCACTCGAAGCACAACGCGTTCGTGAAGGATCTGGTCCGTGAGGTCGTTGGTTTCGCCCCGTACGAGCGCCGCATCATGGAGCTGCTGAAGAACTCGCGTGATAAGCGCGCCCGTAAGCTCGGCAAGAAGCGTCTTGGCACCCTTCGCCGCTCGAAGGCTAAGGTCGAGGAGCTGTCCAACATCCTGGCTGCCGCTCGCCGTCACTAAGTTGAGAGTGTCTTTGTTTTCTAATAAGAAATACGGACATTACATTGTGCTGATTCATCCACCAAACAGCCTCTGCCCCATTCTGTGCCTATGATATCCAGTTCATTTGCGATATATGTGGATAGTCGTGAAAAGAGTGATTACACAAATTGCGACAGATAGGTCTCTGCGACAATGCGCGCCCTGGCGTTGAGGCTGAGCTTCATCTCGCTGATCTCCTTGTCGACCTCCTCCATGAACTCGATGATGAAGTCAACGAGCTTGTGCTTGTACATCTGCTCGGTATGGAAGTTTGTGATCAGGAACGAAATGTCGTATCCCTTGATGGGCACGCGCCTGAGGATAATGAAGCTCTCTGCACGCAGCATCAGGAAGCGCGTGAACTGGTGGGCCAGAATGCGCTCAATGTCGTCGGCCTGCTTGATCTTTATGCTGACGCGCACCGAGTTGATGCTGCTCTCAATCAGGACCTGCTCGTTCTCGTTACGGCTAACCACCAGCGGGTTCAGCAGCACCTCTTTGGTGTTGCCGGCCTCGACCTTCGGGCACATTGTGCTTCTCCAACGATTTGCGAGGCAAAGTTATCTAGGCACATTGCCGCCGTCAGGGTCGAGCGGACTGCATTCAGGTACGGGCGCAGTGTGTTGGACTACATGTGAGTGGGGGTGCTGTTGAGTGCGTCGTCGTTCTGTACGGTCCTCTGCATGTCATCTGCGAGCGCATTCTGCTGCTGCGGCCTTACCATTTCGAAATGACAGTGATATAGATGCGCGGGAATTGAGGCAGAGCGTGTATATAGAGAGAGGTCGCGAATTCCAAATGCGCAGAGGCCGCTGTTGTCGTCAGCGGCAATAGGCCCTAACCCCAAGGCGGAAGGAGCTTGATCACTTGATCACCGAAAAAATGGCGCCGCAATCAGAATTTTTCGTGTATAAAAACGCTGGGACATGGCTGTAGCCGCATTCCCTTCTCTTCCGACTTTGCTTGCGAAAGCTACATTATCCCTATTATTCCTACGCCAACACAAAGCATGTTCTGTGGTTTCTGGGGCCTGAAGATTGTGCCGGGCAAGACGTACTCGCAGACCGTTGATGCGTCGTTCCGCGTCAGCAACGTAAGTACGGGACGCCGAAACTGGGTTTAAAATACACGACCGCATTAGCACTAACCCGGGCATTGTCTATAGGCTGCACTTGGCGAGACCATCGGAGACTCTGGCCGCACCTCGGTGCTTCTGACTGTCGACGACAAGAGCTACGTTCTGTGCTCGCTGACCCCGGGCAAGATCGAGCAGCAGAGCCTTGATATCTCTCTGACCGGTGGCGAAGAGATTACGTTCGAGTCCACGGGCAAGAACGAGATCCACCTGACAGGCAACTTTATCATCGAGGAGGACGACACAAACGAGGGCAGCGAGTCGGACGACGACGACGACGCGATTGACTTCAGCAAGCTGTCGCCCGAGCAGGTGCAGGAGCTGATCGATGGCGGATACATCAACCCTGAGGATGTCCTCCAGAGCCTGGGCGGTGAGGATGACTCGGACGACGACTACGACTCGGAGGATGCCGAGGCTGACGCGCAGCGGATCATTGAGATGGACTCTGACGACCTGGAGGTGGATGCGGAGGAGGAGCTCGAGAAGGAGGTCAAGATCAAGGAGTCTGCCAAGGACGCAAAGAAGCGCAAGCTGGCCCAGGAGCAGGAGGCTGCTGCCAAGGAGGAGAAGAAGCGCAAGATCGAGGAGGCCAAGGCCAAGAAGGCTGAGAAGGCCGAGAAGGCCGCCGAGAAGGCCAAGGCAAAGAAGCCCAAGCAGCAGAAGCTGGCCAGGCGGTGTCATTGCTGAGGACAAGAAGGAGGGCACCGGTGAAGGCGTCAAGAAGGGTGCTCGCGTCGGCATGCACTATATTGGCAAGCTGACCAACGGCAAGGTGTTCGACCAGAACACCAAGGGCAAGCCGTTCTGGTTCCGTCTTGGTGTCGGCGAGGTCATCAAGGGCTGGGATGTCGGTGTTGCCGGCATGAAGCGCGGCGGCGAGCGCCGGCTGACGATCCCTGCGGCCATGGCCTACGGCAAGCGCGGCGCGCCCCCAGATATTCCCCCGCACGCGACGCTGGTGTTTGACGTGCGCCTGATGGATTTCAAGAAATAGACGCTTTATTTTCAAACGTTATCCTGCGAAATAGTACGTTACTAGAGCCGTAACTATACTGGCCACTGTGGCCGTGCCCAGTACCAGCCTGTGTGCTTCCTTCCGTGTATATGATGGCTTGATGTTGTTGTACATGTCGAGCTCTGTCTCGGTGTTCTCGGGCTCATCCGGCTCATGTGTAGAGTTGAGCAGCTGGGACGAGATCACTGCCATCTCCGTTGCCTGCCGCTGGTCCATGGCCGCTAGCACCGATGCCAGCGCCCCCAGGTGCTGCCCAATCTCATTGATAGCGCCCTCGTGGCTTGCCAGTCGTTGCTCTACGCCCTGCTGGACATCTGCAATCCGGCTGTTCTGATCGGCTATCGCTGCTGTCAGCTTCTCGTCGACGCCGGCCACAATCTTTCTGCGCTTCCTGGGCTCGAATATGGCCTGAGCCATAAACAGCGCCAGAATATTCATGAAACAGCACCGCCCATGTTCCATACGTGCTGGCCCTGCGGATCTTGTCGCTCCAGATCTGCTCCTCATGGTACCGCTCGCGGATCGCCCCCACCAGCTCCCCGTACCGCCTGTCAACAAGCTCCTCCGCCTCCTTCAGCTCCTTGCCAGCTGTGCGCTCCAAGATCTCTGCCTGGTGCTCGTCGCGGTACAGGCTGGTAAACCTCGCCACATCCGTCTCGTCCCACAGGTGCTTTCGCTGCAGCAGACTGTTGATCTCACGCTGGCTAGAGATCCGCTGGTGGATCATCTTGCCGTGGCCCTCCTTGGCAGCCTGCAGATCATGGCGAGCCTGGTTAAAGTCGACACCGCATGTCTCTACTTTCTCCTTGAGGGTCTGGATCCGCTCGTAGCCGGTCATCTGGTTTAGCGCTTTGCTGGCCCAGGTCACCCAGTCATCGTCCTGCGGCAGTGCCTTAATGGCTTCAATGCGCTTGCGGCCGGTAAGAACTGCCTGGTGGAGGACTGAGTCCTTGAGAAAGGCTGATACAGAATCGGCCAGATCCCTTGTGTCCCTAGTTCCCCGCTGCTTTAGCCGGTCCAGGATTTCGGATGTCTGACCAGATGCTGGAGAAGTGCCAGCGTTGCCTTTGTCTGCTTTACTAAACATCTGACGCAGCCATGCGAACATACCCGCTGTGCTGCCATCAACCTGCGGCCCAGCTGCACCGACGGACCCTGCGCTGCTGCCACCAGCCTGGTCTCCCTCGGCTCCGTCTATCGCCTTATCTCCTTGCTCACTCTGCTGCTGATTCTTCGCACAGCGACTGGCCAGCCTCACCGGCGTGTGCCAATCGGGCGGCGGTAGGTAAATAATCGTCAGCGGTACTAATGCCAATGACGGCGACTGTGTCCCGTCCGACGTCAGACCAATCGACTTTGCGTGCTCGGGCTCGAGGATCCTCTGCAACACTGCCTCGACAGGCTCCCGACTATCGTCGGTTGCAGGAGCACCAAGTGCAATTGTGTCATTGTCTGTTTTAGTCGAATTGTGTCGAACTCCGCTGGTGTCGTAAGCAGCAACGGTGCAGTTGTGCTGGGTGCCAGAACGCAGCTTTGGTTGAAGGGTACAGCAGTCGTCGCCGCAAAACGCCAGACATTTAGAAATGCAGTGACTTTTGAATTCTATGTCTACAAAACGCTGGGGGGGGAAGAGATAAGCGGAAAGAAGAACTGGCTATCCGCAAAAGGGCCTGAATCCTGCTTTGGGATAAACGCAGCCGATGATGATTTCCTTTGGCCATGCCCACACATGCAGAAATTACATAAGCTGGCTTGAACGTGTAACATTAAGGAAGGCAGACATCTTAACCAAAGATCGAGTTGGAAAACGCAATAATGTTGTGGTCCTTGTCGCTGTGCGCAATATCATACAGCTTAGCCAGAACCTGCAGCGACAGGAGACGACGAAGAGAAGAACGGAATCTGCAGCATCGTCGCGACAGTCACACCAAGAATGTACTCGATGCGGCCGCTGGGGTGTGACGGGTCATACAGGAACCGGGTGTCAGGGTCCGAGCAGAAGGTGGGCTGCTCGCCGTTAGTGCTGTAGTCAGCGCACGGCGGGTACAGATCTGTGATGTTGATTGCCTTGAGCACATCCTTGTCCAGAATCACCGACATCATCGAGTCCAAGTCAAGCAGGCTGACGTTGTTGGCATCCGAGCGCGACTTCTTGATGGAGGCGACAGAGTTCTTGAGGCCGTTGTTGACAGCAGAAATGATTGGGTTTTGCGTGTAGGTGGTGCCCGTGACAGTGGCAGTAATGCGGCCCCCAGCATCAGGGATAGTTGATCAGGTAGATGTTGCGGTAGCCGGCGTCCAGCAGCCGGTTGACGTTGGCTACCTGGTTGCCCACAAGAGTGCTGACAAACCAGGTCGCGTCAATCGAACCATTGCTGAGTCCATCGGCGGAGTAGCCAATGTCGTTGCCTCCGCCGTCAATGAACACCAGCGAGTTCACCTTCTTGAAGTTTGACGTGCCAGTGTTGTTGGCAATGTACTGCTTGACAATCTCGGTGATGCTGGGGATCAGCTGCGTACGACCGTAGGCAGGCACAAAGCTGTTGTCGGTCGTAGAGCCGCCGATGGCATAGTTCTCCAGTTTCAGGTTAGTCAGGAACGCAGTGTACTCATTCCACATGTAGCTGTTGCTATACCGACCGCCCCAGTACTGCGAGTAGTTGGAGTAGTGCGGCATGTGGCCGTTGTCCGACATGCTGTCGCCGAACACGATCATTGAGGGGCGCACAAAGGCATTGTAGGTCTCGACGGTAGGGTCGGATGGAGCATTAGTGGTCGTGTCAACCGGTGCGGCGAACGCAACCGATGCAAGTGCGAGAGAAGAGGTAATGAGAGACCTGAACAGCATCTCTTGCGTGGATACGGAATAAAGAAAGGGATAAAGGTAAGAGGGAAAGAGAACGGTGTTGGATAACAGATACAATAGAGATTTCTCAACGCGCATAGACGCTTTTATACCCATGCGTCCGTCTGCAGCCTCGATTCAAGTCCTACCACGCGGTCTCGCTTGTAGAAAATGAGATTGCTCCCTCTCAGCGGCCGCTGCAAGGAACACCAATCCAACGTCAAGTCCGTGCAACTAATTGGCCTCTTTCCTGCTGGTTTTTGCCACCACTGAGACAAATGGTCAAAGACCGTCAATAATCTGGCCAAACGAGATGGCGCTGCGGCTCATTTCTCCCTGCTGCCACAGCAATCGTGTCAGCTTTCTAGTACGCACGAAGCTTTGGTTCCTCATTGGGCAGGACCAGTGCCAACTTTCATTCACATTGGTTCTTATAAATGCCGATCCTGATCCTTCAGACCAAAACATGCCAAACCTTCTTTTTTCGACTGCTGTTTGCTACTCGGGGTTGTTTCTGAGCAACAGCCTGGAGCTGACCTCTCGGGCGATGTTAACGAAGTCCGCTAGCAATCGGCATGTGTTTGTAGCCCATTGTGTTTGTAGCCTATTGATAAAATACCAGCATACTCTTGGCGCCAACCTGCCTAATGGGCTTGCCGTTAATTCGCAAGGCCTGGCAATGGGCTCTTTGGTAATCACCATCTTCTCAGAAGCCGGTCGTCTGCACTGCCAAAACGACGGCCAGCAAGGTCGTGCGGAAAACCAGCTGGCTCAAAGCAGGTATTTCGCAGCACGTCGGCAAAGCCGGATTAAGCTTCCCATTGCACAAAGTTTTGTCCGACATCGCGGCATGGACAGATGCAACCATACGTCGGCTGCCAAAACAGGACACGGAGTGTTTGTGCACTTGGGCAGCTCCAAATCAAGATTGGAGCAAGGGATGTAACCTCCGCCGCACATACCGTTTTTGTCACCTTGTGGCGGGTCCTCCGGGCACCCAACGGTGGGTTCAGTTGAGACCACACATAAGCGCAATTGGTTAGAGCATTCTAGAAGCATATTGCTCTTGGCGTGTATCGATGCAAATCGGAATGTTCATTGCTTGGCCAAAAATAAAAAGGAGCCGGGTGATCAACCCCAGCAAAACCTTGTGTTTACAGGAATAGCTGGCCAGTGAAGGCATGCAGCTGGGCCGCTGTCCCTTTCCAAGGGCGCCTACCGTGGTACGTCCAGGCGCACACGCTTTTGCATTTTAGAGTGTGGGCAGAATACTCGCACTGACTGCAAATGTGGGAGGGCAGAATGAACCCATGCTATTACAGCGCCTGCTTGGCTGCCAGAGCAATACAGAATGCTGCAGAGTCCAGTATATCTGACTGGCACTTTAAAACAGGTATACAGGTTATCTCAAGAGCGCAGATGCCCGATCAGGCGCACTTCATACATACCGCCGTGGAAATAGAAATAAGCTGCCCCAAGCACGCAGGACCATTAGATGTTTGGTTCGACATGTTGGTTCCGAGCCGGCCGATAATGCCGACAGCTGCCCTGAACCCCAAAACAAAGCGGAGTTCATTGCTGCTGCACCGTACTTATTAGAGATCTACTGGATCCCTACAGATGGGTGTGAAATGCCAAGATATTTTATTACCAGTGTGGGATCTGGCACATTCAACACTGCAGCGAGTGCAAATGGGTTCTTGAATGAACAGGGAATTGCCAATCGGTTTGCACAAAGGAGACGGAGCGGAATGCCGAGCATGCGCGATTTCCAACATTCGGCTGTACGAGAACTGGCTTTCAAATGAACTGATGTCTATTGAGGGGTCATGAAAAGTTAGGCGTCGTTGGCGATGATGTTGTTCTTGTTGTCGCTGGCTCCCTATGGCGTACTGCTTGGCAATATCGGCCAGGGACCACTTGTTAACTTGCGTACGACGGGTTCTTGACAATGTTGGCAAAGGCAACGCCGATCAGGTAGTGCGGGCGGCCGCTGGGGTGGAACGAGTCGTAGTAGTAGCGGACATTGTCATCAGTGCAGTACGTCTGCGAGCCGTCGGCATGGTCAACAACACAGGGGTTCTTGGTGTCGGTGATGTTGAGGGCGTTCAGAACCACATCCGAGTTGCTGGTGTCCATCAGGTCCTGCATGTCAAAGAACTTGACCTCGGCAGCCTTGGACATGTTGGTCAGCTTCAAGATACCGAGCTTGGCCAGGAAAGCGGCGTTTATGAGCGGCGTCAGAATGCCGGCCAGGGCAGAGACGATGGTTCCGTATTCAGCGACAGCAGGGCGCCATGGTGAGGACTGGGGAGGTTGAGGAGATAGATCTTGCGGTAGCCATCGTCAAGCAGAGCCTTGATGCTATCGATCTGGTTCTGCACCATGGTGTCGATAAAGTAGAAGATGTTCATCTTGCCCGACTTGATGTCGTTCAGGGCACCAAACAGGTTGTTGCCACCGCCAGTCGATGGCGATGATCGAGTTCTTCTTCTTGTAGTCTGAGACGTTTCGTGTTATTGGCGAGATATGGCCTTCACAGTATCAGTGATGCTAGGAATCAGCTGCGTGCGGCCATAGGCAGGGATAAAGTTGTTGTCAGTCGTGGAGCCACCGATCGCGTAGTTCTCAAGGATTGAGATCCAGCAGCTTGGCCGAGTACTCGTTCCACATGTAGCTGTTGGCGTAACGGCCGCCCCAGTACTTGGAGTAGTTCGGAGTAGTGCGGCATGTAGCCGTTGTCAGCTGAGGCTGTCGCCGAAAAGGATAAGGGAAGGGCGGTCGCTACCAGTGGTAAAGCTGGGCGGCGTCTGGGCCAATGCAGAGCCAAGAAGCAACGCAGAGATAGGGGCAAGCGTGCTGAAAAGCATGATAATAATGGCGATAAGGAATAGGCTGGGAAGGGAGGGGAGGGGAGGGAGGTAGCGAAGATGAGAGAGGGTTATGCTTAATTCAGGTTGAGGAAAGGGGCGGGGCATGTCGGTTAAATAGGAAGCTTCGCCATGGCGATGGTCCACACCGTGCGTTGAACATGCAGGCTGAGCTCGAATGCGCCCAAACAGCAGTGCTGAAATAGGCGAGCATATCCTCCTCAGAAGTTCGAGGGCTTCCAAACACGGAGCACACCTGAAATAAAAACGGGTACTTTCTCATGGCGCAGGCAGGACCGGTGTCCTATCATATGAAAGGGGTGGCAAAGCTCCAAGGGTTGAGGCTGGAAGGGAGCCCGCGTCGATCTCTGCTCCGCCATTTGTTTACTTTACACAAACAACCCTTGGCGCTGGGCGAGTCATCCGTTCGCTCCGCACCCGCCATGTACGACATGGATATTGACAGCACTGCATACTCGGCCTCCGCCAAATGTGGCAATTAACACACCTAAAAATATGGCAAAACGTGTATTCGTACCACAGCTCAGCCCGAAATGAAAAGGTTAACCGGTGAGGGATTAGCGCCGCTGTGTCCTTAAATTCTTAAGCGCTGCTGGCAAGAATGTTGTGGTTCTTGTCGCTGTGCGCAATGTCGTACTGCTTGGCAATGTCGGTGAGGGACCACTTGGTAACCGGGTACGACGGGTTCTTGACAATGTTGGCAAAGGCAACGCCGATCAGGTAGTGCGGGCGGCCGCTGGGGTGGAACGAGTCGTAGTAGTAGCGGATATCGTCATCAGTGCAGTACGTCTGCGAGCCGTCGGCATGGTCAACAACACAGGGATTCTTGGTGTCGGTGACGTTGATGGCACGCAGAACCATAGGCGAGTTGCTGGTGTCCATCAGGTTCTGCATGTTGCAAGAACTTGACCTCGGCAGCCTTGGACGGGTTCTTAAGACGGAGAGCAGTGAGCTTGGTCCGGAAGACAGCATTGAGCACAGGCGTGAGCATGCCGGCCAGGGCCCTGGACAGCCGGACCATACTCAGCGAGAGCAGGCGCCATGGTGAGACTGGGGAGGTTGAGGAGGTAGATCTTGCGGTAGCCGTCGTCAAGCAGAAGGTCTTGATGCTATCTATCTGGTTCTGCACCAATGTATCGATAAAGTAGGTGATGCTCATCTTGCCGGTCGACAGATTGTCCAGGCTGTAGAAGAGGTCGTTGCCGCCACCGTCGATGGCGATGATCGAATTCTTCTTCTTGTAGTCTGAGACGTTCGTGTTGTTGGCGAGGTACTGGTGAACGATTTCGGTGACGCTAGGAATCAGCTGCGTGCGACCGTAGGCAGGGGCAAACTTGTTGTCGGTCGTGGAAGCCACCAATCGCGTAGTTCTCGAGATTGAGATCCAGCAGCTTGGCCGAGTACTCGTTCCACATGTAGCTGTTGCTGTAGCGGCCACCCCAGTACTTGGAGTAGTTCGAGTAGTGCGGCATGTGGCCGTTGTCGCTGAGGCTGTCACCAAAGACGATCAGCGAGGCGCGCTCCTTGGGAGGCACGCACTTGGGAAGTCCCAGCGGCAGCCACCGAGCCCAGAGCAAGCGCGGAAATCGGGAAAAGCGAGCTGAGGAGCATGATAATAAAAAATATCGGGCTGTGGTTGTAGAGAGATAAAGGGAAAGCGCGATGAAGAGGGAAGGGGGTGTTCTTCGCAAAAGAGCCGCAAGGGCAGTCGGCTTAGGTTAAATAAATTCGGCCAGCGTAAACTGGCTTCACTAGGCCTCCTGTGCAACCTACAGCACGGCCTCCTTCCAACAACGGACACGGAAGTGAGTGGTGGTTGTATTCACGGTGAATCCCGAAGGAACTAAATAAGGAACTAATCTGGAGGGAAACGGGGACTGTCTCCTGACGCGGCATATGGAAACAGCGCGCTGTCGTTAATGGGGATAAGAGCTGCCTGAAAATCGAGCCTGAAATCAGGCCGCCGATCATCCGCCCAGCGTGATTTCGAAACGAGTACATAACAAATCGAGAAGCGGTCCCCTCGGCCCCGAGCAATCGGTATGCGTGGCATGTATACCGGGCGCATATTATGTCTAGGGCGTTTCCAGTGATCGGGTTCCAGCCCACATGTACTAGCTGTTTGTATTAGATGCGGACAGTGCATGTGGCGTCTATTGCCATACCTCACGGGCTGCTGGCAATGATGTTGTGCTTGTTGTCGCTCTTGGCAACATTGTACTTTGCCGCCAGGATAGCGCCAGGTTCCAGATGTCTGGTCTGAAGAACGGGCTGCGGACAATGCTGGTAAAAATGAGACCGAGCATGTACTGGATGCGGCCCGAGGCATGGAAGTCGTCGTAATAGTAGCGGGTATCAGGATCAGTGCAGTAGATCTCAGAGCCGTCCTTGGCGTAAGTGATGCACCAGTCATTGCCCGTTGTGATGTCAGAGCGGCAAGACTCTCTGGTTTGGCCATCAGATCATAAACGCAGCCAAGGTCAAAGAGATTGACTCCAAAGGAGCGCGAGCCATGCGTCCAGAACAGGCTCCTCAGGCCCCTGCGAAACGCCGTATCGAACATTGGTGCCAGTGTCTGGCCCAGGCTAGTGACACCGTATTCAGCGATTGCTGGAATCGCATCGAAGCTGGGCATGGTGAGCAGGTAGATATTCGGGTAGCCGGCATCCAGCAGCTTTTTCACGTTGTCAAACAGATTGTTGGCCAGGGTATCAACAAAGCCTTGCATGTCGATATTGCCGTCAGAAAGCCCGCCCAGGCTGTAGAACAGCGAGTTACCGCCCGCCGCCAACTACAACGATCGATGAGCGCTTCTTGAGTGTGGGTACACTGGTGTTTTTGACGAGGTACTAGGCAACCACGTCGGTGGTGCTTTGGATCAGCTGGGTGCAGCCGTAGCCGGGGACGAACTTGCTGTCGTTGGTGGAACCGCCAATGGCCCAGTTTTCGAGGTTCAAATTCAAAAGTTTGGCACTGTATTCGTTCCACATGTAGCTGTTGCTGTAGTGATATGTGCTGCCATTATCGCTCTGGCTGTCGCCAAAGACAACAAGAGAAGAGCTGTACGAGTTGGGGCTAGTAGCAGACAGCAAATCCTCAGTGCCAGGGATAGGCATAGCCTTCACAGCTGACGCTGCGAGGACGAGTGAAGGGATTACGGTCTTGGAGAGAATGTGGATGAAAATAGAAGGGGATGCTGTGGATCTACGGGGAGTGGGTAAAAGTAGCTGCAAACAATCTGTGTGGAACAAACATTCCATGCGGACCGCAGTCTCAGTCTGGTTTTTGATACTGGCTAGGATGCTCTTCGCCCCATCCTTCGTAGCTGACAAGGGATCCAGTGAATCGACAGGCGCAAGCTGCTATAAACCCAGGACCCAAGCAGCCAAAGAGATTCTATTCGACAACCGCCTACCCAGATCTCTGCACTAACAGTCTAGCGCATTTGCCAGTTAACCCAAGAGACGTGCCTGGGGCCGGTGTTGAAACAGTCCGTTGCCGTCGTCATTGCCAATCATGCAGCGGCTCAGTGGCTGAGGAGGCAATCCATCCGGATCCAATACCGACATTTCCTTGCCCCTCCGCCCGCCTGAGACTTGTCGTGCGGCAATCCCCCGCCATACCAGCCAGTAGGCAGCATATTTAACGTGCAGCGGCTGTGGATGATCAGACTTGTATAGCGCAAACAGCCACAGTTGACGGGTTTGAAATAAGAAATTGTTGGGCACAAAATATTGAAGGCCAAAAGGACATTCCGTGAAACGAGCAAGACAAATGTTGCCCACGCTTGACACGGAGTTGGTGACTGCATATCGCGGACTAGCCCAATCCATGTCTGTTGCACAAATGGCTATCCAACTACCCCTTGATACCAGGGCAGGCCTTCTGGCGCTCGGATAGCTGCCTGGCTGTGCTGAAGCGGAACAACGAATTTGCCGACAAGCAGCGATCAAACCGATGCTCACGTGATGGCGGTCGTTGAATTTGATCATCTGATTTTGATCGAGATCACCTGCTCGAGATAAGCGCGATGCGCTCATTTCGAGGTCTGAATTTCAATGGGCTCCAATTCCGACAGCATTTCTAACTCTTTTCAACATCATACAGCGCTCTCTCTATATTCAAAATGTTCGCGTCGATTCGTGCTGCCACATTCAGTCACCCGTTCGCAATCTGGGGTCTCGGTCTCGGTTTTGGAGGTAGCGCATCGTGGGCAGAAGTGGCTGCTCAACAGGAGCCAAAAGGAGCGTGCACTGTCGAAGCAGCGATATGTGTGCTTGTAGGCAGCTCCCTGACGAAGCCCATATACCACTATGACTTGTGTTTGCTCAAATCATTTGCCTGTAGGTCCCGCTCTGGTTCTCCTTGTGCCGCCCATTCGTCAGAAGCTCGGTTTTGTTGCACCCAAGGCCGTCCCGACCAGCTATCCTCGTAAGTAGAAGAGGTTTAAGAATGGACAGAAGCCAGATAATCATTGCAGCCAGCCCATGTATTACTAACCATACCAGTATGCCTGTAGTCCCGAACCGTCCCCGGCGCGCAACCACTGGCTACGAGGACTAGGCGAGAAAGTAGATTGTAACTGTTTATTAAATACACCACAACGCAGTTTTAGAAAGCCTGGATACCGTGCAGAGTAATTCACAATCTACATAACATAGCAAGGTATCTGTATGTGTCGGCGATCAGCACAGTACAATGAGTCTGACGTGTGGCTTCTGAAATCGTGATTCCGGAATGCTGGTGATGAAAGTATATTATAATTGCCGTGGAAGAGTGGAAAAAAGGAACGAGATAACTATATATACGGGGGGGGGGGTGCTTTCACAGCAGCGTGTTTAGGCCCACTTGCCGATGACTGCCATGATGGCCGCGCCCACAAACATGGCAATGAAGCAGGCAGTCTTCATGCCGCGCTTGTAGCTGCGGAACTCGAGGGTGCCAAACTCTTCAGCAAGCAGATTGACCAGACCGCTGTAGATCAGGATGCCTGCCGAGAGGCAGTCGAGCACGCCCATGGTGATTAGCGCCGAAGGCGAGTTGGGCGCGTACGAGTAGCGGACGCCAATACCGATGCACATGCCGATGGGGGTAATGAGCATGAACATGGCAGCGCTGATAAAGGCGCGAATGAACGAGTGGCGAGCGTATTTTATCTGTGCCAGACGACTGCCCAGTGCCAGACCTTCGCAGAACTGATGGAATGCAATGGCGATAAGCAGGGTCTTAAACTCAGAGCCCACTGTCACTGACAGGGTGACCCCGATGATGACGGAGTGTAGGCAGATACCGAGCTCGAGGATGTAGGTAGAGATGCGGATCTTGCGTGCCTTGATCGAGTCTTCGCTGCCGCCGACAAACGACAAGCCGTGGACGTGGTTGTGGTGTGTGTGGACAGCCACTGCATCGCAGTTCTCGTTGTTCTCGGTAGTGTCAAAGCCGATGGACTCATGAACTGGCGGCGTCATGTCAGGCTTCTGCTCGACCTCGCTGATGGTGGTAGCGTTGGAGCTGTCGTTGAGGTGGCTGTGGTGGTTATGTTCGTGCGCCATGATCTGTGACTCGAGGTTCAGCGGCTCGGGCTCTGCAGAGTAGACCAGATCGCCGGGAAGCCCGTGGCTGTGCGAGTGGCCATCCATGGTGTGGTTGGACAGCAGGAACTCTATCAGATGCATAGCAAAGATGGCCATGATCACCAGCACGCCCGGCCAGCCGCTGTAGTTGCCCATGCGGCTGCCGATGCACGGGTTGCCGAGGCTGTCGGAGCCAGCCGGCAGCATGTGGATGAGCGCGGTCGAAATGATGACGCCGGTTCCCAGGAACTTGCCCAGGGTCAGGATACTCGGTGAGACGTGCAGGCCGGGCATGTAGTGGCTGATGATGGGCAGCATCGAGCCCAGGCCGCCGACGCCGAGGACGATGAAGATGGCGGCGATGTGCATGCTCGAGCTCCAATCATCGACGCCCGACGCGTAGCAGTCAGTCTCCTCCTCGCTGTGGCTGTGATCGCCTGCAGAGTGGCGAAGCAGTAGCTGGCGCGGCGCAGTGGTGGCAGCGGCAGCAGTTTGCAGGAACACCAGGCTGATGGCGGCAAGTGCCAGCAGCGGGCTGGTATTCTTTCTGAAGGGCATAGCGACGATTATGACGATGTGTTTCCGGGGGACGGTAGCTTTGCGAGAGGACGTGTTCCAGGGGACAGGCACTACCAAACACTTTTACGAAGGGGCGGATTATTAATTGCCCCGCAGAAAGAGATGAAAAAATGGTGGGAAAAGAATAAACTAGTGAAATCGGAATGAGGACCTCATCCGTGGTGGTTGGGCGCTCCTCTTTTATGCTGTTGCCTGCCGGCGTTCGGGAGGCTGGCAAATTTTTCTCCCCTATTCGGCCAGCTCGTCCTGTGTACCTTCGCGGCACTGGCAGACCGTATAATAACAGAGCTTTCTGGCTTGCCACGCCAATCTCTAGGCGCATTGCAGAATAGTGTGCGACCCGTCTGAAAAGCGAAATTTGAGAGGCGAGGAAGCACACGCTGATGACACTGCTGGCCAATGGGCGCACAGCCAGGCCCGAATTATGCAGGCTGGAATTGGCAACTAGGTAAGCAGAAAAAATAAAACAAAAAAGCTGTCTGCCCCAAGTGCGCCAGTGGGCGGCGCATTGCGGTTGGCTGCAGGCCGCGATAACCGGCAAGGTACATGTGGAGAAAAACAAAGCTTGCTCGAGTATAAATTTCCAGCCGCAGCGACACACCTGCAGAGCCCAAAAGCAGCCGGCCCAGCTGACGCAGATGTGTTCCCAGCTGACCGGGATTGTGCAAATGTCGCGCACTCCGACTGGCAGTCGGCCAGCCGCGTTGCAAGCGCGCGAGTACCTTAGCGTACGTACGCTTGACATCACTCGTCGCCCAGATTCCTGACTCAGGGACAGGGCCGAGCAAGCGCTGCGTTCTGCGAAACAAAAGCACGCATGACCAGAGGGGCTTGTTCGGCACTGGCCAGATGTGGGGTTGGTCATTCGAACGCACAGATCGTAGGGGCGACTGCACAGACACTGCAGCCCTGGTTCCCACACTTGGATAGTAGCACTGGATGGCCCCCACATTGTATGCAGCGGCAAGGCGGCTGCTTGTGGCGAGAACCCGGATCGCAGTGTCCTGATAAGATCCATAGATATACTTGTGCATATTTGATTACAAAGTCAGATCAGCGCGGGCGAGTTCAAGAACAGGGCGATTGTCAACCTGCCAAAACCTTGCGCTGCATTTGTCGAAGGCGAGAAGTTTCTGGCGCTTGGCAGACTATCAAGAGGCAGCAAACAAAACGCTATTGTCCGCGGCGCTGTTGTGGCAGACTTTCGGCTCTGCTTGGACTCGTTTATCATTTTCGTAGCCTCTCTTTTTCATGCTTCCGGGCCTATTTATATAGCCTACTTTCATCAGAAAAGCACCCCCCCATGTCGGATATTGTGGAGGGTGTCGTGCTTGTGTTTAACCCCGCACAGGACAGTAGCGAGGACACAGGTATCACCGAGTTTCCGTTTGAGTTGATAGAGTCGTACACACCAGTCCAGGATATCCCGCAGTACATGTTCCGTCTTGAGCGGCAGGTGGTGCGCGAGACACAAGAGTACCGGGACGAGGAGGCGGTGCGGAAAATGCACATTGAAATGCAGCGGACCAAGCCGGAGGAGGAGCAAGAGCAGGCACCGGCAGTTAACCGGCAGCCGGAAGAGAGCAGCGTCAGCAGAGCAGCCCAGCCACCGGAGAGTCCGGTAGCCCAGGAGCAGCGGGTGCAGCCGCAAATTGTGCCGCCGCAAATTGTGCCGCCGCAAATTGTGCCGCCAATGTCGCCGCTGCCAGAGCAGGTCAGTACTCGGCCGAGGCCAGAGACAATGGCGGCGACATCGCGGGTGAAGAGCCTGGCAAGCAGCGTGCGCAGTATGAGAAGCAGCGCGTCGCTGGTTGCAGAGGAGCAGGGGCAGAAAGGCAAGACGCCAGTGAAGAGCAAAATCAAAAGCATATTCTGGTCGAGATCGAAAACGAGCCAGCTGTAAGAGCAATTGCCAGTTTTGCGTTTCGAAAGGCTGCCCCACCCTTCTATAATTTCTTTATCTAAAAGCTCGTCTTGTTATTGTATTTTGTTTTATGTCCAAGTTTCTGGGTCCATCAGCTTCTTGTATTTCTACGTGAGTGTGCAGGGGGAGTGTGTGCTGCTCAAAGCATAAATGTGCGGAATGCCAAGCGCAGGATGGGGAACTTTTGCATCATGGTCCGGACGATTGACGTGGTAGCGGACTGTTTGGGCAGCACAATGGGCGTGTACAGCTCGTTTTGGTTGACGAGCTCCAGAATGCGACCGCTGTCGATAGTCCAGCACTCGTTGGCTTCGAACTTGGCGACCGCGTCGTCGAGCATATATCCAATGGTGCGGTGGATCTGGGCGGAGAAGTGCGAGGCGTCCCAGTAAAAGTACTCGTCGGGGTTGTCGCACATGGGGATGGTGTTTGCGTGGGTGACGAGCTCGAGGAAGTTGTAAAAGTCGTTGCCCAGGTCAATGTCGTACTTTAGGGTCTGGAGGCAGGACGAGTTGCTGTTTTTAATGTGCATGGCATCGAGGATGAGCGGGTCCTCGAGGGTGGCGATGATTTCGTGGAAGGAGATGTAGTGGATCCACTTGATGCGACGCCTGGGGTCGGTCTCGTTGTCGCGGTCCTGGTCCCTGACCTCGACGACCATCTGCTCGAGCGCAATGTTGATCCTGTTGACGGTGTCGCGGACCTCGGGTGGGTAGTTGCCCAGCTTGTTCCTCGGCGAGTCCTCGATGGGCGGCAGCGAGAACAGAATGAAGCGCACCAGCCCCTGCTCCTTGAGCGCCAGGATCTGCTGCTTGAGGTTGCCAGCAATGACGCTCGGCAGGTAGTCGGTGGGCAGGTCGCCCGAGAGGATGCCCTCGATGGAGCGGAAGATCTCGTTGGCTCCAGCAGTCATCATGACAATGTCATCCTTGAATGCACTTCCCGAGGCAGTCAGCAGATGGTACAGGTCGAACAGCTGCAGCTGCTCGCTGGTGCTGGGCATCTGCACAAGAGACTTGACCGGCAGCGCCGTCACGTTGCCGTTGTTGGTGGTTGCCCCGGCAAAGGCAAAGTTCTCCATCGCGCGGCACTGCAGGTCGGCCAGGTACTCGGCAAAGGTCGGCCCGTTGCTCCAGCGGCCCTGGTAGTAGGGAGCCGAGGGGAACAGGTGGCCGATGGCCGTGTACAGGTTGCCGGGATCCACCAGGCTCTCGCCAAACACAATCAGGCGCCCGTTTGCTCCTGGCACGCGCGGCTTCAGCGCACGGACTGCTGGTGACAAGAACATGGAGATCAGTGTAACCACCATCACCAGCAGCACATGTGCGAATCGGCGCGTGTTGTTCATTGTCTGTTATCAAGGCTGTGCAGGGTGTGGTGGGAAGATACGTATAGAGCAGGGGGAATCGATAAAGGTCCAAGGACACTTGCCCCGGTGATTTCTCACACCCAACACAGCACTGGACGTACATGCCAGCCGCCTTATTAGTGGCATGCCCTGCCAGGCGCAGTATACACCAATTATTCGCAATGGATCGATAACGAAAAGTAAGTCGTGCTCGGGCAGCATGCAAAGGCGTGGCCGTGGGTAGGTCTCCCAGCACATGGGCAGCAGTTGTCGCTTGCCTCCCCAAAAAAAGAGACAATCGCCCCAAGGGCCGTGCAGTCGACGATTTTCAAACGCGGATGCCTCGGCGAAAACAGTCCAATGGCCACGGGCGATTAGCGTGATCTGGCGCGGTTGCTCATTCAGCAAAGGCCTTGGGGGAGGAGAGCCCAGACAGCGTCGACTCGTTCGAACTCGGGTGCGTGTGCGCACGTCGGATTGGGGAGCGGGGCTGGGCAGGGTGGGATGAGCAGGCGAGATGGTGCTGTTTTTGCCGACACTTAGCGGTCGTTTTGTGCGTCGTGCAGTCGACTGATGCGCGGGTGGTCTGGCAATGGCCCATTCCTCCCCAGCGGTTTTGACTGGTTGAGGAGCGGGGAGGGGGCGAAGAAAAGCATCAGGAGAGGGGCACGCCTGCTCGTTGCTGGCCAGCTCGTTATCGCAGCGTATACAGGGTCCTGTTCGGGCGATGGCATCGATATCAGGACCCAGCTTTCCAATCCAGCCTCCCCTCATCCAAACCCCTCAAAGCGCATTCACCGAGCGCGTGTACAAAAAGAGGCTATCCCTCCCCTCCCCAGCACCCGTTTCTGTTTGCTTTACTACCATTTCTTGTCTCCGCGGGAGCTCTTCCTCTCTGTACTTCTTTTCTCTCTTTTCTTACCCAAGAAACAACACCCCCTTTCCTATTACTTCTCCTGCCTGCTATGCGTGACGTCCAGCAGCCTCTTCTTTTTGAGACCTCATGGGAGGTAGCCAACAAGGTCGGCGGCATCTACACAGTCATCAAGACCAAGGTGCCCGTGACGGTGCAAGAGTACGGCGACCGGTACCATCTGACTGGGCCGTGGAACCGGTTCACTGCGCCGGTTGAGGTGGAGGAGATCGAGCCGGACCAGCCAGCCATCAAGCAGGCTATCGAGTCGATCCGGGCACAGGGCATCCAGGTGCTGTATGGACGCTGGCTGATTGACGGTGCGCCCCGCGTGGTGCTGTTTGATATCGGGTCGGCTGCGTTCAAGCTCGACGAGTGGAAGGGAGACCTCTGGCGCGTGGCCGGCATTCCGTCGCCGCCAAACGACACAGAGACCAACGATGCGATTCTGCTGGGCTACCTGAATGCGTGGTTCCTGGCGAGGTAGGTGACGTTTTCTCATTGAGCAAGCTTGGGTTGGGGGGACTGCGTACGAGGCGATCCAATTGTTCACCGTGCTTAAAAAAGGCACAAAGAGCAGGCTGCAGAAAAACCGGTCTGGCACCTGGATTTGCTGCCTGATATTACCCGCCCTGTTGCTGACAACGTGCTCTTGTAATCAACTAATAGGTCGCAAAGAACGATCAGGAACACGCCATCATCGCCCAGTTCCACGAGTGGCAGGCTGGTGTGGGCGCGGTGCTGTGCAACAAGCGCAAGATTGACGTGGCCACGATCTTCACCACCCACGCGACGCTGCTGGGGCGGTACCTGTGCGCAGGCAACGTCGACTTTTACAACAACCTCCGCCACTTCAACGTGGACGAGGAGGCCGGCAAGCGCGGAATCTACCACCGGTACTGCATTGAGCGGGCGGCGTCGCACTGCGTCGACGTGTTCACCACCGTGTCAAACATCACGGCGTACGAGGCAGAATACCTACTGAAGCGCAAGCCCGACGGTGTGCTACCGAACGGACTCAACGTGGTCAAGTTCTCTGCGATGCACGAGTTCCAGAACCTGCACCAGGTGGCCAAGGAGAAGATCAACCGGTTTGTGCGCGGCCACTTTTACGGGCACTACAACTTTGATCTGGAGAACACGCTGTACTTCTTCACTGCGGGACGGTACGAGTACCGCAACAAGGGTATTGACATGTACATTGAGTCCCTGGCGCGCCTCAACGCCCGACTGAAGGCGTGCAACTCGCCGGTGACTGTGGTGGCGTTTATCATCACGCCGGCCAAGGTCAACTCGTTCACGGTCGAGACGCTGAAGGGCCAGGCGCTGATCAAGCAGCTGGAGGACACTGTCAACGAGGTGTCGGCACGGATTGGGCGTCGGATCTTTGAGATGGCAGCCCGCGGCAAGGAGCCGCAGGCGGACGATCTGCTGACGGAGCAGGACCGCATCCTGCTGAAGAGGCGCGTGTTCTCGCTGAAGCGCGATGCGCTGCCGCCAATCGTCACGCACAATGTGGCCGACGACTCGGAGGACCCGGTGCTGAGCCAGCTGCGGGCCGTGCAGCTGTTCAACAACGACGACGACCGCGTCAAGGTTGTGTTCCACCCCGAGTTCCTGAACGCCAACAACCCTGTGATCGGGCTGGATTACGAGGACTTTATCCGCGGCACGCATCTGGGTGTGTTCCCGTCGTACTACGAGCCGTGGGGCTACACGCCGGCCGAGTGCACAGTGATGGGGGTGCCCTCGATCACGACGAACCTGTCGGGCTTCGGGTGCTTCATGGAGGACAACATTGTCAACCCGCAGGACTACGGAATTTACATTGTGGACCGCCGCATGAAGTCTGCCGACGAGTCGCAGGACCAGCTGGCGAGCCACATGTTTGACTTCTGCCAAAAGTCGCGGCGGCAGCGCATCAACCAGCGCAACCGCACGGAGCGGCTGTCGGACATCCTGGACTGGAAGCGCATGGGCATCGAGTACATGAAGGCACGGCAGTGCGCGCTGCGGCGGTGCTACCCGGAGTCGTTTGATGACTCGAACTACGCGTCGCCATACGACCGGGACGCGCAGAGCAGCAAGATCTCGCGGCCCCAGTCGATCCCGGGCACGCCTATCGATGGCGCCGATCTGGCCACGTACGATCTGGCAGCCCTCAGCATCACAGCTGAGCTGCCAGGCATCAAGGACCATGATGAGGACAGCGATCTGAGACCGCCCATCCACCTGAAGATGAAGACACCGCTGATGACGCCCACGATCCAGACGCCCTAAGGTCTTTCCTCTCGCTAATTTTTCATTTCTCTCCTATTAAAACCATGACTCGAAAGCTGAGGTGTGCCTTTGTGGTGAGAGCACTAGAGCATATTGATTACACTGATGTCTATACGATGAAGTAGACCTCTTATGTGCTGGCATGATCATTTGGACATTGGTGTGCTTCCACTGAATTTCTGTTCTGACACGTGTGCGCTGTCAGAACCGTAGCGCAGCAATAGCAAGTGCGGAAGATTGAGTCATCGCTTGGTGTAGCTGTGACTGTGGTCGACTAGCTGCTCCCCGCAAAATATGACCATACTGAATGTCAAGGACCATCACCTTGGATGCATAGCATCGCAAACTCACCAGCAACCGAATAGACTTCGCTATTCCTTGACCTTGGGCTCGGATAAACGCAGAATATGGTGCCAATATCACCATCGTCTTGTTCCTTGGCAGTAGCGCACCTGCCCGTAATGTTACCAGGCAAGCACCGTGGTGCAATCCGACGAGATTGAGGCAAGGCGAATGCCATGGTATGTCGTGGGTAGCAATCAGATCCCAAATCAGGCATGTCAACTGGCATGCCGTGCGGTCCTAATGGACCATATGAGCACATATTGCCGGATACTGCATCATATCTAGCTGGTTGGTTCTTATAGCTCTGTTTCGGGGATGGCCATGGGTCCACCATCGATGCAGGTGTCTGCGCGCCTGGTGGAGGCATGCTGTCATTTTGATGTGCAACACTCGCCTTGCGTCGTTTATTTTCTGACGCATATTGCTGGTTTGCTGTACGCTTCATTACTCCAGTATGCAAAGTATATGGCGGGGTATTTTCGGAGCACTCATAGTTAGGCGAGTATTGCTCCATTGCCCATATATCAGCTCTGGCATGTGGCGGCAGTGGGGGTCGCACGAACCCCGTTTGTTCGATTGCCCTACTGCCAATGTGTGTAGGTGCCGGTTGATGGCGGTGGGTATATGAAAACATGCGAAGGTGTGCTCCTAGAGTTTGGCTGTTTAAGGTAAACAAATTCAAGTAAACATGAGCAGAGACAGCGTGCGATTTTGTGTGGCAGCCAGTGTTGACAGCACCTGCGTGCCAGGTACCATGGCGCAGTTTGTAGTGTTTTGTAGAAGATTGATATAATCCTAAGATCCGATTACAGTGGACTGCACACGTTCACACATAATTATCCTTCGTCTCTATATCATGCTCTGCCACCTGGGCGGTATTTTAACATTGTCCCACTCACTGGTATCTGCTTTTTCTTATGTTTTGCTTGTACAAGTATATCACTTGATCCTGTCTCTATCTCATAAACGTTAATTAGCCCTTCTAGTGGTTCTGTTGCTGGAGATATGTGCATCCAGAAAATTTACCTTCACACATTCAATAAATATACCTATACTGTGTTCGCCATAAAAGTACTATCGGTACATAGCGTCCTCTCTGTTCTTCCGTCATCTCATGCTCCCCCACTGCCTAGAGTTGCTGTGCCTCTCACGAAACATCCGAATATTTTGCAAAGAAAACCTCAACTTTCAGATAGCCTGGTACCTTTTCACAGCCGCTTCATGTCAGCAATCGAGACCAAGCTCAAAGGCATACCCCATTCCTTATGACATGCAGAACTGACCTCAACATCAGGAACGACCGTGTAGAGAGATCAGCACAATGATTACGCTGGATCAGCGGGTAGTGCCAATTTATGTAGGAGATTACAAAGCACAGAACATGCCGCTCATACAGGTAAGTTATTCTTTAGGAACAAACCTGGCAACCGCAGCTGCTGGGGTTCATAGACTCATCCAACCTCATGGATAGATGAGAGCCATCTTGTTTTTACAGTCGTCTATATTGACTGGCTTTACACTATTAGATCGCTATGAACAGTATTCGCTCTGCTGCTAGACTTGTGCAGCTTGCTGTGCTAGCAGTTGGAGGCCGCCTGCTTATTCAGTCGTTTTTCATGAGCACCCAGACGATCCTTGCCATTCTCTTTCCAACTGTTAATATCCCCTGCCTTAGTACGCCGTCGGTAAACGAAACCACAGACCTTATTTGGCCCATGTGGAGGGAGCCCTTTGAATACGAAGCCAAAGTATATATCGGTAGAAGCTCATGCATATACTCATACAACACACCTGTCGATTCAGCTGTGATGTTCCTCCAGAATGCCACCGAAGTCTGGCACCTCCCGCCGCAGAATCTAACGAACCAGTACCCAGTTTTCGAAAAACGTGTGCGCCTGAATTTCTCAGATACAGCCCATAAATCCATGTGCGTTTTCATGCAAAAAGCTGGTCAGTTCACGCCATACCCAAACATCAGCGATCCGCATTTATTGGTTAGCGAGCAGACTGTTGCGCGGCGGATAGGGCAAACGGTCTGCGATGAAGATAGCCAGACGAGTAATAGGAGTCGCTGCTCGCCGCAGAAGGAATTGCAAGTTTTCCTACAAGTCATGTGGAAGATCTGCCTCGAGGATAGCGTGTATTTACCGGAAACATATATTCCTTTTCATTACTGGAATTGCCCATGATCAGCACTGGATCTGGACCGAACATGCTCTGGAGTTTCGCGGCAAGCCTGTGGTCTGCACGGGCCTGGTTCATGAATGAATCAAGGCGCAACTTGCGGTGAAGCGGAAACACCTTGGGACTGGTACTGACACCTGGATGGGCCTTCCAGCGCCTTTGGTGCTGCTTGTTTGACTTAGTGAGCTGCTGCTCTGGTAACCTTCGCACTGTCGTGTTGGCATAAAACGGTGCTAGGACACACCGCACAGATGCACGGGCAGCAACGCAGGCACGGAATTTTGCTGGGCTAAGGGTCCGGCAGCAGTGCTTGGAAAGCTCTGCCTCTGCTCTGCGGACAGCATCTTCTGGGACTTGATCCTTTGTAGCCTGACGAATCCTGTCATAGTGGCGCAGCTTGAGCTCCTTATTGCGCTGCTGCCGTGTGTAGCGGTAGAGCATTTTTTCACCCTCTTTCCCATTGCTGCTATTTTCGTGCATCATGTATAGCAAATCGCCCCGACCTGGATCGATGAATACACAGCGGCCTTTCAGATTCTGCAGCTCTGGCTGTGGGATCTGGTGGATATAGCGACAGTCAGCTATAGTATTGCCTCCCACAGCATCGCCTGTAGCATCGCCTCCTGCAGCATCGCCTCCTGCACCATCAGCATCTACTGCACCATCAGCCTTGGATATCTTGTCTTGCAACAAAATGCATATCGTTATACCGTCTGTTGTTGCCATTCCGTGGAATTTTCTATCACCATGCGCCTTAAGTGGCTTTGATATTAGATCTGCAACCCGGCTCCACACATCCCACACAGATTGTGTGATCCCTTGGACACATTGCCCATTGTACTGTGCAGTGTGTTTTTGCAGCTGCGAATATCAATCAATTTGGCCAGAATCCGCTGTAGGCAACTGCCACAGTGCAACACAATGTTGTTCTTGTATGCTGTCATCAGCTCGGTATCCACATATGTTGCTACTTGATTCATTTCGCATACGCCATGTAGCTCGATGTCGCCATTATGCAATAGATAATCATAAATATGGTATCTAACTACATCACCGAAATCTGCGCTCGACAGTTCTGACTTGTCCTTCCGGTTGACAAAATCCTTGGCAGATATGACAGTCTTCGCCTTCAGGTTGCGATAAATGAATAAATAAATAAAACGAAAAAAACCCCTTTTTCACAAATGTTGCTGGGTCAAAGGCATCACCGTAAGCTAGCTGATGGAGTAGTATCCATCGTACAAGCATGTATGTATGCTCTTTGATGATATTGACACTATGTACAAATTGCTCTAGGCGGGGCAACATAGAATCACGGAAGCCAATACCACCAAGTTATGTCTTTATGACAGCAGTGCTGCGGGTAATATTCATTTGAGAAATTCAATAGGCAAGAGAAATGATGCTGTTCAGTTTTGCTATATTGCAGATGCATACCATTAAGAACTCTTTATTAAAAATGATCTGGCTTGCATGGTTCTTGGGACCCTTAGCACTGATACAGTCTCTTGAATCAGTCTATACAGACTGGGTCCATTGTGGCCCAAATACTACTGCTTACGCATGTTCATAAGACAGATTAATTTATAAAATAACTTCACAAATATCGTATGACTGCTAGAAGATCTATATGGCCTTATTCAATAGGTACTCATAAATAAATATCCTAAGAGTGTTGCGCGGCCGGTGATGACCACCATGATGACACCATGGAAGTTATCAGGCCGACCGACAATGAGAGCAGCTCTTGCGCTGAACCAATGGAGATATCTAGTGGAGACCTGTGACCACTACAATACCAGCTTGTCACCCTGGTTTCACCGATGAGGTCAGATGCCGCACAAGATCAAAAAGGAGTTTACGGAACAAGTCATCCAAATTCGTGTTGAAGCTTAAGAGTTATATATCTATCCAATTAATAAGGTTCTAGCCGGTGGTTGGGCATCTTTTAGACTATAAAATCTTATATATAGGTAAAGAAGATGGCATACCTCCTGCCATCAGAGAGCCGTTACTCACATCAATCAACACTGCTGATGATATGGTTCATATGAAAACATACCTGCCGTCGCTTTTCTGGGACCAGCCCGCGCAATTGGAAACGAAGAACCTCAGTCTTACGCAAGGCCACGACAAAGGCAAGGCGTCCACGGGCACCACTGCATCGGCTGATGTTACTCTGCGGATACGCGGCATTAGCTCGGGTAAAGAGCGACATACGGACCCAATAGTGACTACAGGGGATCACAGGATACTGGAAGTTCTGGCAACAAACCGGGCGCGTCCATTGATGCCACACATTAACTACAAATCGCAAACACGCAAATCGGCAGTCTCCACAGCGATATATCTTGCGCTCTATCCCTTGCTCCTCTCCCTGTGGCTTCTCCGGCAGCTCATTATTACCAGACAGTACCTTGCCTTGGCGCATGCGAGCGAAGCAGCGAATTTCATTATGAGATTGGGCCTGTTTGTGGAGCATCTAGGGGTGACTCTGGTTGATAATGTGAACTTTGGGGGTAGTCGGTATGGAACTGTCCGCGTGCTCTTCCTGAGTGCATACAGTACCTGGCGGTTCATTGGGTTTTTCCTCTTTGTGTTGCCTCAGAGAAGAGTGGCAAATGCCCTATGGTATCATGTCGGCTCCCAAATACCCAGCTCAAGCAAGAACGACCGGGGCGGTGACTCTATGCTTCCTACTCTGGAGGGCGAGGCCGCTGAGAAAAAGATACACAAAGGATCGTATGCTAAATCCACATCAATGATGGTCAGAGTATTTGTCACGGCTGTGGTAGTGCTGTTTGTCGAGGAATATGTCTATAATGTGTATTCATTGACCGGCAGTGCAAATCCAAGCGAGGTGGAGTTGATATTGAGCCGTATGCGCGAGCATATTTGGAAGCTAAGTGATGTCATTCAACATGTGGCATGCTGGTGGTTTATCATACTCTCTATTCCGTCTATCATGATGGCGTTCGGGTGTAAGTCGGGCACATGCGTGCCAGTTGCGTACCAGTTACTTCGTGTGTCCGAGTTTGCTGTAATCGGAGCGATCTGCTTCTACGAAACTCCCAAGGCACTTCTACAGATATCTGAAATGGAGTAATATTATGAAGAGTGTCTGCAGCGTCGGCTTGCTAGTGTGGGTGAGGGGCAGGGGTTAGTTTTTAATTGTAGCATCTCTAGTGCGAAATACACTGCAAGCAGCTTCCACCAACTGTTTTGATACGCTAGCCTTTCAAGCACCTTTCTGCGATGTATATAGGAACGTATGGAGCATATGCTATATGAAAGAAGGAAGGAGGAATCCCAAGGTGGAGGGGCAGGTGCCCATTTGTGTATGTCGTCTGTTGTTTGAAAAAGTCAATGGGGGATACTGTGGCCTAGGGGCTGGGATCCTGGGATCCTATGATCGACCGGTTTAGGAACTACATTCATAGTACATGAACTCATTCCACATTCCAGCGTGGCGAACAAGCAGATATATAGCGTGTCTGAACTATTAACTGGCAAATGTGGTTATTTGGGAAAGCCAAGGTAAATAGGAATGGGGGTGTGCTTACAAATATGTTTGTGGGCATTATGACAGAGTCGTTGGTGGTCAACGGAGCAATGGTAGCGATGAGTCTGATATAGCACCACATGAGCAAAATCCAGAGTAAAAATGGGGCCTATATTACTGCAAAAGAGCTTCATCCAACATACGATCAAAGTCATCCAAATCCCTCAGCAAATCCTCGTCTCCACTCTCACTCCCGACAATATCGTCACAGCCAAGGTGCTCATCGTCGACGCCCATAGCGACAATCCTGGCCAGCGCTTGTCTGGCGACATCCAAGCCATCCGCATCGCCGATGCGCTCTCTGGCCCGTTGCAGTACCAGCAGCAATGCCCTCTCGGCACGCTTAGCAATAATGCCGGCCATGACATTCAGTTGCACCAAGAGGCGGAGATCCACGGCTAATGTGGCCACCTGCGAGCATGATAGGACGCTGGCAAATAAGTCGAGGGAGATGGCAATGCGTCTGATTTCACCCAACAGCGGCGTCGACTGGAGAGAGGCGAACTGCAGTGCAGACAGGTGTTTGAGGGCGGTGCGGGCGCGCATGGAGGGCGAGCAGAGATCGAGGAGCACCGAGAGGAAATCCGAAGGCGAATGGTCGGATGCGCAGTAGCCGAATTGGCGTACCAGGTTATTGGAATTAGTCGGCGACGAGAGGTGGGAGAGCAGAAGGGATAGGAACTTTCGGGACTCGTCTGCGGTTGTGCCGGTTAATGCCCGCTGCACAAAGCTGTGGTACTTGTCGAATAGCGAGGTCACAGGGGCATGGCGGTCGGCAGGTGTTTCGTCCCAGGACGGCTCCAGCATGGACGGTAGGTGGGCAGCTACTGAAAGTATCGCGATGTCCATGCACGGTTCCTCGCGCAACAGCCGAAGGCAGCGTTCACGGCAGGCACTGAACTTCAGGCCATGCAGTAATGCTGGCTGGTAGCCAGAGACATTCAAGCCGGCTTTTGCGCGTATCTTGGCCCTGATATTGTCGTGATCGGTGACCAGTGGGAACACACGCTCGAAGACACCCAATGCAGCGGCATAGACGCCGCTGCCAGCGACCTGCATGACAGAGATTGCAGTGGCCATCAGGTCGCTGACAATCTCCACGTCGGCATTGCGCACAACCAGAATGGCGACCTGACGCAAGGCATGCAGGACGGTCTCAGCGAATACGGACAGCTCAGGCTCATTCTCCAGCACATTGGAGAGACGGTCGATCAATCGGAGCACCATATTGCGCGTCGGCGTGACTACCACCGAGCCATGCTGGGCCTCGATAGCCAGGGAGCTGAATATCTGCAAGGAAAGCGCGGCCATATGGCGCACCGGGCACCCCATGGCCCAGTTCACGGCATCAGTGGCCAGTGACTGGGCGAACTCTGGGGAGGAGATGCTTTGCGAGAGCCCAGCCACCAAAGTCTGCAATGTGATGCGGGACTGGTCATTTGGCGGCTCGCCGGCGCGCGGTAAAAGGTCGCTAGGCAAAGTGTCCAGCAGATCGGTGCTGTCTTTTTTGTCCAGGTGGCCGAAGCCAGAAAGGCACGCAGGGCTGCGCAGAATGGCAAGCAAGGGCTTGGGATCTCCAGGCTGCTGCGCGACCAGAGTGCGGATCAGCGCACGCGCCGAGACACGTACCCATGGCTCTGGGTAGGCGATGGCGAACAGGGCTGGCGGTAGAACACGCAGTAGCGGCAGCGGCAGCTCCAGGGCAATGGCATTCAGGCAGTACAGCGCTAGGGCACCAGTGGCAATCTGCACAGTCTCGCCGTGACCCATGGCTGCTCGAAGTTCCTCTGCCCACAGGCTGTGATCCTCGGGAATGTGCGGCAGGGGGACGAAGGCTGAGGGGCGGCAGGTTTCGCTAATCAGCTGGTCCAGAAGCTGCGTGCGGTGGGTGGACCGCGCCAGGAACACGCAGACGCGTCGCACAAGCACCAGCAATGCAGAGCTACGCAAGCACAGAAGCAAGGTGACCAGGAATTGCACGACCACGCGCTGATTGCACTGACCATGCGTGGGGCTTTCGACCACCGCCGCCCAAGCATCTTGCATGGCATCGATGTGGGCGGCGCCGGCGCGTGTGGTGATCAGCAACAGGCACTGGAGCACGTGCTGGGAATCCTCACTGATGGCAGTGCCCGGCGCCATGCTGGGGGGAGGCTCGGAGGCAGCGAGCTGGACGTTGGCGAGCCAGGGCCGCAGGATGCGCAGAAGGCAGGCGAGCCGTGGCTCCGGCAATTCACTAACCTGGTGCGCGACCTCAGCACAGATTTGGGCTGACATCTCAGGGAAAGCCCCGGCCACATTTTCGGCCAGCTGGCAGGCGGCGCGGCGGGCGACGACCGGCACGTCGGCGAGGATTGCGGGGGCCAGGGCTGCAGTCATGTGTGGGTCCTGGCGCAGCGTCTGCAGCAGAAGCAGTGCCTGGCGCCGCAGCATGCGCTGGTCGGCCTGCACATGCACCAGCAGCAGCACCAGCAGCCACGGCTGGCACTCGGGTAGCAGCGTGTCGCTAGCCAAGACGCTGGTCAGTGCAGCCAGGCAGCCCAGGGCGACGCGGCCGTCACCGTATGCCAGCTGGACCAGCGCACGCAGCATCTCAACGCCGGCAGGGTCGGCCAACACCGTCCACGAAATGGCATGCTGGGCGATGCTCTGCAGGCTGCGGTCGGCCAGGGCTTCGGCTACCCAGGCCAGAAGCGCCGGCTGGTCGCGTGGCCCGCCCTCGCTTGTATTGGCGGGAGCTCCGCGGCACAGCACGGCCAGCGAGCGCAGGGCCGCGCGACGCAGCCGGTCGTCCTTTGACGGGTCCGGGCCGCACCAGCGCTCGCACAGCTGGTACAGCCCGCGGCGGGTCTCGTGGGTGAAGCGGCGGGCGGCCTTGGGCAGCAGTGGCTGCGTCGCGGGCTCGGACAGGAAGTAGTAGAGGGCTTCGACCAGCCCGCAGAACTGCATGCGCAGGCCCTGGTGCTCGGGCTCTGACACGGCGTTGGCGTCGGTCAGGAACGTACGTGTTTCGCGCACATACGCGATCAGCTGCGATATCACCAGGTCGTCCTGGAACAGCGCACGGCCGCTGGTGTCGCGGGCCGCCAGTTGTCTGGCTACATGCTTGTACAGCTGCGCCAGCGAGTGCCTTAGCCGCTTGCGGCGCTGCACGCTAGTAGACCCAGCCGCCGTTGGATCGTCCTTGGCTGCCGCATCGAAGCTGCCGGCCCGGCGGCTGCTCGGCACGCTGCTCGCGTCACTGGCCAGGTCGTCGTTGCTGCTGGTTGGCAGCATCGGCGGCTGCGCGGCCGGACTGTTGCTCTTGATCGCCAGACCAGCGCTGCCAGCGGCTACGTGCAGGTAGTTGCGGTGGACAGCGGCAGAGCCGTCATCAAACAAGGCGTCAGCCAGCGGCCGCAGCTCGCGCATCAGCTCCTGCAGGTGGGCGGCTGGTGTGTGGCAGAGCGCGTGGACTGTGTGTTGGCGCAGCATGTGATTGTCGGTCCTGAGGATGGCACTGGCGATCCGCACCAGCTGTGCGACCGACGCCAGCCCGACGCCTTGCTCCTGCTTATGGCCGCGGGCGCCGGTCTTCAGCGGTGCCTAGCTTGCGGGCCAGCGACTTGGCCAGGCGGTTGCGGTTACTGCCGCTGCCCGGCTGAGGTGCCCGGATGACCGTCTCGCTGCCCATGTGTGTGCCGGCTCCGTCGCCGGGTGGCAGCGAGACCACAGCGAACAGAAACAGATTGTGGAATGCTCTGATCAGGTCGCCGCGCGGCTACCAGCTTGTCGTGAGACCGCAGTTCGGCGTACTGATTCATCAGCGCCTGCATCTGGTACAGCCGCTGGCACACCAAGGTGCGGGCTACCAGCATTACCTCGGCCAGTCGTGTTCCCGCCAGCTGCACAAACCCCGGGAACCGTCGCTGCCACACCGACTCGTCACGCGTGGCAGAGCTACCTGCCAGACGCCCGAGCGGCTTCAGCCCGGCTCCTCCAGCTCCTCCCGGTCCGTGTCGTCCGAGCCGAATGGCACTTCCCACTCGTCGTCCAGCATGGCAGACTCGGAGCCACGCGTCACCGGCCCATTCAACACGTCATATGCTGACTCGGCTGTCTTGAATACCCACTGTCCGCCAACCGGCTCCGGCTCGCCAGCTGCAAACAGCCTGCGCAGCAGCCCCACGCGGCACAATACTGAGACAGCCGCGTGCCGCACACGAGCGTTGCTAGAGCATAGCAGTGCAATACCATTGGCCTCGACAGCATTGACCAGGCGGCCCCACTCGGCCAAATCCCGCCCACCGACGGCTGTCGTCTGCCCGTCGCTAGGTTCGGCGACGCGGTCCCGTAGTGCTGCCTCCAGGAGGCCGAGGAGATCGAGGAACACGTGCAGGAAGCCGCCGTTCAGGTCGCGCGTCTCGCCTACTTTGCCGAGCTGCACCTTGGCGTCCAATGCCCTGGCCACTGCGTCCATGCTGCTGGTCATCATCGTCATCAGTCATTGTTGTCCTTTTCAGCATACGACTCATCATCGCTGCCTGTCGTCTGCTCGCCTGTCGCCTGCGCATCGACGCTGCTGGTGGTGCTGAGGCTGGCAATGTGTGCGACTCGCCGCCCGCCAGCCAGATCGTACGGCCATTTGGCGTCCGACAGTGGATCGTCTGCCCGCGTAAACGAGACCGTCGCGCGTGGGTCGCGCGCATAGATGCCGCCGACCAGGATCTCGCTGAACCTTTCGTCGATGGCCCGGAGCAGCTTGCGTTGTGCGTGTCACTGCATGTCCTATAGCCACGAGCCGCGACTCGCTGTCTGGGAACATGGTGCTGGACTGCAGAATGTCGAGCAGGCAGACGCGCGACTCGCCTGCCAGCGCCTGGTCCACATGCAGCATGCTCTGCACCAGCGTCTCCACCAGCTTGCGCGTGTCCACCTGGCCCCACAGCTTATTGGCGCGCCGGACATACCGTGCATACACGGTTAATAGATCCACGTACCCTTGCCGCTCCACCGGGTACCGTGGATTGCGAGCCGGATGCTAGCCACCGTTGCTCCGTTGTCATCCTCCCAGATCCATTGCCTGCCATGCTGTCCGTGGCTGCTGGCCCTCAGGTGTCCAGTTCCAGACGACCCGCTGCCGCCTGTGTCCAGGTACCGCCCGTTTCCTGCGTCCTCGCTTCCGCCAGCCGCTCCCACCGCTGCCAACCCCGCCTCCGCTGCTGATATTGCCTGTGCCAGCTGCCACCACAGCAGTGCTTTCGGTTCCGCCACCGCCACTGCCAGCTGCCACCGGGCCCTCGGGGCTCACCGCCTGCAGTACTGCCACTGGCAATTGCCCCGGCCTGACTGCCACTGCTGCTGATTTGCTGTAGGCCAGACTTGTCGCGGGTCCAGAACACTGCTGTATTGCTCATTTTCAGCGACGACCCTGTCAGCACTACCGACGAGAACGGCGGTACCGTGCGCGTCAGCCGCCACAGCCGCTCATCAGCCAACACGTAATGCCCGAAAACCGGGTATAGGAAGTTTACGTACCGCGTAATCACCCCAACTGTGGTTATCACCGCACTGCGCACGTTCTCTGGCAGCTTGTCAATGCAGATGCCCGGGTGGTCTACCAGCTCGCCATGGGCGGTTGGGCCAAGCCTGTAAGGCAATGCAGCTGCTTTTCCTGCCCCCGGTCCACTCAATGCACCAACACTCAGCGGTGCAGAGTCGTCCGACCTGATGCCATTTGCTGATGCTACCTGCCTGAATATGTCCAGCCCGCTCAACTGTGATACCCCTGGGAACGCCGGCCGCGCCAACCCTGCAGTGCCTGTGGATGACATCTGGCCACTGCCACCTGCCTTGTTGCCATTACCAGCTGTGTTTGCTGCTCCTGCTCCTGCTGGTGCTGCTCCTGTCGCCGTTGCTGCTGCTCCACTGCCACCTGCTCCCTTGTTGCTGTGGATCACTGCCACGCTGAGCAATGCCTGGAACGCCAGGCTGACGCGTGCCGGATTCAGTGGATCCAAGATCGGCCCTGGCTCCGACACATCTCTTGTCGTACCCGGCCACCCGCTGTCCAGCTGCAGCATCGTCTGTAGCCACGACCGCATCATGTAATCGAAGTTGTAGCACGCAGCACAGGCCAAGAAATACACATATGCATCTAGCGGAATCGTCTTTGGCCATGCGTGCAGTTTGGTGGCCGGGAAGAATATCCGCGTCAACGCATCGATCCGCCTGACCACCATCGAGTTGCTCTCCGGGTACCGGAACAGATACACCCAGAAAATCCGCAGAATTGCATCCACTGCGACCCGCCTGAACTGCTTGTCTTTGAGCCGCTGGATGCAGTACCCGAGCAATACCAGCCACCGCTGCTGGAACACCTCGCGCCGGCTAATGCACAGGGTTGCGGCGACCAGCGGAAACGCGACATTGATGTGCCTGACCTTGCTTGCCATTTTCATCGCCTTGGCGTAGATGATCTCGATCGCCTGCACCAGCTCCGGCATGTTGACCTCGACATCTACCACCGCCGCCATCGGCATCAAGAGCTCTGTCAGCAACGTGGCCCACGCGTGCTTCAGCCGCAAACTGCCTGACGTGCGCGAGTAGAATTTGGCGCAGCTCAGAAGAAACGCCGAGCTCTCCTCCAATGCGTCAATCGGAAACACCCGCAATTTCAATGACCGCATGTTCTGCAGCAGAATGACAATCCGCTCGTCGTTCGCCCCGCTGACCATCGGGATCCCGCTCCAGCTCTGCAATGAACCGGTCGCTCATTGATGCGAACCGCACCTCCGAAATCTTGCCAATCAACTCGACATACAGGTCTTGGATGTCGCGCCGGTTCTGCGACCGTCGCAGGTTCGCCGGGTTGACTTCGCGCACCTGCCGGAACACCAGCTCCTCAAGCCGGTCTCCCAGATCGCCCTCCAGGTGCGTCGACTCGAGCTGCCCGACCACTGCTACCAGGGCGCGACACAGGATGTAGACCGATGCCAGAGAGCGCCGGTCGCGGGCGATGCTGTGGGCCCGTGACGTTAGACTTGGCATCGACATTGCTTGCTTGCCAGCACTGTATGCGCTGGCTAGCGAGCCGTCCAGCGGGAACTCGTCAGTGCTGTCTATTGTCGCCTTGCGCCACACAAGCAGAAGCTCAATGATGACACGCGCCCGTCGCCTGGCCAGCATCCCCAGCTTTTGCAGAGTCCGGTCGAACACCGGGTCCACGCCTTTGTCCAGATACCGGGCCAGATCCGGATCGTTATCAAGCCGGAGCTCCACAATCATGTCAATCTTAGGCCTGCTGACCGGTCGCGGAACTCGTCGTACAGTGCGCGTATCACGAACTGCTCGATGCCATCACCTGCCATATTACTGCCGTGCTCCATGTCGTCCAGAGTGTCATACGGAAGCACCGACTGGCTACTGCCTCCTGCGTCTGCCAAGTCGGATATTCGCGAAGTATCTATGGCCTGCTCCCCCGGATGGCTGGTATTGCCGGGTCAGCCGATGCTGGGGCTGTCGCCTTGTGCCTCTGAGAACGAGTACCCTTCGAAGGCTATGGGCTTCTCGGGCTTCGCTGCCATAAACGAATGGATGCTGCTGGTGTTCTGCACTGGTGCTGTGTCGTCCGTGCGGAAGTTGTTGGACCGGCTTGATATTGGCGACGAGGGCTCAGCGGCATTCCTGCTCTGCTGGGCTTCTCTGAAGCTGTAGTTGCCGAACGGACTCTCCTTCATAGCCATCGGCGTTGTTGGCTCGGTTTTGGTCGTCTTTGTGCCCTGCGCCTCCATGAACGAGTAGTTTCCAAACGGGTTCGACTTTGCAGCGCCGTTCTGTGCCATTTGGGTGGAAAAGCAATTGTATTAGTTGTGAGGAATAATTAGAATGCAATGCTGTTGCTTAAACAAAAGACAGTGCTTGTGTGTGTCTTGCACCTGGTGATGCTCTTGTCCTGCGTTTGGAGCCCCCTGATCTGTGGATTTCGAGATTATGATCTTGGCAGGCCTTACAGAACACCCAAATGCAACGTCACCCTGTCATGCTCGCCCCGCTGGAACCTAGCGCGAATCGAAGCACCTTTTCGTACACGGTGGAGGGACAAGTTCCTCCTAGGGCTTCGAACCTATGCTAAAGTGCCGACTGTGCCATGTGCATTATTTCCACTGATGGGCATTTGTTGGGAGTAGAGATATGCTTTCCAGCATGTTCATCAGCGACTTTGCCAGTATCTTCACCACCTCGCCTAGACCAGCTCATTTAAACAATTATGAATATGTAAAATTACTTGAAGATGTCGTTGGAGTGCGGGCACGGAGCAGGCATGTCTGTCCATCTGCTGCTTGCTTGCTATGCTGAGGATATCGCTGGTGGCACGGCATACTTCAGCGATCAATTCTCTGTTCGCTCAATGCAAGGGCAAAATCCAAGAATGACTACATGGTCACACTCCATACCCCTCTTTACCATTTGCACTACTGGCCCTGCTAGCTGCCAACGTGGTCTGGACTGTGATTGACCCGTAGGAGCCGGCCAACCTAGGAAAACAAACTTTGTTTGAATGTCGGTCATATCGGCGATTTGCTGAAGAAGGCTATGCCAAATATCCGCTTCTGTGATATATTTCTGTGTATGCTTCATCGAATCCAACAAGTCGCTGAACAATATAGGTCAGGGCTGAATTTCTGGGTGCTGCGCCCCGAGTTCAGTATCTGAGAAATCTTGGAGACGAGCCTCTTCACACAACTTTGAGATGTGGACTAGGCACCTATTTCCAAGTATATGTAGGTTGTTTTGGGTAATTACTACTGCTATGGACAAGCCCGAGTTTAGTCCATAGGGGTTGTTGTGGTTGGTTTGGATAGCACTTGGTTTTGATCCGATGGATCAAGTGCAAAGCACTATGTTGACATCTGGGCCTCGCGGAGCCTTGCGCCACCATCGGCCAGCCCCAAACATATGCACATCATATATAGCTCGGAGGGGCTAGTCCTCACCTTGTTCTCCTTAGCACATTTTCAAGTCATTTTCCATTTCCTATTTAGTCTGGCATTTTAAAGCAGCCGTAGTTTACAAATTTCGTGCTAGCTCATGTGCAAACTCCACAACTAATAGCTGATTTATACCCTGCGTATCCAACATAAGGTTGTAAATGATATGTTTGAGGACTTGTGTGTATTGACATTACTGGCGCTTCGCTTTCTCTGCTTGTGCAAAATGCATGGTCCTATGTAGAAAACCTCAGACAACTACTGGCTTGAATAGTTTGCTTCAATCCAGCAATGGCACTGCAACGATATAATGATAATTGTACGGATCGTTGACTTTCACACAGCCAACTTGTGTGGCGGCCTATCTTCAGATTGTCTCTGCACTATTTGGTTAAACTGTCTTTCACACTGTCTTCGACTCTCAACAAGCCGCTTCTTGTGTGAATTCAATGTAGGTAGCTATACGTGCAAATAAAATTCCCTCCCTCCCGCTATTGCTTGCTCTCTTCATAATCCACCTGTATTGCTCCGATATTTATACTAGCTTTTCAGAAATGGATATTGAGGAAAAGAATACCAACTCTGCCACCTTATCCAGAAATCGCTCAAGGATTAGAGCCTCGGGATGTGAATCTTGAGCAAGTACCGCCCAAGCCAGCTCCATTCTGCAATTGCCGCTTTAAACGCCCTGGTATTTATTGGCCGCGTTGGATGGCACCATCATCAACTCTATATATGTTGAAATCGGCAGCAAATTTGACGCCCTCGACCGTGCCATCTGGGTAGTCACCACCTATCTTCTCGCATCAACCTCTGCCATGGCTATTGCCGGCCGCACCAGCGACATTATTGGCCGCATGGAAACTACATGCATCGGTATTGTCGTGTTCTTTGTCGGATCAATCCTGTGCGCATGTATCCCAGTCGATGAACATGCTACTAACCAGCCGCATCATCCAGGGAATCGGTGGAGGCGTTGTCCAGAGCCTCTCCATAGTCATTCTCGGCGACCTCGTGTCCGAGCGCGAGCGCGGCAAATACGCTGGACATATTCTCTGCTGCCTGGGCCATTGCATCAGCTATCGGGCCAGTCATGGGCGGCGGAATCGTCGAGCATGGCTTCCTGGCGCATTGTCTTCTGGATCAACATCCCCTATCTGTGTAGTATGCTTCCTGCTGGTTACCTGGGCGATTAAACTGCCAACGCCGCATGGCACATTCAGCGAGAAAATCCACCGCGTGGACTTCATCGGCAACGCACTATTTTTGGCTGGCACCATTCCTGTCCTGCTTGCGCTGTCGTGGGGTGGCCAAGAGTACGAAATGGACGTCAGCCACTGTCCTTGCCTGCCTTGTTGGTGGCTCCATAGTCCTTGGCGCCTTTGTTGTCTTTGAGGCATTGTTTGCCACCCTTCCGACTATCCCAGGTCCGTTTATTCACTCATAGAAATGTCTTTGGTGCGTCTTTTGCGGCAACGCGACATGGGGCGGTTATGTTTAGCGTCATACTCGCTGTCCCTATATGGGAAATGACCATAAAGCATGCCTTCGGCCCATTAACGCCAGCCTGCACGTATTGCCGTACATGGCAGGAACAATTGTCTCTGCGCCAAGTTACTGGAATCTACTTGTCAAAAGTCGGCTGTGTGCGCCCAGTGGTCCGTGTTGGCTCCTGTGCTGGCAGCAGCCGGCGCCTGTCTTTTGCTATTGCTCAACTGGAAATCCTAGCATGGGTCAGCGTGTCGGATTCATTTTTACCTGCGGTTGCGGCGGCGGGTTTCTGATTCAGTCGCTGATACTTGGTTGCCCAGGCGTCAGTAGCCTGGAAAGGACATGGCAGTGGTTGCCTCATCCATTACATTCTTACGTTCATTTGGCGGCGTCCTGGGCAGCAGTCTAGGCAACTCAATCATGAACAGCCAGATTCAGGTCAAAAATCGGGACAGTTTTCGCTCTTTATTCCAGATAGCACACAGATCGTTGCCGATTCTCTCCACGACCAAGCGCTGATGTTCAGCAGCGAAATGCCTGTCGATGTTCGCGATCGGCTGATTCGGATATGGTCAGAGGGCATACACTCGTCCTTCTTCCCTCTGATCGCATACAGTGCCCTTCTTGTCAGCTCATGCTTTCATCATCAAGCATGTCGAGCTGATGCGGGAGAGAAAGAAGACAATTAGTTGATATGAACATACCTTATAGGGACTCCATGGCATATCGCAATTTGGTGATTTGATTACATAAAATGTTATTGCGCCACTGGGGAGTATTTGCGGCCCACAGGCGATGGCTTCCGGAAACAGCAACTGCTTTTGCACCATGCCATAGACAGCAGTTTTCTCAGCCATAGCACGATGTCTGAGCGCTAGTTGCTATTGGATACCGGGGCTTCCTCTCAGACCTGTCCAGCGAGTAGAGATACTGTGATATTTTCAAATATTCTATATCGGATGGTGTTTCTTTACTGACAGGCAGAAATTGAAGTAGTTTATGCGACTGCCAAGACATGCTATTCCGCGACGAACTTAAGGCTGAATAACAAAAGGCCCAATGCTCGATTGAATCAGCCAGTAGTTGGCAAACCGAGCGAATGATGGGGGGCTCGGCTCCGACATTTTTGCGCTCTCTTGGGCAACATGTTCCCAGAAAGATTTTTCGCAACAATATACAAAATGACTGTGGCTGTATTACGCTATTGTTCCCTTCTTGTTTACATTTACGATAACTAGAATATCAACATCTACCGTCGGGACACCTAATTTGCCAAACTCCCTACTCCCGCTCCATTCTTCACTGCCAACAACAATATGACGAATGGCTGAAGGGAGCACGCTACTATGCAGCTCTCAGAAAGTCTTACACGAGTGGTCCCTCAGTTGGAAAAGCAAAACAGGGATGTGGGGCTGTGCGCCAGAGTTCCTTGGGAACATTGCACACTAGTGCCACCAGAAAAAAAAACCCCAGGCCAACACAAGCTGGCTATAAGATGCAAGTGCGTCTTCTTCAAATAAACGCCCTCACGTTCTTGATATTGATTCTTTATCCTCCGATGCGGCAGTAACATCCTTTTGGCTTTATAATACCCTTTTCTCCATTCCTATTCTTTCTAGTAATCGCTCTTCTATCGCTATAAGGTCGCATACCGGTCATGAAAGATATTTCTTTGTCGCCAGACTCTGACAAGACACCTATCGCCGACGATGGACAGCCTGTCTGTCAACTCGAGCAGGTCTGCTGTTGCGCTTGAAGCCGGTGAGAACTCCAGGAATCTCTGGGAAAATCTCCGAGAAGGCTAGTGGTGCTGAGAGTGGCGGTGCGGAGAGCGGCGGTGCTGTGGTCAATCTAACCAGACCCGAGCTAATTACGGCTTTCTTTGGGCTTACATGCGTGATGTTCATTGCCTCTCTCGATGGAACCATTACAGCAAGCATCTATGTTCCCATTGCCAGCAAGTTCAACGACCTTGAGGAGGCTATCTGGATTCATTCACGACTTACATGCTTGCCTCAACCATCACCCTTGTGCTTTCAGGGGCGACTCAGCGACTTGCTTGGCCGAGTTGAGGTCCTCTGCACAAGCATTATCATATTCCTCATCGGCTCGATTCTGTGCGCCGCGTCACAATCTATGAAGATGCTGTTTGCGAGCCGTGCACTTCAGGGCCTGGGAGGAGGTGGGCTGATGAACCTGTCGCTGGTTATCGTCGGCGACATCACCAGCGAGCGTGACCGTGGTACATTCATTAGCTTAATGACCTATCATCTTTGGGTATTGGAGCGGCTGTCGGGCCCATCATTGGTGGCGCTATTGCAGAGAACGCCTCCTGGCGCATTGCGTTTCTGGATCAACATTCCCGTGTGTGTCGTTTCCCTTGCACTAATCTTTAGGCTCTAAGCTGCCGCGGCCGCAAGGAAATATTCAGGGAGAACATCAAGCGCTTGGACTATTTGGGAGCGCTTTTTGTTCACAATCAGTATCGTTCCGATTTTACTGGCGCTTTCATGGGGTGGACAGAAATACGAGTGGTCGTCGGCACAAGTTCTTGTGTGCCTTATTGTTGGCATTGTCTTGTTCGGAGCCTTTATTGCAGCTGAATGGTATCCATGCCAAAGGAGCCAATCATACCAGTCCGCCTCTTTAGAGTTGACAACGTTGCTGCGTCTGTCTTCGCCTGTTTGTTCCTCGGTGCGATCATGTACGGCGTCATACTGATCATTCCTGTTTGGGAAATGGCAATCAAGAATGTGTCGATTCTCATGTCGGGTGTGCACCTGCTCCCGTTCGTTGCTGGAGCAATTGTTTCTGCGCCGATATCGGGCATATACGTTATGAAGACCGGCCGCCACCGGCTGATGTCAAGGATCGGGGCGCTATTCCTGGCGCTGGGACCGTGCCTACTTTTGGTCTACAACGAGAACTCGAACATTGGACAGCGCATCGGGTTCATCTTTATCGCCTGGATTTGGTATGGGGTTATGCAATCAGACTCCGATCCTGGTTAGCCAGTCATCTGTTGAGGGCAAGGATATGGCGGTTATCACAGGCTGCGACGATGTTTGTGCGTATATTCGGCGGGCTTATTATAAGCAGTGTCATCAACTCGCTCCTAAACAGCCACGTGAAGTCGAAGACACTCGAGATTGCCGCTCAATACCCCTTATACGCCCGGATCATCATAGGAAGCCTCGGGGATCAGAGTCTCCTTCACAGCAATATGCTATCTTCGAATATCCGCTATCGCTCTGGTTAAGGCCTGGTCAGGACAGCATGCACGCAGCGTTCTATGTATTTGTCCCTGTTGGCGTGCTGACTATCATCTCCTTCACATTTATGCGCCATGTGGAACTGAAGACAGATATGCAGGCCTACGATCCACTAAATGCATACCATTCTCCATCACATTCAATATCCCCCTTAAATAAAGTATATGTTGCACATTCGCCTGCCAGTATGTCCGATATATATGGTGAACGTAGTTCTATATCATTTCTGCTGCATATACTTTTGTTCTAGTTGTCTTGGCGAGTGCCGACTTTCTCAGACATGAGCTTTTGCAGCACGTCCATCATGTCGATATCGCGAACTGATTCGCCGAGAACACCATTGCTTTTGGCAGTCTCCCAGAGCTCGCGGGCCTGGGCAGCCTGGCCCAGGTTCACAAGTGCCAAGGCGACCCACCCGACCATTCCGACTGAACGGTGAAATACGGTATGTTGCTGCATACGGGTGTTTCACATGCCAGTCGATCGACGCGCTTATTGAAGGCTAGCAGAGTGTCCCACACATGGAGCACCGGCGGACCACTGGCCCTGCTTTCCATATGCACGCAGCAAAATAATAAACGTAGTAGCATCTGGAGGTGGCGCGGGGACTGGGGCGGCAGCAGACCGCTGCATTGCCATCTCGCTGCTGCTGAGGGTCTTGAGTCGTTGCTGCATGGGCCTTCCTATTCTTCTTGCCGCCTTTGCCAGCTTTCCGAGGGACATTGTGCAGATCCGTCAGCGACGGTGCAGCAGAAAAGGCTGCTCGAGATGTGAGCCAGTTGACTAATGCACGACGAAGGCGGCTCGACGACGTGCGCTCTTCTGATGGCCGCATCAGCCAGCTTCCTAGGCGTGTATGCTCGCTCTCGAGAACGCGCAGGTCGACGAACCGCCGCTTCTCCGCCTCGATCTGCTGCGAGTTATCCTCGATTGGGCTACACAGCCGAGCATCGGACGTCATCAGCATACTCCGGAACATTTTTCTGACAATCTTGGCATTCCACAGGCGGTCGGCTAGCGCCATGAGCACGTAGTTGTACGTTGTTGTGTTCAGTGCTACATTGCACTCACGCTCAGCATGCCGGATAATTGTCTGCGCGAGTTTGATGTCCCGTGAGCGCACACAGCAGCGCACAACAGCGCTGACCGCCGGAAACGTGGGAAGGTAGCCGTAGTCAAGCATGTCCGTATACGCCCGACGTGTCTTGAGCAGATCGTCTGATTTTGAATAGCAGAAAAGGCGCGTCTGATGGCTGACCGCATTGGGCAGCACTCCTCGAGCGTCCATCTGCCGCCACTTCATCTCGAAATCGCCAATGTCGCTCGTGGCCGATGCATACATAAGCATTGCGTTGAATGCATGGACTGACGGGAAATTGTCAACGAGCTGCTCAAGCTTGTCGTAGTGCGTGCGAGCAGCATCAAAGTTGTTCGCTTTGACGTAGTGGATGAGCAAGGTTGATGGCAGGACCGTGGGCGGGACATATTGAGCATGCTCGATCTTTTCTCTATTACCCCCAGCTGTCGACGGGCCGCTCCCGGACCGTAGCGAATAATAGAGGATCTGGAGCAGGGTATATGGCGAGCTTAGCTCAATGTTGGCGTCCCGGGCCGTGGATATGAAGCGATTCCGCCTGCTGGAGATGTCCGTTGCGCAAAAGTGTCCGAATAACCACATTGAGCGTCTCTGGGAACGATTTACGCCTGCTGCCAGCCGCAATCTGTGGCTCTTTGTTGCCGTTCTGGAGCGCCCTCCTCGATAACCGCACCAACAGCCACTGCATCCTGATGCAGCAGATTAACCAAAGGCCGGCTGGACAGCCTGCTTGAATTCAGACCAGGCAACCGCGCAGCAAGAGCATCAACCACAGCGCTCTCACCGACCAAGCCCTCCTCCAAGCACCGGATAATAAGCGCAATCTCTGTGGCCCATTGTCGCGGGTTCTCCAGCGCCGTGCTCATCACTGATGTAAATTCGTTGACCGAGATCGACGCTCCCTTGAGAACGCTCTGCCGAAACTTGCCCATGATATTCCTGGCATGCCCTCGCTTGCGCTCCATACTCATGACGGCAACAGATGTAGCAGCAGTCGGCTGGATGTTGCTTGTGCGCATGTGCTTGATGATGCTCAGCGCCTCGCCCCATTGGCCGTTATTCACCAGCTGGCTCACCAGGGCAGTGTACGTATAGACATCGGGCGCGTATCCTGCCTTCTCCATGCGCTTGTGCCAGTCCTTCCATAGCACCTGCTTGCCACGCAAAAGACACGCATGCATCATGATATTATATGTCACCTGGTCGCATTCTGCCCCTGCTTTCCGCATTCTACCCAGGACCTGCTCAACAAGCTCATACCGATACCGCAGATCCACTGCGTGCATGTGTAGCAATGCGTTCCATTCGCGCGTGCCCTTGCCCATGCCGATTTTCAGCAGCTCCGACATCTTCGCCCACGCCCGATCCACGTCCTTGCTGCGTGTCCACGATAGCAGCAGCTCACGCAATGCTCGGACAGGCTGACCTGTGGCTCCAAAGGCGTCTTCCATGATCTGCTCGCCCTGAGCTGGCATACCTGCTCTGCTATAGGCTACTACCCGTGTTTCGACAAAATCACTCTGCTCAGCAGTCCAGGCTGGCCCGAACTTGACTTTTGCGGTTTTCGCAGCATGCTCGAATCGCTGAATATCACCGAACTTTGCATACACCCGCAAAAGGGACATGTATATGGCCGGGTCCGCCTCCTCAGTGCGCTCAGACAGCTCCACCAGCAGCTGCTCGGCACGACTGCACCATTCTGTCCGCTCGCCGTTCCTCAGAATAGCCCGTAGGAACTGGTCTAGCTGCTCGGCATTGATCCGCCAGTCCGACATCCGCTTGATCTCCACATACAGCTCCCACATTGCCTCCAGCTTCATTGCCGTACGTCTATGGAGTAGGAACCGACGCAGCTTTCGCCGGAGCCGGAAGATCGCAAACTCAATCTCCTCCTGCGAGTACTTTTCTTCGCGCTTTGTTATCAATGGCGGCTCCGAGAACCCGCGTTGCACCAGATCGACGATCTGCCGCGCAGTGCGAGTCTGTCCTGTCTGTCTATCTGTGGCTAGCGCCGAGCTCTGCTGCAGTACTGAGCTCGCAGCACCTCGCCGCCGGTGTCGCAGGTAGCTTTCGGCGATTACCACGGACTGCCGCGAAATGTACGTTCGCCGCAGCCCCGAGGCGCCGAATCGCGGTGCTGCAAGCATAATATAATGCTGAATTATGTGTGAAAGTTGTGTGTCGGTGTGAATTGGAGCAGCAGAACAAAGGAGCAGGCTGCTGGGACTATCAGGTGTGCCTGGGGCGAATATCAGTTGCAGGAAGCAGTCGCTGGGCTGAGTTGGAACCGCTGATTGGCAGGGCAGTAATCGTGTGGAACATTACCAGATCAGATCGTGTACATGGCGGTACCGAGTGTGAAAGTGCACATAAGGTCGCATGTGCACACTCTGGGTCGGCCGCAACGCGGGACCACCCGCACTTTGCTTACATGCCCGTGCCCCCCGTCTACTTTCGCGTGCGTCTGCATACGAGCAGGGGTACAGCTGATCAGCATCCAGTTTGAGCACAGGTAGGTCATGCGGGGCGCCAGAGAATATGTCTGGGAAGCGGCGGAAATTGTACAAGAGCTGAAAAAATACAAGGGATTTTCCTGCGTCCTTTGCACAGATCGCATTTCGTTCGTCGGCCAAAAAGAAGAGCGGCCAGTGTTTGAGATACATCTCTTAAGCAATGCGGCAGCACATGAAATCTCAAAACCGTCTCTTCATCCGAGGCATTCCCACCTCATATGCCGCTGTATTCTAATAGTCGGGTTTCTACACTTATAAAGACGCCAACGAGCCCCATTCACGCCTCTATCAATATTGCCGTTCCTATATCCCTTTCCTTCTTAATTGCTTGCAGCTTGAACACCTTTCACGCAATAATGGCTATCCTCGACGCCATTGGCGATTTGCTCGAGGCATACAGCGTCACCTATGTGCACCTACTCGTCGGCGGTCTGGTCATCTATGGAACCACATTGATGCTCTACCGTCTGTTCTTCTCACCCATCAGCCACCTTCCCGGAAGCATACTGTCGCGCACATCAATGTCGTACATGCGGGTCATGACAGTGCTAGGCAAACTGCCAGATATGTGCGAGGACGACTACTACAAATACGGCGACATCTACGTGGTGGCGCCTGATATTGTGACGCTGTCCAACCCGGCCGACTGCCGCACGGTGATGGGCTCACACGCGTTCGTCAAGGACAAGTTCTACGAGGCGTTCGAGCTGATCGACGAGACCATATTCACAACCAAGGACGCGGATTTCAACCACATGCGGCGGCGCCAGATCGGGCCAGCCTTCACCCAGGGGTCGCTGCAGAGCATGGAGCCGACGATCATGGAGTGCGGCGTGCTGGCAATCAAGAAAAAGTGGGACAAGCTGATCGGCGACTACCGCGGGTCGGCGAAAATCAACTATAGCCTGGACTTTTCGCTGACCACCTTTGATGTCATCAGCGCGCTCGGGTATGGCCAGCGGTTCCATGCATTGGAGAACAACAAATCGAAGATTGTTAACTGGGTGGTGTGGTACAACTGGCTTGCAATCCTCAAGGCAGCCATTCCGTCCATCACCGAGTTCCCGCTGAGCCTGATCAGCCGCCCGTTGCTCAAGAGCCGTAAGGAGTTTGTCGACTTTGGCAATGCTGCAGCTGAGCACCGGCGCGAGCAAATCCGCCAGGGACAGAAGGTCCCGAATGACATCCTGCAGGCACTTATCGACGGCGAGGATCCCGAGTCGAAGGCAAAGATGACGCCGTCGCAGGTGACTGCGGAAAACATTGGCATACTGATTGGCGGCACAGACACAACCTCGCTGACGATGACCTGGACCTTGCATTACCTGATGCTCTACCCCGAGTGCTACCGCAAGGCTGTGGAGGAGGTGCGGTCGGTGTTTGCGCCCGACCACCTGATCGGCTACTCCGAGGGCCGCAGTCAGTTACCATATGTCGAGGCATGCATCTACGAGTCCATGCGCATCCGTGCTGTGTCGGGGGTGATTCTGCCACGAGTGGTGCCTCCTGGCGGAGCGACATTCCAGGGCCATTTTATTCCTGCCGGCAAAACTATCGGTGTCAATGTTGCCGGGATGAACCACCACCAGAGCCTGTGGAAGGACTCGAAGAGGTTCATGCCGGAGCGCTTTATCGACAACCCAAAGCTCAAGCAACAGGTCATGACGTTCAGCACTGGCGTGCGCATCTGCCCCGGAAGAGCCCTTGCCTGGATTGAGATGATCACGATCTTTGCCAACCTCCTGAAGGACTATGACTTTTCGCTTCCGGAGGGAGCGCTGTACGGTCCGGACAAAACCGACAAGAGTGGACTGCCGGTGGTGATGCCACGCACCCATGCGCTGACTGTGGGCCCAAAGAACCCAGAACGCGACTGCAATGTCATTGTGACCAAGAGGGTGCTGTGAAAGATCAAGCGAATATATAATAAAAACATGTTCGTCAGGACTATTGCAGTGGTACATGCACATGGCACGATGTATCGGGTAAGGTGAAGAGCACGACATGTGCATCAGCATCCCAAAAAGAATAATATCCTTCTTAAACAATGGAGAGATAAAGTCGCCTAAGACTTGTATAGGCAGCTGTATCCTGTGTCATTCTATCTCAACTTTTTTGTTTTTGACTGCACAATGCTTGTCTACTACCTCTCTAGCGCTGTCGCTGCCTACGCAGCATCCCAGGTCATCTACCGACTGTTCATCTCGCCGCTGCGCAAGATCCCCGGCCCCTGGCTCGCACGGCTCAGCTACCTTTCCTACTACTATACAATGGGGACAGGCTCAACGTCAGCTAAGGGTCGGAGCGACTACCACCAGTACGGCGACATCTATGTGATGGCACCCGATATGGTTTCAGTCAGCCATCCAGACGACTGCAAGCGAATCATGAGCTCGTACGAGTTCCGCAAGTCGGACTTTTACCAGTCAATGGCGATAATCGACGACACCATTCTGTCGACGCTCTCGCCGGAGCTGAACAGGATGCGCAGACGGCAGTTCGGCCCCATGTTTACGCCCAGCTATCTGGCAGGAATGGAAAAGATCATCATGGAGTGTGGCATCAGGGTGTTGAAGCAGAGATGGAGCCAGCGACTTGGCCAGCAGGTGAACTACGCAGAGGACTTTTCGCTCTGCATGGTCGACGTGATAAGCACGCTGTGCTATGGTGAAAAGCCAGATGCATTGAACAACCAGCGTTTTCTTAGCTGGCTGCATGCATTGACAAACTACGCAGTGCTCAATGTGGCAGTGCCGTGCAATGCGTATTTCCCATTCTCCCTGCTGACCAGGCATGGCCGTGCAGCCAAGGCAGATATTAGTGAGTTTGTTGAGGCAGTAGCCGACTGCAGACGGCAGCAGAATTTGGAGGGCGGCGAGAAGCCCAAGGATATTTTGCAGGCGCTTCTTGATGCCGAGGACCCGATGTCAAAGAGCCGCATGACCCCACTGCAGATTACCGCCGAGAGCGCCACCATGCTGATGGTGGGTACCGACACGACGTCCCTGGCCATGACATGGACCTTGAACTACCTGCTGCTTTACCCGGACTGCTATCAACGGGCGGTGGCAGAGGTTCGGTCGAAGTTTGCGCCGGACCACCTGATAACCTCAGCCGAATGCCGAGCCGAGCTGCCGTACATTGAGGCATGCATATTTGAGTCGATGCGGATCCGGGCGCCGTCAAGCACGCAGTTGCCACGGGTGGTCCCAAAGGGCGGAGCGACGTTCCAGGGCTATTTCCTACCGGAGGGAACCACCGTCAGCGTCAATGTTGCAGCTCTCGGCTGCCATGCGAGCCTGTGGCCAGACCCCGAGCGGTACGACCCCGAGAGGTTTTTGAACAACAGTGCAGCGAAAAACAACCTGGCAGCGTTCAATACGGGCCAGTTCAAGTGCCCAGGACGCAATCTGGCGTGGATCTCTCTGTTGACAACGATTCCAAACTTACTGAAGGACTTTGATTTTGCACTGCCCGCCGATGCGCTGCACCGGCCGGAGATCGTAGACAAGAGCGGATTGCCGGTCCCGATTCCGCTGACAACTATTCTCTCGGTAGGACCAAAGTATCCAGAGCGCGACTGCAACGTCATTGTGAACACGGCAACCCGCCCAGCTACTGTATTCTAAGAAAGTTTTTAAGGAAGGGCTACAGTATCAATACTAAAATTGACCCAGCAATGCACCATCCCAGCAGCACCGTAGTACACGCGGTCACGATCTTGTGCACCCTCTCGCCAGTCTTTCCCAGCACCACGGCAGCCTCAGCATCCATCTTTCCCTCAATCGCAGCCAGCACCAGCCTCAGCGCATGGTCACCGTCCAAGTACCACGCCGGTATAGCGTTAAGCAGACACAGGGCAATGGAGAAGGACAGAACGTACTGCAGCAGCGACTCGGTCCAGGACGGAATACGCTGGGGCAGCCACGAGTGCCTTGGGACCAGCGAGCTGGCATGCACGTCGAGCCAGAGCTGGGAAAGAGACCCGACATATATGGTCATTTCGTTGGTCATGTCGGGTTTCGTGTAGTAGATGCGAGCGACCCGGCTCGACTGGTACGGCGACCTGGGCAAGACGCATGCGGCGTGGCGACCTGGACACTCACTGCTGGACCTGCAGCGGTGCTGGCCGGTGCGCTCCAGGACGTCGCGCAGGTCAAAGCACATTGTGGATCGGGTTGGCGGGTCGGCCGGATCCAGCAATAGAACCCTGGACCGCTTGGTGATTTTGCTGGTGGCGTTTGGGCTTCGGTACGGCTCGAAGCAGAAAATGTCCGTGTCCGGGCTTTCGCCCATCGGGTACTGGGGCGACATTTCGCAGCAGAGCCCGTCATCGACATTCTCCTCGCTAGTGACGCAGAACCCGCTTTCGGCTGTGTCCTGGTTAGCCTGGGTCGCAGTCAGCGCCCGGGTCCACCGGGCAATCGGCGAGGGCCCGGATTTCCCAGACAAGTCCACATCGTCGATTCGGTAGATTGTACTGAGCACCGGAATTCTTCCAAATAAAGGCGACGTATGCTCGATATCCATGATTGCCACGCCGTCGATCTTTTGCCAGCCGGCGAACTCAAAGCTCCGGGAGAGCCCACCCGAATACACCAACAGGTAGATCAGCATGGCCGTGACTGCGTTGTGCCAGACGCCCGCACACACAACACGCAGCTGCTGCAGCACAGGCGCCTTGTCCATGTCGTCCTTGGACAGATCGACAAAGGCCCCCGGGTATATGCCCATGATGAAGACTCCGAATCTGCGTAAAGGGATGTATGACCAGGCAGCGGCTAGCGCATGGCCGAGCTCGTGCACGATGGCACAGATAGCCAAAGACAGCAGATAGTACCAGATGTGCGATAGCGGCAAGGTGACGCCTGGAATTACCGGCTGCAGTAACTGGCGGTTTTTGCCGTCACTGATGGGCATCCGTTTCTGCAACGGCCGCTGTGTGGGGGGCAAGTCCGCCTGGCCCGCTGCCCCAAAAACGACGGCTGCCAGAGCATGCAATATCTGGCTGACAGCTCCGAGTCTGGCTGACAGGCTGAGCGCTATCTGCATGCTGGCAACTGCTAGCAACACCAGGCATGTCAGCATGCCGACCAGGGCGACGCAGATGCCCAGATCATAAAACATGTTGGTGATGCGTGTGCCCAGCGGTGTGCGCACAATCGACAGGCTGGCCAGCGTGTGTATGGGGCGGTTTAGCCGCTGTGTTGTGAAGCGTATGTGCAGCGGAGAGACCAGCTCTATCCGGGAGGGTTTAACGACAAGGAATACAATATTTATAGCAACCCAGGCCACGCCAATGTAGACGAGCAGCAACCAATTCGAGCCAGCCATTGCAAGGAAAGGAAAAAGGAATAAAACTGAAATAAAAACGACTGAGCTGATGCAAACAGGAAAAAGAGTTGGAAATCCAGCTTTTGTTCACTTTCTTGAACTACACGCCATTGCTGGTTTCTTCAGCTCCAAATAAAAAATAATCAAACTGATAGCTAGAAACTTGGTAGAGGGGTATGCTAGCAGACAGCACGCTTTTGGACTGTAAAAACTCATATATTCTAGCTGTCCTTGGGGGTATTGATGCTGGAGAGCACGGTCGGCTCGTGGGTGTTGGCAGCAACCAGCACCTCGGTGAACTTCCACAGCCGGTCCTGCTTCTCAACGCTCACAGCATCGGGATGGACGACAGTCGGCTGCTCGCGTGCATAGTATCCGCCGGTCTTGCCCTCGAGCCTGTCGGACAGCGCCAGATACACCGAGGTCACTGAGCCATTGACCTGGTTGAGCCACAGCCAGGTGCGGAACTGGTGGATGCCAGGCAGGGTGGAAAACAGCACATGTCTGTACAGCCCGGTGGCAGTCAGGCTAGGGTGGAACGCATTGACTGTGACCTGCGAGTCCTTGAGACGCCTGGCCAGGGCTGCCGACAGCATCATGAGCGCGAGCTTGCTGGTCGAGTAGTTAATAAACCGGTCGTAGCGCCAGATATCGGTCACTCTTTTGTAGTCTAGCGTGTGGACCATGCAGGCGGCAATGGACGACGCAATGGTGATACGGGCAGGCCCGGACTGCTTCATAGTCGGCAAGAGCTGGTCGATCAGGACAAAGTGGCCGACGTAATTGGTGCCAAACTGCGACTCAATGCCATCGTACGTGGTGTCGAACTGGTTGAATGCGACGCCGGCATTGCAGCACAGCACATGCAGCTGCTGGTATTTGCCCGAGAACTCGTCGGTGAAGCGTTTGATTGATGTGAATGACGCCAGGTCGAGCTCCATGACCTCAAATGTGTCCATCAGCCCGGTCTGCGACTGCAGCAGCTCCAATGCGCATTGTGCCCGCTTCATGTTGCGGCACGCCAGAATGGTCGTGTATCCTGCCATGCCCAGAGCCTTAGCTGTCTCATAGCCAATGCCGTTGGCGGCTCCCGTGACTACTGCCAGGCGCCTTTTCTGGCCGCTGTGTTTGGCCTTGTGGGCAGAGACCATCTGTGCAATCTTTTGTTGGCCATTATGCTGGCTGGGGAAGAACCGGTGCAATAGGCAGTATACGGACTCCCAGTACGAGAACATGATGACTGCAATTATCCCCGGCAAATGGAGCAGGCGGTGCAGGTGCAGCACAGTGTACTCGATTACGTCGATGGTGGAGCAGAGCCACATGCTTGGGGAAGAATATGGAAGAGTAGTTGCTAGATATTTTGTGGGAGTGAGTGGGAAGCCCTAGGAGGGGAGAGGAGCAGCATAAGGAAGAAAGGGATATATGCCGGAAGAGAGCCGGCGCAAGTCCATCCGCCGCGTTCACCACTGGCATGGGTTGTTCCCTTAACCGCATGATGACTGGTATTTACTGAACCAAATACATTGACAACATACATGCCCGTGCAGTAACCGCAATAAGCGCAGAGAGGAGGGGGAGCCCTTGCAGCCACATATGCCACTGTATTTTCTTAATCCCAGTACTTTATCGACCCATCCCACGAGCACGTCGCAACCTTTGACGACTCGCGCGGGTGCCACGCGCACCCAATGGTGACCTTGTCATGGGCCTTCCACTTGTCCACCACCCTGGCCGACTTCCAGTCCCAGCACCACACGCCACCCTCGGAATCGCCCGAGACCACGTACTTTCCGTCGTGCGAGAACGCCGGCTGGCACGCATATCCGGCAGTCAGATGGCCCTCGAAGGACTTTTTGCGGTTGATCTTGATTTTCTCGCCGACGTTAACCACCACAATCCTGTTGTCCATGCTCTGGCCCGCCACCCATTTGCCCGCCGGGTGCGCGGCGACAGCCGGCACCGAGTGCATGGCGGGGTCGGCAATGAGCTTGATGACGACGGGGATTCCATACTCCCACACACGCATGCTCTTGTCGTCCGAGGACGAGATGAACCGCCGGTTCGAGTCGACAAATGTAATCGAGTTGACCGCGCCCAGATGCTGGTCGTACTCCTGCACCACCGAATTCGAGCGGATGTCCCACTGCGCAATCTTCTTGTCGCCCTGGCCGACCAGGAACACATTCGGGTCGTCTGGGTAGAACTTGGCCACGTAGGGAGTCTTGTTTGTGGTGAATGCCTGTCTGCACTGGCCTGTCTCAGTGTCCCATAACTTCGTGTACTTGTCGTACGATGACGACAGGAACGACTGGCCGTCGGGTGCAAAATTGATGTCCCGCACAGCCTTGCTGTGGCCGATAAACGTGCGCTGCAGCGACCGCGACCGGTGCGTGTCGAAGATCTTGACCAGCCCGTCCATGCCGCTCGACAGGAGCAGGTGGCCCGAGTCGGGGATGAACCGGATCGCGCTGACCCCGCCCACGTGCGCCTTCCATTCGCGCACCTGCCGCTTCGGGACAAAGCACGTCTGGTCACTGGCCACCATGTCGGTTGGCACGTGCATGTATGTGCGGCCCTGGTAGTCGCGCTCGGACGTGCCGTGGAAGGCTGTGCGCTCCTTTTGGCCCTCCGTGTACAGCGTCCGTTTCGGTCCTCGCTGCGGCTGGCCACCGGGGGCTGTCTGGTCATCGGCGACCTGGGCTTCATACTCGGCCAGTTGTTCGGCAGTTGGTCCATGCGCCTCTCCCTTGGTATCGTTATCGTAGCCGGCCCATGGCCCCAAGTACGCGTCGTCGCCGTCGAGAACACCGGCTTTGCCTTTGCCTTTGCGCTTAAGCGCGCGGTTGTTTTTGGTCCTTTGGATGCTGGCTGGGCTGCTGGCACCCGGGTCGACTGTGACTCCTTGCTGGCGCAGCATGCGCTCCTGCTTTCGGAACGCTGCTTCGCTGACTGCCTGCTGATCGATTCCAGACGTTGGTGGTGCACCGATCGAGCCGGTTGCATCTAGAGGGCCGGCCAGGGGCTGTGAGAGGACGTTGTACGGGACGTTGTATTGGAGCTCCTTTTGGTCGTGGCCTATGTAGCCGACAAGCTCGCGGCCGCCAACGTCGGGCGCTGTGTTGACAATGTACTGGCGAACGACTGGCCTGACAAATGCCCGCTCTTCCGAGTCCGACGAGTCTGATCCGTACGCGTTAAGAGCATCCATAATAGCCAGCAAAGCAGAGAATTTGATTATTATATTGTATAATTCTGGCGATTCTTGATTACACTAGCTGTTCCCACGCTCGCGGTGCAAGCACATCTCCATGCAATACAAACGCTGTGTGTTGTCGCATTATGGTAGGCGCTTTAATGAAAATAATCTGCGGTGGACGGACCGAAGATCGAAAAGATTGGCAGTTTGGAACCAGATCTTCTTCCTTTCAACTGTCCTTAGGCTGTGTGCCACGTAGTCCACGAAAGAGACTGAGGAGGAGTTTGCCATACATAACGGACTGGTCTTGGCCCGAAAGGATATCCCTTGCTTTTCTTTATTCACTGGTATCCTATTCCTTTCTCATTTCAATCATAATTCACTGATGAAGTTCACTGCCCTCACCACCATCGCCCTCCTGGCTGCCAGCGCCTTTGCTGCCGACTCGACCACGGCCAAGTGCAAGCCATCCACCAAGCCTCCCACCAAGCTGGAGATAGACGTGGAGTTCCGCCCCGAGAACTGCCCAGTCAAGGCCTCAGTCGGTGACAAGGTCGCGGTGCACTACCAGGGCATGCTCTTCTCGGATGGCACCAAGTTTGATGACAGCTACGAGCGTGGTGAGCCGATCGAGTTCCCGCTCGGCCAGGGCAAGGTCATTAAGGGCTGGGACCAGGGCATCCTGGGTATGTGCATTGGCGAGAAGCGCGTGCTCAAGATCCCCTCGGACCTGGGCTACGGCGCTGCTGGCGCTGGTGGCGTCATCCCGCCCAATGCTGCGCTGGTGTTCAAGACTGAGCTCATGGCCATCAACGGGAAGGGCAAGGACGATGCTGGCGCCGGCCGCGACGAGCTTTAATATCTTTAGTCTCATCCCTTTTTGTGGTCCTTTCATTAGATGCACACGTGATCTTTTTCTGCCTAGGTCGCCGCTGCTGCCACCGATGCCTCTGTGCATGGCGGGTCATTCTGCCGAGTAAGCTGAAGGTTGATCATTGAAGGCCGATTGCACCGGAGTACGAAAAGCGATTGGTGCAAATTTAACGCTTTGATGCAAAATATTTGCCATTGTGCGGTGATCACACTGTTATGTTTGTTGAATATGTGTATATAATACTGAAGAAAAGAGAGAAAAGGGAATAGACGAGTTGCACAGAGGAGTTTTCAATACGGCCGTCTGTGCAACTTATCAGAGGCTAGACGCTACCTCCATATCGTAGGCTGTAGCGGGGCTCTCGTTGGCGCCTGGCTTACTGTCACCTGGCTCGGCTGACATGTCGACGTCAGGGACAGCCGCAGCGGGCGCGCAACAACACCACAGTTACTTAGGGCCAATGCTTATGTGACCCAGCCGATCACTGATGATGAGGCTGATTCATCATCTCAGACTAGGCCGTAAGTGTTAGGGTTATAATGTAGGTACCGGATCACTCCAAAAGTGGCCCGGAGAGGAATCATCTCTTCCCTATTAATTGATTTGTGCCTGGACGATTAGGCGAGGTTTGTGGCGCTTAAATAGGACCGCAGTGCAAACGCATCTCTATGCAATACAAACGCTGTGTATTGTCACATTATGGTAGGTGCCTTTAGTGGATATAATCTGCGGTGAGCGGAGCGAGGGTTGAAAGGATTGGCAGTTTGGAACCGGATCTTCCTTTCTACTGTCCTTAGACTGCGTGCCACGTTGCCTGCGAAAGGTACTGAGGAGGAATTTGCCATACGCAGTGGATTGGTCTTGGCCCGAAAGGATATCCCTAGCTTTTCATTCTTTAACAGTGCCCTTTTCCTTTCACAATTCAACCACAATTCACTGATGAAGTTCGCTACCCTCACCACCATCGCCCTCCTGGCTACCAGCGCCTTCGCTGCCGACTCGAACACGGCCAAGCGCACACCGCCTACCAAGCTGCAGATAGGCGTGAAGTTCCGCCCCGAGGACTGCCCAGTCAAGGCCTCAGTCGGTGACAAGGTCGCGGTGCACTACCAGGGCACGCTCTTCTCGGACGGCACCACGTTTGACGACAGCTACGAGCGCGGCCAGCCGATCGAGTTCACACTTGGTCAGGGCCAGGTCATTAAGGGCTGGGACCAGGGCATCCTGGGTATGTGCATTGGTGAGAAGCGCGTGCTCAAGATTCCCGCGGATCTGGGCTACGGCGCTGCTGGCGCTGGTGGCGTCATTCCGCCCAATGCTGCGCTGGTGTTCAAGACTGAGCTCATGGCCATCAACGGGAAGGGCAAGGACGATGCTGGCGCCGGCCGCGACGAGCTTTAATATCTTTAGTCTCATCCCTTTTTGTGGTCCTTTCATTAGATGCACACGTGATCTTTTTCTGCCTAGGTCGCTGTTGCTGCCACCAATGCCTCTGTGCATGGCGGGTCATTCTACCGAGTAAGCTGAAGGTTGATCACTGAAGGCCGATGGCACCGGAGTACGAAAAGCGATTGGCGCAAGCTTACCACTTTGATGCGAATCTTCGCCATCGGAGCAACCCAAGCGCTGCTTAAAAACAACATATGGAGACACTATGGGCAAAGCTTTTTCTTTTCCACCCCCGACTGTTTCAGAAAGAAAAGATTTTCTCTACTTGTTTTAGCTACTCAGTCATACTACGCCCTACTCGCTGCTCCTTTTTTTTTTAATGGTATCGTTTCCTCGCGCTGCCATCAGTGGCACTGCCGGAAGGCGCCAGCGCCTTACATCCAACTTTGTCAAGCTTCAAAGTTACCCGAAGGAAGAGGTCTTCCAGTACGATATTGATATTGCACCGGCACAGGGAGAGTTCAAGAAGCTGCCGCCAGCTGACTACATGCGCGCGGTTTTTGACAATGCTATGCGCACCCACCGCACAGGCAGGCTGGGCGGAACCCCCATGGTGTACGATGCCCGCAAAATTGCGTTTGCACCGAAGCGTGTGTGCGCACCCACGGAGACTCTGACTCTCGAGGTAAGTCCAAGCATCAGAGCAGCGGCAATAGGGATATATGAAGTGTGAAAGCCCTATTGGCTGGCTATTGTCGATGCGATAAGACTTCCATTGTCGTGCGACGCCCGCTTTTTTGCCGCATTTGCGGTGTGTTTCAGGGCCAGTATTTACTTATTCGTACGTCTCCAATGTTTGCTGCTGTAGGTTTCACATATCGATGCCGGCCGGTCGGAGCAGTTTCTGGTCAGAATCCACGAGTCGGCTGTAATCAACATGAGCGTCTTGACCGAGTACATCAACAACACCGGCGCTTTGCATATTCAGGATGTTCAGCCAGCTCTCAACGCCCTCGACCTGGCCTTTGGCTCGGTTGCCCATGGCGAGATGGTTGGCTTTGGCAGGTCATTCTTCACCCGCACGCAGTCGATGCAGACGCAGCGTGGCCTGGAGCTGTGGCGCGGGTTCTCACTGAGCGTGCGCCCTGGCGAGGGCAAGCTCTACCTGAACGTTAACACTGCTGTCACCGCAATGTACATGCCTGGCCCGCTCATGGCCATTATCGCCAGGCTGCTCGGTGTGCGCAGTGAGGGGGATCTGGACAGAAGACTCAATGACATGCAGGCCCGCGAAATTGGCTCGTATCTCCGCGGCCTGCGCCTGCTGGTCAAGCACCGTGGCATCAAGGGCTCGCGCAAGTTTTCCTTCAAGGGCCTGACCAAGAACCCGCTGGACAAGGAGTCTTTTGACTGGGAGGACCCGCAGCGCCCTGGCAGCGTCGAGAACATCACTATTGCCGAATACTACAAGCGCCGCTATAACCTGCGCCTGAACTACCCGCACATGCCTGGTCTGGTTGGCCGCAGGGGCGCTGTGTTCCCCATCGAGCTGTGCGAGGTTGCCGAGAACCAGCGCTACAAGGGCAAGCTCGACGACCAGCAGACCGCCGACATGGTTCGCTTTGCCTGCCAGCGCCCTGGCGACAACCGCAGCCGCATTACTGAGGTCATGGCGCAGCTCGACTTTAACAACAACCCCGTTGTTCGCGCCTTTGGTCTGACCCTGGAGAACAAGCTTGCTGAGGTTGACGCCCGCGTGCTTCCGGCGCCCACTATCCAGTACCATGCGTCTTCACGCGATGCGAGAATCACCCCCAATGGCGGCGCGTGGAACATGCGCGACAAGCGTGTTGCGACCGCTGGAGTGCCGCTGGACCGCTGGGCCGTGCTCGTCCTGGCCAACCAGCGCATGGTGCCGGCTTCCAGCGTCGAGAGGTTTGTCAGCGCCCTCGTGAACACCTGCCGCAACACGGGCTACCCGATCCGCGAAGGCCGTCCCCCAATTCGCTACGGAAATCCGAACGGCGACCTGAGCCGCGAGCTGAGCGCTACGTGCGATATGCTGAAACTGCCCAAGAACGAGTGTGCGCAGCTGGTGCTCATCATCCTGCCTTCGACCAACGCCTTCACCTACCAGGCGATCAAGAACGCTGCATATACCACCCACGGCATCCAGACCCAGTGCATGCAGTCAAGGCATGTGCAGAAGGCGAACCCGCAGTACTGCGCCAACCTGTGCCTCAAGATCAACGCCAAGCTAGGAGGTACCAACCAGATGCTGCCGCCGACCAGTATGCAGGCGATGCTGAACAAGCAACCAACGCTCTTTCTGGGCTGTGATGTCACGCATCCCGCGCCCGGTGAGGGCGACCGTCCGTCGATGGCATCGGTTGTTGGCTCGATCGACTTCATGGGCCTGCGCTATGCGGCCACGCTGATCCAGCTGCCATCGCGCCAGGAGATGGTGACGAAGCTTCAGGAAGCGATCGTGCGCCACCTGAAGCTGTTCTACAAGTATACAAAGACCAAGCCCAAGCGGATTATCTTCTACCGCGACGGCGTCAGCGAGACCCAGTTCGCCCAGGTGAAGGACCGCGAAATCATCGAGATCAGCCGCGCTTGTGCGTCGCTTGAGCCTGGCTACCAACCTGAGGTCACCTTTTTGGCAGTTCTGAAGCGCCACAACACACGCTTCTTCCCAATGGGCCGCGATGGCGACCGCACCGGAAACTGCGTTCCGGGAACCGTAGTTGACTCGCAGGTGACGCTGCCGTCGATGACCGACTTTTACCTGTTTGCCCATGCGGCCATTCAGGGCACGTCGCGCCCGACGCACTACTATGTTTTGCACGATGATTCAAGGTTCTCCCAGGACGAGCTGCAGCAGCTGACGTACCACCTGTGCTACACCTACGCCATCTGCACGCGCTCGGTGTCGCTTGTCCCGCCCGTGTACTATGCCCACCGTGTCGCCGACCGTGCCCGCTGCCACTTTGCCGACATGGGTGTTGCCTTTGAGGAGGCTACATCGTCATCGAGCGGCTATTACGGCGGCGCTGGCACCAGGACCGGTGCCAGCATGGCCCGTAATGACCCCAGTCAGATCACCAAGATTGTACGCACTCACCCGCGTCTTGATGAGTCTATGTACTTCATGTAAATGCTGCTCTAGCCCCTGCCAATTGCTGGTGTGCAGCGGCATGTAAGCTTTTTTTGTCTATCTTAGCATTTTATTTTTCCATGACGAGTGGATAGCACTCGCCTCAATTTTTCTATATATCAATTATTGCATGTCCAGCGTCGATTCTCTGTCTTGGCTAGCAAGCTGGCCCTAGTTTTCAGAAAACCCTACTGAAATTAGAGTGGCGCCGTGCAGGAAGATGAGATGTGGCTTAGGCGATGCTTCTGGATTTGCAGTGGACGGTTCCTTAAATGGTCTCGCTGATGCCGAACACTGGGGCATTTTGTCTGTGTAACGACATCGCTGAAATGGGTATTGACGGGAGTACTGCCCAGCTTGAAAGCGGCAGCCAATGCCAAGGAATGCCCAGAGTCTGGGACGATCGCCTCGTGAGGGAATTTGGGGGTAGAAGAGTGACGGCGTACCTGGAAACTCTGGACAAGTGCACAAGTGACGGTGATGCATGTAATAGGGAGAGAATCCAGCTAATGTGCCTCAAGATGGAGAGGCACCTGGTGGCCGACCTTGTCAAAAAGTGGAAGGGGAATATGCTCTTCTTGATTGACGATGTGGGCAAACTTGAAGCAGATCATGATTATACACGTGTATTATAGGAGACCAGCGCGAAGCAAGCTACAGGGGATGAGGCATACCCTCGAACGCACAGATAAGAAGACGCACATGGCGGCCGCCAAAATTGCTTCCCTACTACATTCATTTGTTTCAATATACAAACACCTCTTAATAGGAGTCTCCTGAAATACAAGGTGGAGGAGAGTGCGACCTCCGAGTCAGCGGCCCCAGCGGTAATGTCTCCTGTTGACCTAGGGGATGAGTGGTTATCGAGTATATGGAAGAATAACTGTTGGACACTAGTCGATGGACTACACAGTTAGTCCCAAATCGGCAAGTCACTGTGAGGAAAATCCTGACTAGACAGACCACCAACTATGTGACGTTGAGTTTCTCTCTGAAAGAATTTTTCTTTTCCTTCTTCTTTATCGGTTTAGCCGCTTAGTATTTTCTCATTTCTTATTTATAAAAATTTGCGTATAACGCCTCAGTTAACTTTAATAACCTCTCAAAAAGTGACTGAGGAGAAGGAGGGATGGTTGTCTATCTAGGCCATTGCACGCATGCGTTTCGGCCTTGTCTATGGTGGCGCAAGGGGACTCCGGACCCCGAATGTCAACGTCTCTTGTGACCATTGGCAGGTTTGAGCACCTTGAAAATGAAAGGCTCGTTACACTGCAGGTCGCAGTGTATGGAGTGGGGCTGTCTGCTGATCCGCTGAGTAGACATGCGGAGGCCCGTCGCAAGGATATATGCTGCGAAGAACTCCAACATGTAGACAGCTCCAAAGCACGCGTGATCTCGTCAATCAAGTATCTGTTTCGTTTGAATGTGCCAATCAAGTTCTGGGTATGAGTTCCAGGCATATATCGCGGTTAAAGGAGAATGCTAGCACTTGCTGTTTTCCCCAGCAGACATTCAAAATACCATGGTATCATTGGTTCGGTTTTAAAACCAAGTACTGTTTCTAGGACTGAGGTCCATTGAGCAAAGGTTGCTTCCCGCAATACGTCGCCACCACCTAACCTGCCCGCGCTCTTTTCATTAGAGCATATTTTGCCTTTGTCATCACCACTCTAACAGGCATCGTCATCAAAACGCCGAAGCTAGCACCTGTTGTATGAAATCAAAAGATAGATGCAATGTATATTACCTGAAGATCCAGCTTGCAGGTTGCCACAATGTATAAATGGACTAGTAGGATTTTGTCAGGGTGCTGTTGTCTGCACCAGTTACGCTAGCGATGAAATCAAGGTGGCTGGAAATGCGAGTAAACAGCGAGTATCCATCAGGCGTGCCGCAGTTTGAGTTGACCCTACGGCCGCCCTGGCTAACAAGTCCAGCCAGGTAGTATCCGCCCGGCCCCTTGATGACCACCGCCGATCCGCTGTCGCCCTTGCACGTCGAGTTTCCGGGCGAGAACTTGTTGAGCGCGCAAACCTTATTGCCATTCGATGACTGGTACTGCGGATCGAATTTCTGGCAGCTCTTTTTGTCGCCGACATGGACAAGCGCCGCCTTGAGTTCGTCTGACAGCGAATCTGGGTCATTATCGGTCTTGGTTGTGCCCCAGCCCATGGCAACAAGCATCTGCCCTTCGTCAATTGAGCCGGTGAAAATGGAGATGGCGCGGGCGGACTTGCCATCCAGGCTGATGTCAGGTACCTGGATGATGGCGAGGTCGTTGGCATTTACTTTCTGCTGCTTGAACCCGGGATGCATAAACACCTTTGTGCCTTGCACGGTCTTCTGGTTTTTAATGAGCGAATCACCATAGCCGATTGTGAACTGCGAAGGCTTCAACACGCCGGTTCCAGCATCGTCGACGACGCAGTGGGCGGCAGTCAGGATGTGATTCTTGGTGAGAATGCTGCCGCCACAGCTGAGAATCTCGTTGTTGCCCATGTCAATAGCGATCTTGACCGCATAGGGGGCGCCGTGTGAGCCAAGGAGGTAGCCGCCAATGATGCGCTTGTTGAGATCATTGATAGGTGCTGCAGATGCAGATAGCGCTGCAGTTAAAGTGAGGCAGAGGAATGAGGATAGGAGGTTCATACTTTAGTGGGAGATGCAAGTGGAATGGGTAAGGAAATGCAAGAATTGGAACGTATGCTGATGAGAGCGCGTTTCCGAGAGATTCGGGCTACATTTATGCTATCAAGACCCAGCTGTATGTTGATAATGGCCGTGTTTTCGCTACGACGATGGTGCCAAGGATACCTGGCAGCCTATCTTTAGATATCCTTACAAAGACTACTCTTTTTAGCAAATCACTGCATAGCTTTGCGCAGATGCGCGCATGCAGATTTTATTAATAGTGGGCAAAAGTGCATTGTGGAATCCCCATGTCGATCCCCTGTATTTTTAGAAGATAGCTTCAGGGGATGGCAGCACATTCATACCTCAGGAAATCTGAGCTATAGTTATAGATGAAATTCTTCATACCATTCATAAGAAAGAAAAAGAAGGATGTTTAGGGATACTGCATCATCACAGGGGTGTTCAGACAGTGGGAGCAGCGGCCGGGGCACTTGAAATCGGAGCAGGAGCGACTGCTGCACCGCACTTCATGTTGGCACGGACCCAACCAGCCAGGCTGGAGACATACGCCTGGTTGTTCGAGTACCACGACGCATCCCACAGCATGATGCCACCAAACGTCGAAGTGTAGTTAGTGTACAACTGCTTTAGGTTCGCTTGCAGCGTGTTCAGATCCAAGTAGCCATTACCAGCAGCGCCTGATCCAGCAGGCAGACCAACATACATCTTGGAGTTCGGGTTCGAGTTGGCCTTGGTCAGAGTGTCCCAGCTCTTGTAGTCAAAGTTCCACTGGTTGTTGATGTTGGCCAGGTTGCATGGGTTGTTGTAGAACTGGACGTAGTCGTTATCGATCCAGGCACCGCTCAAGGTGGTGCCAAGGTTAGCATCAGGGAAGACGCACTGCGGAGCAGCAGAGATGATGTACTTCTTCGATGCACCGTTGAAGTAGGTGCGCAGCTGGTTGACAAAGGCAACATAGCCATCATGGGCACCAGACTCAATGTCGAGGTCAACACCATCCAGGACAGCGTCATCGTAAGGACGGTACTGGTGCGATCCGCCGAGGAACATGTTCCAGACAGTATCGGCGAACTGCTTTCCCTCAGCAGCAGTGCTGAGAGAGTAGGAGTAGATACCACCGCCGCCCAGCGACAGCACGATCTTCTTGCCCTTAGCCTGGCAAGTCTTGATATCGGCACCAATGTCTGGACAGGTCAAGGTGTTTGTGCCGTTAAACTTAGTTTCGCAGTGGAATGCATGGTTCAGGACGGGAAGACCAGTCAGGTTGTAGTTGGTCACAAACGACAGGTTGATGATGTCGAAAGTGTCATCTTGACAGTAGCTAGCAAGGTCCTTCTCCCAGTTGGCAGGATCATCAAGGTGACCCCCACCCCAGCTGTTCTGTCCCCAGTAGGTGACGATGTTGTTGGAGCAGGTAGGGTTGTAGGCGGCGGACGCAACAGCTGCCAGACCAGTGGCAGCAAGGATGAAGTGAGAAGAAACCATGTCGGATTAAGAGCGAATCGTAGAAAGGAGGATATTAGTAGGCTTGCTGGTGGATGCAGTATCTGGTGGAGTGGTATCAGGAGCCTTCTTTTATACTTGCCTGTAAATGAAATAACGTATCTATGATACCGACCTTATCAGCCGGATGCAAGCAATTTTGCGAATGTTTATTAGCAACAGCTATGAATGTCGGAAAAAGCAATTGCGCAATCATACATGAGCGGACATTAGTGGCATACTTCATGTGGATTTGCTTTCTACAGAACAGACATTTTGTCATAGACAAATAAATGTCGCCAAATAATTTATACGGTGAGGAATATAAGGCATATTTCTATTGGGTTTGGTGAGGCAATGGCGGGTCTAGAAAAAGTAGATGCATTAGCTGCATGCTGGCCAAGCACCGTGGCAGGGAGGGAAATTCCACGTCTCCCTTAAATGGGCCTTTTGTCGGAATAGAAAAGTGTGCTACATGTCTGCCATGTGACTATCTCTCATTCTATGGAAAGCCATCTCATGAAAGACCGCGGGACTGACACATGGACCTGTTCATGCAATAAGGCAATAAGCATCATGCAAGTGCTGCTGCATTAAGCTTCTCTCTCGCCAGTGAGCTCAGTCAACAAGCATGCATATCTCGGTGTATCGGCCTGCATTTACTACCACCTGCTGCACGCATAGTTCCGAGCTCGCACAGCCGTTTCATTTAGCGCCAAGCCAATATCATCTGCTGCGCAAATTGCAATATATGCCAATCACCATTAGGTTGTTTTAAGGGGAGGGATAAACAGGTTTCTGGCAGGCCTAATCATTCTACATGCAACTGGTTTAAAGAAGTGCGGACTTCCAAGGGGGTTTCGCTCATTAGTCCTCTCTTTTACTGCAAGCTCAGAGCATACGTCCAAAAAGAAAGGAAATTTAAGCCGATGGCCAGTTGCAGTAGATGGATGAACCCGACTGGAAGCAGGCGGTTCCAGAGCCGCACGCCTGCTGGAGCCAGGCGCCGTTGTTGCAGATAAAGTACGCTGAGTTCTTTCCAGTGCTGTCAGCACACTGGAACGTGTTCTGAGACGAGCAAGGGCCGCCAGCAACAGGGCCGGTTCCCGAAGCCGAGGTTGTCGAGGTCGGGGCAGCCGACGAACTGGTAGGAGTGGCGGTGGTGGTGGTGATCGGCGCACTCGAGGTCGGGATAGTTGAGGTGGTCGAGGTCGGGCCCACCGAGGTCTTGGTGGTGCTGGTGGGGATAGCCGAGGTCGTGGAGGTAGGGCCAACTGAGGTGGTGGTGCTGGTCGGAGGAGTAGAGCCGCACTTCATGTTGGCACGGACCCAGCTAACAAGGCTGGAGACATACGCCTGGTTGTTCGAGTACCACGACGCGTCCCACAGCATGATGCCACCAAACGTCGAAGTGTAGTTGGTGTACAGCTGCTTCAGATCAGCCTGCAGCGTGTTCAGATCCAAGTAGCCATTACCAGCAGCGCCTGATCCAGCAGGCAGACCAACGTACATCTTGGAGTTCGGGTTCGGGTTGGCCTTGGTCAGAGTGTCCCAGCTCTTGTAGTCAAAGTTCCACTGGTTGTTGATGTTGGCCAGGTTGCATGGGTTGTTGTAGAATTGGACGTAGTCGTTATCGATCCAGGCACCGCTCAAGGTGGTGCCAAGGTTAGCATCAGGGAAGACGCACTGCGGAGCAGCAGAGATGATGTACTTCTTCGATGCACCGTTGAAGTAGGTGCGCAGCTGGTTGACGAAGGCAACATAGCCATCATGGGCACCAGACTCAATGTCGAGGTCAACACCATCCAGGACAGCGTCATCGTAAGGACGGTACTGGTGCGATCCGCCGAGGAACATGTTCCAGACAGTATCGGCGAACTGCTTTCCCTCAGCAGCAGTGCTGAGAGAGTAGGAGTAGATACCACCGCCGCCCAGCGACAGCACGATCTTCTTGCCCTTGGCCTGGCAAGTCTTGATATCGGCACCAATGGCAGGGCAGTGCATGGTCTTGGTGTTCGGGAAGGGGGTCTCGCAGTGGTTGGCGTGGTTCAGAATAGGCAGACCAGTCAGGTTGTAGTTGGTCACAAACGACAGGTTGATGATGTCGAAAGTGTCATCCTGGCAATAAGCGGCAAGGTCCTTCTCCCAGTTGGCGGGATCGTTGAGGTGACCTCCACCCCAGCTGTTCTGTCCCCAGTAGGTGACGATGTTGTTGGAGCAGGTAGGGTTGTATGCGGCGGACGCAACAGCTGCCAGACCAGCGGCAGCAAGGAGGTAGCGAGCAAAAGTCATAGTTCAGGGGAAGGGAATATTAATGGTATGATCGGGTGGGAGGGGTTAGGGAGGGAGAGGTAAAGCGACAAGCGCAGGGTGCTCGTAAAGGGAGGGGAGAGATAGTGAGCGAAGATAACAACTAGGATAGTTTACTGTGGAGTTGGTTTGTAGAGTCTAACCATTGAGGGTGTCAAGACGGTTTTTATAGCCTGAAAGGACGGCAACTTTATGCATGGAGATGGAGGCAATACAAAGGAACTGAATGTGGTCCATTTCTCGGTCAATTCGCAGCACAGCGGAGCGTGATTTTGTCGAAATCGAGGTGGTAAGGTAATGCCGGAGCTGTTTCATTGCTGGTTCTATTCGGACCTTTTCTGAAATACAAGATAGAAGCTTGTCTTGCATGCTGCTTCCAGTGCGGATTTCAAAACGGTGGAACAAGAGTCTGCCAATTAGCGATGTTAGAAGCGCTTACTTTCTCGGACTTCGAGTTATTTTGTGGATCAAAGGTGGCCCCGGTCTCTGCCTGCATTCCTGCCTCGCTTTTGGTTTTTAATTTTTTTTTTGCCAGCGCGCTGGTCATTCAGGTCCGGAAGTTGGCTGCACTTGTTCATATGACACATGCAACGTATATTAGCGGCACTGCACACATGCAAATCAAAGCAGTTTTCTTTCCTTTTGCGGGACCGTCGGGACCACATGGCTGTCGCAATAGTTCAGACCGGTTTTCGGCCAGTACTGCAGCGGAGCTAAGAAAATCTAGCGCGCAGCTGAAGCTTGTTTACATGAAAGCAATTCTGGTTTGGAGCCTGCTGGCAGCGGGGCACTCTTGCATGTCCACATGTTAACGAGTAGAAAAAAAAAAATAACGAGTGGGCTGTGTGCTGACAGCGAATTGATACAAAAATATTTTTATTTAAAAATTGAAGGCTAGGCCCTAAAGGCAACAGGGCGGTGCCAGCCGAGCAAATAGTTTCCACCACAAGGCGCTTCAAGAATCGGAGCTTTAGAGAGTGCAGCTGTCGTTGCTGCAGTAGCGCTCAGCCTCGGGCTCGTTCTGGTCCGTGTCCTCAACCATATGCAGGCCGACATTCTTGATGCGCTTGATCATCTCTCTGTATTTCTCCTCGTCGATGGCCTCGTAGGGCATCTGTGGGAAGGCACCGTAGTCGAGGCGCGGCAGGAAGCTAATGCCCTTGAGCTGGTACTGGTAGTAATCCAGGGCATATTTGAGTATCGGCCCCTCGCGCTCTGGGTCAAAGGTGATGGTGGACGACACCTGGTTGTCCGACCAGTGCTTCTGAAGGAAGGCAGCCAAGGCTAGCTGCTCCCACATCGACACGGCTTCGAGGCCGCGGATGCCTTCCCCGTGGTCGATCGGGATTTCGACAACCATCGACGACTGGTCAACCACATCGTCCTCCATGTAGTAGCCGGCAGCCTCGAGCGCTGGCAGAAGGTCGGACAGCTTGGAGATGCGCACGCGGCGGATGCAGAAGCGCGACTCGGGGTAGTGCATGCCGGGCGTAGCGCCGGCCAAAAGAGACACGGTGCCCGAGGGCTTGACCGACGTGGTCTTGACCGAGGTCGGCACGCAAAACAGCTCCGACACCTGCGTGTCGATCTGCTGGATGCGCTGGTATGCGGCGTCCAGCCAGACGCGCAGCTGGTCGATCCCGCGACGGGTGACAAACTGCGCCACGCCCGAAATGCTGGTACCGACGCGGCGGTTGCGCAGCATCACGCGGTTGGTCTCGCGCCAGTGCGTCGGCGCCAGGGTCACGGTCTTGGCGTACAGAAAGGCGCTCTCTAGGGTGTCAAGGTACTCGGCCAGCGTTGCATGGTTGTCCGGGAACGTCTCGACTAAGCAGCACAGCTCGTACGATTCGAGACACTGCTCGTTGCACGGGTTGGCGCCCTCGATACGCGAGTCCCTGTCGGTTTCCTCGCCCATGCGCGCATACCTGCGCGCGTTCTCCATCCACTGGAACCCAGGCTCGCCGTTCAGCTGCACGCGCTTGCAGATGTCCGAGTAGTCCATACCCATAGTCGCAAACACCGAGTTGTTGCTAGTCCAGCCGTAGGCCGCACGGTGCGGGTTGACTTCGTAGTTCTTCAGATCAATGTACTCGGCGTCGGCCGGGTCGCCAAAGGCAATCTCGGCGGTGCGCCGCACGTTGCCCGACACCACGCACTTGCCAATCAGGTTCATCAGATCGACGATTGAGCTGACCGACAGCGGGTTGCCCGAGTTGCGGCCCAGCGTCTGGCGGATCGCATCGTGCAGCTCGTGCAGAGGCTCGGGGCCGCTGGTCACGCCGCCGAAGCCCTTGATTGGCAGGCCGGCGGGGCGGATTTGGCTGTAGTCGAAGTCAAACTGATCGGTTGACTTTGGATCCAGGTAGCTGTCGATCAGCAGGCCGACGGACTCGACCCAGCCCTCGCGCGAGTCGGGGATGACAAATGTCGACTGCGGACGGGTCGAGGGGGCTCCCACCAAGATGTTCTGCTCCCGGGCCGCCACCGAGCCCTTGGTGTCAAAGCCAACACCTACACCAAGCATGGCCGCGTCCATCAGGAATGCGAAGGGCCGCGCAGCCGTGTGTTCGCCCTCCCACATGCGGCCCGTGCTGACAAATGCGCAGTTGTTGAGGGCCGCGTACAGCTGGCGCTCTTCGGTCAATGGACTGCCCATGGCCCACAGGCCGCGGCCAGGCGGCAGGAACTTCATGTAGAAGATCTTGTCGTACATGGTCTGCGCCTGCCTTTGCGCCTTGGCTGCGTCAAAGGGCAGGTTGTTCTGGGCCAGCCACTTTTGCTGCAGATGGAATGTCCCGTTGACCACGCGCTCGATGGTCTCAAACCACTTCTCGCGCGTGCTGTCGGCCTTCAGCCGCGAGTATGTGCGCCGGTAGACGATCTCGCCCAGCCCGTTGAACCCAAAGGGCGGCGCCACGCTGCGGTATGATGCAACAAAGTCCTTGTCCAGCGCAAACTTGGGCGAGTGCTCGCTGGCTGCCGTGCCCAGGAAATTTGGGCTGGCTGAGCTCATATGCAGCCGCTTCTTGTTTCGTCTCGTAGACTTGTTTGGATGCTGATGCTGGCGAGGCTGCTGATATGACCGGGGGTGTCATTTTGTTTGTTACAGTTGTGGAGGTGTGCAAAGTGTAGAACGGAATATGCCAGGGTCGGGAAGTAGTGAGAAACCGCTGATACAGAGGGCCGACCAGCATGCCTTTTATACGACTCATCGCGCTTTGTCGTGATAGAGAAAAAAAAAAAAAACTTCCGACGGGTACCCAACTTTTTCGCTACGCGCGCTCTTCACGTTCTATGCTAGGCGTCTGTTTGGCGTCCTATACCAGACAAAGAAAGAGGGCCGGGGTTAGCAGGCTCAACCCACACTCTCGCGCGCGCACGCGTTCCCTTTTGCTCAACGAAAATCGCGTATGTGAGAGGCCTGCCCGCGCAACAGAGGCAGAAAAGTAAACGGGGTGTGCGGACAGTGGTGAGAAAATGGGCTGGTGTGTAATGAAAGCGGAGCCAAGGGAGGCCAGCCCCTCAACGAATAGCGTCAGGCTCATGGCCACGAAGCAACGCGAACTGTGCGCGCTTGTCGAGAATGTGCGGGGGAGGCGGCTGCGCTGAGTGGCTGAGGCCCGATGTGGTGTGATGTCACAAGAAATTCGCAGCCATTTGTTTTCTTTTGCGCCGCTTCGTAATGCAGAGTAAAGCATCAGGAAGCGCTTTCTCTCGTCCGGCACCGCCCAGGGGCTTGGAGAAGGACGATCCTTGAAGTGTGGCTGAGTTCAGCAGATGTTATTAGCGCAAAAGAAAAGAAAAGGTATATAACGTACTTGTGTTTGAGCCGCAGAAAGGGGCAGGTTCTATTAGCAGTCTTTAATCTCAATGTCAGAGACTGCATCGGCGGACTTTTTCCGGCCTGCATCGCGGTGCTGGTTGACGGTGGCATGCGATTCGGCGCTGGGCGACTCCTCGCGGTCGCTGGACGACGAGTACTCGTCGGTGAACGAAGTGCCGGCGCTGGGGAGGTCGTCCTCGGGCAGGCTCTTCTTCTCGGGCTCGCCAGCGGCAGCCGCGGCCGCCGGGGCAGAGGCAGGGGCAGGGGCAGGCTGCGGGGGCGGCGGAATGTTGGCCATCAGCAGCTTGCCAGCGCGCACCAGGCGGGCCTTGCGGGCAATCAGGAAGGTGGAGAGGATCCACCAAAAGACCGCCCACAGGACGTTGATGGTGATCGAGAACTTGATCTTGTTGTAGGACCCGCGGGTCAGCAGCGTGCGGATGGTGAAGCCGCTGTTGAGGAACGGCGTGGCGTAGAGAATACGGAAGAAGTGGCTGTTGAGCTCGGTACCGAAGATGGCCGCAGAGATGTTGACGAACAGCGTGGTGAAGTAGGTGGCCAGCAGGAACCGCGGGTGCATCCAGTTCTGCAGGCAGTCGATGAAGAAGGTGAAGGCGAATGTGTTGAGCAGCAGGATGCCGAAGATGCCGAAGAAATCGCCGGCCGTCGGCGACCACGACGGCCCGCGGAAGGCGAACACAATGCCAGTCTCCTGCAGGCAGATAATAAAGGCCCAGGCGACGTTGATGAAGCCGCGCAGCATGATCACCTGGCTGACCTTGACCTGCTTGAAGAACGGCTCCTCGATGGTCTTCCACATGTTTGACGGAATGAACGACCCAATCACCATGCCCAGCGACAGCGTCACCGACAAGATGTACATCGACAGGTCAAAGTGATATGGCGCGATATTGTCCGTCGTGAAGCCGTACGGCTGCACCAGTGCCACCGGATTCGCCCGGTCTATCACGTCGCCCACCGACGAGCCGTCGGCCGACGCTACCTTGCTGAACACCAGCTGCGTGAACGGCGCCGCAATCCCCGCCAGCACCGCCTCGACCGTCTTGGTTACCGTCTGCACCTTGAAATAGTGCCGCGACTCCTCCGACACCAGCGTCACTGCCTTCAACGGATCGTATGCTGCGCCCGTATACAATGCGCTGGTCAGCTGCTCGCCGAACCCCTGGTTGATCGTGATCGCCGCCCAGGCATCGCCCTCCCACACCGCGTGCCGCACGGACTGGTCCGTCGGGAACTGCTTGGCGCTGACCGGAACGATCGTCGGCATGTTCTTCTGGTCGAACGCCTTCAGCATCACCTGCTGCAGCATCCCCGACACCTCCGTGTTGTCAAAGTCCCGCAAATACACCTTGGCCTCGTGCATGTGCCGCGACGTGTCGTAGCCTGCGCCAAACAGGAAGCTGATCGATACCCAGAACACGATTGTGAAAACAATGAACATCTGCCACAGACCCTTGGCGAACGCCAGCCGCATGGCGCGCAGCTCGGGCGCAAACAGCGGCAGCAGCTTGGCTTGCCGCTCTTTGTGTCCTTGGAACATAATGTGAAAAGAAAAGATGTATATAAAAAAAAAGAACGAAGGGAAAATAATGTGGAGAAGGGCAGAAGAAGAAACTGCACAAAGCTGGGAGCGGGTTCCTTTAACAGAGTGAGATCGAGGCCCGTTTAAAAAATTTTCCGAGGTGCAACGAGGAACAGCAGTGAGGTGTAGAGTCGAAGCCCGAAATTTACAAATGTTGCTCGGAAGTTGGGGCCAGTGGTACAAGATAAAAAACAATTCCAGCCAATTAGTACATATAAACAAACCGCTTGAGCGAAGCGAAAAAGAAAAAACAGACTGGCTACGTCGCGGGACAAAGAGTGTGAAAGAAATATTGTAGAACGAGGTCGTTGTCAAAAACAACAACAGCCGCCCGCCATGCCTCTTAAATGCTCGTGAGCATGTTCTTCGATGTCGCTGATTTAGTCCCGCCAAGAGGAGCTTTGCTGCTTCGGTTTCCATATACCGATGCAAGCGCGGAAATCACATCCCGCGCAGGGCAGACGTGGGGGTGCCAGCCGCGGACTTGCGCATAGACTCGGTCTAAATGGGGCCATTATTTTATCTCACGGCGGGCGGCCCCACGCTCGGGGCAAAAAGGCGCCGGAATGGGGGCGATCACACGCCTCACTTCAGCTGCAGAGCAGCCTTCCCAAAGACCGAGGAGGCAGCCGCTCGGCATTTGCTAGTGAAGGGGCGATCTTGGCGCAGGATATTTCTGCTGACACACCCCTTCTCCCACGCGCAGCATCAGGCATAAAGCTGGGGCTCTGGAGCCACCGTGTTTGTTGTGCATGTCCTTTTCCTGCCACAGATTGGCTGGGCCCCACCACAAACACATGGTGTCGCCGCAGGTAGGTGCGCGCGTTTTGTTTGCTTGCTTGATACATAGCAAACAAAATGCAATGGCATATATCCATATGTATCCAATGCCCAGCTGGAGAGTTTGCTTTTCGGAAGAATTTACGTCGGCTGCTATAAAAACGTAAGCTGCGCAACGACGAAGATGCCTGTAATGCCATTCCATTAACTCTAGCTTCATCTCACGAAGAAAAGAAGAGCCTGCGCAGTATCCACAAATGAAGACCTTCGCAGCCATACTTGCCCTTCTAGCGTCGCAGCAGCTGGGCGCAGCAGCTATGGATGTCAAGACCGGCTCCAGCGGGCTGGCCGTGTACTGGGGCCAGAACTCGTTGTCGCTGCAGACGGGCACCAACGAAATGGATCTGGACAAGTATTGCACGCAGAACAGCCCACCGGACATCATCCTGCTCTCCTTTCACCACGTCTACACCAGCAATCCGACAATAAATCTCGCCTACCACTGCGAGGAGCCGTTCTCGGGCTCCTCAATGCTCAACTGCACGTTCATGGCGTCACAGATCAAGACATGCCAGGATGCCGGCGTCAAGATCCTGATTTCGATGGGCGGGGCAGCGGGCTCGTACAGCCTGAGCAGCAACTCCGTCGGAGAGGACTATGCACAGACTGTCTACAACACATTCCTAGGCGGCACCACCAAGTTCCGGCCGTTCGGCGAGGCTGTGCTGGATGGCGTCGACCTGGACATCGAGGGGGGCGGGCCGTCGGGCTACGCTGCGTTCACAAACAAAATCCACGAGCTGGCGCCCAGCACCCTGATTACCGGTGCCCCGCAGTGTCCGTACCCGGACGCCCATCTGGCCGATGCCCTGGAGAGCGGCTGGTTCGACATCGTCTTTGTGCAGTTCTACAATAACTACTGCATGGCGGGCTCCAGCAACTTCAACTTCGACACGTGGGCGGACTGGGCTACATCCAAGTCCAAGAACTCTGCAGTCAAGGTCTATATTGGGTCGCCAGCATGCGAAAAATGTGCGTCCACTGGGTACATTGGCGTGGACAAGCTCGGCCAGGTGTACCAGGACACGCTGTCAAAGTACAGCAATGTGCTGGGTGGCATTATGCTGTGGGATGCTGGAGCCGCATACTATGCGACTGGCGGCGATACCTTTGCCGATACACTGAAGAAGAAATACCTGGGATCCCCGTCAGGTGGTGGCGGCTCAGGCCCATCAAGCAGTGCAGCAGAGTCGTCGTCAGCAGCAAGCTCTGCTTCTCCATCCTCCTCAGACACCATCCCTAATGCTGGCTCAGACACGGCTGCGGACAGTGGTGACGAAGGCGTCGTCACAGTCACTGCCTATGTCACAGTCACAGTTTCTATTCCACCTTCAGAAACCAATAGTGCCATCAACGCCCGCGACGGCGACCAGGACAGCGGATCGTTTGCCGGTCTGCCAATTCCGGGCATGGCCAAGCGCGGCCCCGAGCCGATAGTACACAGACGCATCCCCCGGCCTACCAGGACACACACCCGGATCCTCCCCGTCGCTAGGTTTCTGCCGACTCTTTTTCTTTTACAAAATACATCCACTTTCCTTGGCCAACTAGTCGTCGTCCAGGGCAGGCTCGCGCACCATCTTGGAGTACATTGTCCGGTTAGCCATTTCGAGAATCGCCACAGCATCTGGATTCGCATCCATCGCCGAGCGCTGCCGACCTTTATCCTCGCGCTTGCTCCTTCTAACCACCCACGCCTCAACATGCTCGATCTCAAACTCGCTCCTTTCCGCTAGCTGCGGTGCCGCATACGTCGCTGATGTGCAAGACTGGCCGGACATGAAGTCCACGTCAACCCACAGGCCAAAGTTCCCCATCTGGCCGCCCACACCCAGCCCATTCGGCAGCGTCTTTGTGCCGTAGTTGAAGTACTGGTAGTGGTCGTTGAAGCCTGTCGCGCGGAAAACCCCTAGTCCTGCGGGACCTGCGGAAAACACGAAATTGAGCGATGAACCGTACCACGACGGCCGCCGCTCCAGGTCTGCATCCAAGTAGGCACCAAGAACTCCTCCATCCTTTTCCTTGACCAGCAATAGCAGCGCCCCGCGCTGCTCCACAGCTGCCTGGAATGAGCTCCAGCTCCGCCCATCGTGCAGGCTGGAGTACGCCCGCTCCCAGCTATTCTGCGAGACAGCCGGCAGCTCGCGGAACAGCGCCCATGCCAGTGGCCCTTGCAGCAGCCCATCAAACTTCGCTGAGAGCTGCGGCATTGTGGTCTCGCGCACACTGCGTAGCTGGGTAGCGGGCAAAAGGGCAGCAAGCGCTAAGGAGAGCAGCTCGTGCACGACCGTGTTTTTGGACCACCACTTTTGCCACTGCTCCAGAGACACGGTGCCAAACGTAGATGCATTGGAAAGCCACTCAGCCCGCTGCCTTTGTGCTTCTGCTTCACTGTCGTCGTCAAAGGACAGCGCATTGGTGTCGGTCTGTCCGATCACCCAGTCGGTGAACGCAGAGTCGGCCGCAACCTCCGTGTGCCAGAAATGGCTGAGACCCTGGTCACTTACCGCCGCAATAAACTTCCGCAGTGTGTATGGCTCGGTTTTGAGATCCGCCAAGTCGTAGATAGCCGCTGACTGGTTCGATAATACGAGGGCGAGGCGATCCGCTGATGGCGCCAGAAACCGCTTCAGGTAAGCGCAAAAGGGCGTTGTACCCTTTTCGTCGGCCACGAAAGCCACTGCAGCGGATTGCAAACTGGCTGGCAAGCGCCCAGACGTATCAAGCGGTTTTGTTTGCGTATTGCCCATTGGTATAAAAGAGATACAGCGGTGAAAAGTGTCATCCACATCATGACGTTTCAAAGATACTCCAGATAAACCTGGCATTGATTTTCGGTATGTTGTGGGGGTCGATTGCTTAATGTGCGGTATTGAAAACTGCTCGCAGTGGTTCAGGAACGTTGCTGAGGTCACTGTGCGCTGGGACAATATTGTGAAAGCCATTTAACTACTTACCATGGTGATGAGCGCACAGGCACCACCCAAAACCATTATATACGACATGCTACTTGGCGTACTGTACATGTGCACCCCATATAGGTTTACACTATTCACCTTGGGGATTCATAGTAGATAGTCTTCTCCATGTCGGAGCATACCTGCAAAACATCAGGCTGCTTTTATTTGCAATTTAGCGCATCTATTGCTGTGCCTTAGTACGTGGCTATGAGTAGATCTGAGGACATGAGTTTCTCGCATTTTCCAGCGAAAAAGATATTTACGCTACCTACACATCCTCTTCTCTCAAAATAATAATGCTATCGCTAATTGCCCATTCTTGCTTGACCGCTACTGTGCGATTTCGCCTATACCCAACAACCAAGGAGCACTACACCGGTGTCAAAGGCCGGATCGACTGGCCAGCAGTATCTAAGCAGACCGGGCTGCAGCTGACCGAGCGCCTGAGGCAGCTTGATGGTGCACTGTCCGGTACAAAACAGCAACTATTCCCGGCACAGGATGACTAGACCAAAAATGAGGCAGAGATGCTCCACGGATTCGGTCACAAGCATTTCATAAACCCAACTACAGACGGCCGGGACCTTGTTGGCGACTATATGAAAGTCAGCACAGTGGATTGAATGAGCCGCTGCCAAACAACCTGCAAATGCAGCACGACCGGTGAGAGAATCAGCATGATCATCAGCTACCACGAGGCTTGTTTTGTCAAGTATACGCTAGAACAACATGGGAGTTCAATATATGGACAGGTGCCTTTAAAATATACGATACTGTTATAGAAGATACTATGCCAAAAGTTTTGGTCAAAAGAGACGAAGACACCAGCCACCTGCAGGGCAATTGAGCTGACTGGGAACACAAGACAATGTATTCCGAGAAAAACGAGGTTGCAAGAAACAGGAACCTACAGAATTCTAATCTCGATGTCACGGCCTGCGATCAACTTGGAAACAGCCCTCTGATAACAGTCCCATACGCTAATGGTCAGAAGAGACGGTGTGCGTAAAACCAGCTGCTGGATAAACTCGAAAACATCTGGGTCACTATGACCATAGTAATGGTTGTACTCGAATGCCTCAAGACTCCGGCTAATCACGTTCGTTGAGGTAGGTTCATAGCTGCCTATCTCGCGTCTGAGTCCCGGGATATCCTCAGTTTCAACCCAGCATGGATTTGTGGAAACTGATAGCCTCCGTAGATGTGGGAGCTTGCTGATGAGTCCCTCCACCAGGTTCCAGTCGACCTCAGAAAGATCAAATCTTAGGTTCTGGAGGTATGGCCAATTCAGACATGTGGCGGCGAGCTGTGGGGCGCGAATATCTGCGGATCTGGCTTCTGAATATGCCTCGAATAGCTGTCCGACTGTGGTCCTCGGGTTGACGGTGTGCGTAGTATTACCCCTGTTCCATAGAGTGAAAGATAGATGTTCGACGTTGCTCAGCAGCAGCGGGTTGATGGACGGCAAATACTTGCAATGCTCAGTAATAGCCAGAGTCCTCAAAGGGATATTGGTGAATTGGTCCAGGAGGCTAAAATGTGCATTCGATCCTTGATCAGCCTCCAGCGTGCGGAGCTTTGGGAGAAGCAGCTTTTGATGCCCGAGAGAAGTCAGAAGGTAAGGAGAGGTAGGAAAAAATGTGTCATGGAGAATATCTCCGGATAGCTTCAGTGTGATCAGCTCCTTGAACTCGATTGTATCGGCATCACTGTCAGCAAACTGCGCCCATTTATACGATGGTTTGGAGCTGGGATGGATCGCAAGCTCCTTTAGTGTAGGTGCAAGAAATTTCATCAACCAGCCATTGCAGAAGGTATACATGTCGAATAGAACCAGGCTAGTCAAATGTGGGAAGTATGTGGCTGACAAGTAGAAGGCATTCGAGCTATCAAGATAGAGCCTTTTGTCCGTAAACTTGTTGTCAAGCGCATATATCGTTTCCTCCACGGTAGTCTCCAATTCTGGATAAGATGGATATATCGACGTGACCTGGTCGCAATGGATGTTACCAAGCGATGGTGCCAGTCTCGACAGATAGGCATGGACCGAATCGATATGCTCTGGAAATGGAACTTTTGATAAGAATTCGTACTCCCCACTCATTACAATATCTCGAAGATCCGGCCAAGTCGTTGCTCCAAACCCACACCCTTCTAAAAGTACGTCGAGCGATAGAGGAGATCCACGCGAAGGGTTGTGTATCGTTAGTCGTTTGGTAAACTGGGTTCCACCCATGCGAATAACCGATTTTATGTTTGACCACCAAAACCTCTGCGACCGGTTTGATTGCACTTTGTCGAACGAAGCGTCGTAATCATCATTAAGCGGATCAAAGAGAAGTTCACTAGTGATATATATGATGCGACAAGCATATGGCTTCAGGGACTCCATCCACTGTCGACAGATGAGAGCGTATTCGTTAATGCATCGGATATGAAAGTGGTATGCAGTGATATCTTGGAAGACAAACGTGGATGGCAAAAAACTGGTAGAATCAATTACATCATCGTACACCAGATATTTGAAGATTCGCTGAAGTATAATGCCTCCGGCTAGGTCTCCAAGTTTAAGCGTTTGGTCCTCCATGTCAATGGAAAATAATAAGGTGAGGAAGGAGGGAAAGAAAGAAAATATACAGCGCCAGCGGCGTCATTTTCGGTGCCTTTTATGCTGTCTATTCCCGACAAATGAAAATAACCTGGCTCACCTGTCATCTTTAGACACACCGGGAGAGTTTTGTGCTTTCCACTATACCTTTGGTTTCTTTCAAGGAAAGTAGGCTATGATTTAGTAGATTACACAGCCGCAGTCAAATCAACATGTTGGCTGTTGATTTCCAGCGATCCGAGAACTGCATTAGGCTCCCAAGATTGCCACCATTTGAAGCATTGTTGTTGAGCGCCAGGTGAATGCTTTTGTAGTTCCAAGGACTGCGTCTTAGCGCGGACTATGTGTATGGCAGAACTCCTTTCTGCTAGCAGTTTGTCCAAATGACCAGTCCCACCGCTGGCTATTAAAGCGTAGAGTAATCAAAAAGTGCAGTACTAGTGTTGGCATTAGGCCGCCAACATTGCTTTGTACTGTTGTGCTTGTTAAATATGTAGAGGTTTTATTGGTTGCATTGAATATTGAAGAAAAGAGAGAAAAGGGGACAGATGAGCTGCGCGGGGGTGTTTTCAGTGCAACTGTTTGTGCAACTCATCAGAGGCCAAACGTTACCTCCGTAGTGTAGGCTGTAGCGGGGTTCTCGTTTGCACCTGGCTTGCCGTCACCTGATTCAACTGACATATCGATGTTAGGGGCAGCTGCAGCAGGTGCGCAATGGTACCACCATGCTCAAGAATGACTACATTTAAAAGGGCCCCAAGCACTTGACAACCCACTTCTCTCTCCTCAGTTGATTCTACATGTATTTTCCTCCATACATGCCAATAAGCATTCATTTGTCTGCTTGTTAACAGCTTGAATTCTAGATGTGGGTAAGCCAATGATTAATGTTAGAATCTCAAGATCCGATTTACTGTGAACTACATAGTTTTTCATCCTGTTGTTATTTTTCTTCTTCCTTTTGGCTGTGCCACCTGAGCGATGGTATAAACCCTTTTCGCTCGCCTCTCCCTTCCTACTTCGCTTTAGCTTTCGTTACATCAATAAAACACTTGACTTTGTCGCTTTCTATTGATACCTTGCTCACGCTGCTAGCATATTCTTGGACCGATACATTACTATTCGCATATCTGTTCCGACTATATATGAAAATTACACGCATATCTACTAGAAATACTCTGCTCGCGATGCGAGCTCGGCTGCTAGTCAGCATGGGTTGACACGTCGATAAGGGCATCACGGCGAACCGGTCATTTGAATGTGTCGGATGGTTGTTGGTGCAATGTCAATCATGGACATCTCCTGTCTTGATGGCCTGCTCCGCGTAGGCGCTTCAGCGCTGGCTCGCTGCTGCTAGCAGCAGAATCGCCTGCTGCTGCACGCCTCTTGCGCGACCTCTTTGTTGCCAGGGTGGTGCCAGAAGCATCAGCAGCAATGGCCGTAAAGTGACGGAACCGTTCAGGAATACTGCCTGGATCACAGAGTGACTGGAAAATGAGTCTGAAGTTTAGAACTGCTGCGAGATCGCGGTTCAAGAGCCGAGATGAATAGGCTCGCCTGTATTGTGCCATGGCCCGCTTACATGACTCGCTTGTACAGCGGAGAAGGCCATGGCACTTCACAGCTGGGTTCTTCGATCTCTGACAAGGCTGCAGGTTGGGAACATGACGGAATGTCTGCAGTGACTTTTCGCAGCAGAACGGGCACATCGACGATGTCCGGAATTCGTCGATCAGATAGACTTCAAAGCCATGGTGCTTGAACTTGTCGTGCCATCCCTTGCCACGAATCGGTGCATGGTGTCGGGCCATCGGCGCACTCCAATTGCCCATGATCAGCACTGGATCTGGACCGAACTTGCTCCGGAGTTTCGCGGCAAGCCTGTGGTCTGCACGGGCCTGGTTCATGAATGAATCAAGGCGTAGCTTGCGATGAAGCGGGTACACCTTGGGACTGGTCCCGACACCTGGATGGGCCTTCCAGCACCTCTGGTGCTGCTTGTTTGACTTAGTGAGTTGCTGCTCTGGTAACCTTCGCGCTGTCATCGTGCTGGCATAAAACGGTGCTAGGACACACCACACAGATGCACGGGCAGCAATGTAGGTACGGAATTTTGCTGGGCTAAGGGTCCGGCAGCAGTGCTTGGAAAGCTCTGCCTCTGCTCTGCAGACAGCATCTTCTGGGACTTGATCCTTTGTAGCCTGACGAATCCTGTCATAGTGGCGCAGCTTGAGCTCCTTATTGCGCTGCTGCCGTGTGTAGCGGTAGAGCATTTTTTCACCCTCTTTCCCATTGCTGCTATTTTCGTGCATCATGTATAGCAAATCGCCCTGACCTGGATCGATGAATACACAGCGGCCTTTCAGATTCTGCAGCTCTGGCTGTGGGATCTGGTGGATATAGCGACAGTCAGCTATAGTACTGCCTCCTACAGCATCACCTCCCACAGCATCGCCTGTAGCATCGCCTCTCGCAGCATCACCTCCCGCAGCATCGCCTCCCGCAGCATCGCCTCCTGCACCATCAGCATCTACTGCACCATCAGCCTTGGATATCTTGTCTTGTAACAGAATGCATATCGTTACACCATCTGTTGTCGCCATTCCGTGGAATTTTCTATCACCATGCGCCTTAAATGGCTTTGATGTTAGATCTGCGACCCGGCCCCACACATCCCACACAGGTTGTGTGATCCCTCGGACCGGGTCGTGTGCACAGACTGGGGGTGCTGATGCATATGCATTGTTAAGTGCTGCAACAGTGTCTGCTGCTGCCGCCGATGCAGCAGCAAGTGAATCAGCTGCTACTGCTGCAGTTGCTGCTGTGGCCTCTGTTGCATCCAATTGCATCTTCGCTGCTCCACGTGCAGCCTTCTTGGCCAATTTTTCGCCCTTTTCTGCTGCTTTCCTTGCCTCTGTTGCTGCCCTCTTTGCTGCGTTGATCTTGGTAACCTCCTCACGTGTTTTCGAAACAAACACCTGCTTGATTATTTGCTTGTCTAAGCGCACATGGCCTGGGATCCATGATGTCCGCAGAGGCAAGCATTGGGGGGGGGAGACTTGCTAAGCTGCTCATTCTCGATAAGCTGGCATAGACGAATGTGTGCACACAGATGCTTAAGTGGATTTACCTTGGCATCATAGTATCAGCTGTCTTTGGCGAATCTGTATTTGGCATCATAGGCACTAAGGACTGGTGCCAGCTTGTTGTAGATTACAAGCATCAGTGGGGTGAGCACACTGAGATCAGGGTGCCTAGAGGCAACTGCCTGGCGGAGCTTCTGTGCAGGCGTATAAATACACACTTGACATGCGTTATTGAACTCAGCCTTGGACACATTGCCCATTGTACTGTGCAGTGTGTTTTTGCGGCTGCGAATATCAATCAATTTGGCCAGAATCTGCTGTAGGCAAGTGCCATAGTGCAACACAATGTTGTTCTTGTATGCTGTCATCAGCTCGGTATCCACGTATGTCACTACCTGATTCATGTTATGTACACCATGTAGCTCGATATCGCCATTATGTAATAGATAATCATAAATATGGTATCTAACTACATCACCGAAATCTGCGCTCGACAGTTCTGACCTGTCCTTCTGGTTAACGAAATCCTTGGCAGATATGACAGTCTTCGCCTTCAGGTTATGATAAATGAATAAATAAATGGAATGAAAGAATCCCTTTTTCACAAGTATTGCAGAGTCAAAAGCATCATCGTCAGCTAGTTGATGGAGTAGTATCCATCGTGCAAGCATGTATGTATGCTCTTTGATGATATTGACACTATGCACAAATTGCTCTAGGCGGGGCAACATAGAATCACGGAAGCCAATACCACCAAGTGATGTCTTTATGACAGTAGTACTGTGGGTAATATCCATTTGAGAAGTTCAATAGGCAAGTAAGAAGAGAAATGATGCTGTTCAGTTTTGCTGTATTGCAGATGCATAGCATTAAGAACTTTTTATTAAAGATTTTCTGGCTTGCATGGTTCTTGGGGCCCTTAGCACTGATACAGTCTCTTGAATCAGTCTATACATACTGGGTCCATTGTGGCTCAAATACTACTGCTTACACATGTTCATAATGTTGTGTCGGTCGACTATGTAGGGGTTTTTAAATGTATATTTAATACTGAAGAAAAGAGAGAAAAGGGAATAGACGAGTTGCGCAGGGGAGTTTTTAATACTGCCATTTGTGCAACTTATCAGAGGCTAGACTCTACCTCCATATCGTAGGCTGTAGCGGGGCTCTCGTTGGCGCCTGGATTTCTGTCACCTGATTCGGCTGACATGTCGATGTCAGGGACAGCCGCATCGGGCGCGCAATAATAAGACAAATTAATTTATTAAATAAACCCACAAATATTGCATGACTGCTAGAAGAGCTATATGGCCTTATTCAATAGGTGCTCATAGATAAACATCCTAAGAGTGTTGCGCAGCCGGTGATGACCACCATGATGACGCCATGGAAGTTATCAGGCCGACCGACAATGAGAGCAGCTCTTGCGCTGAACCAATGGAGATATCTAGTGGAGACCTATGACCACTACAATAACAACTCGCCACCCTGGTTTCACCGATGAGGTCAGATGCCGCACAAGATCAAAAAGGAGTTTATAGAGTAAGTCACTCAAACTCGTGTTGAAGCTTAAGAGTTATATATCTATCCAATTAATAAGGTTCTAGCTGGTGGTCGGACACTTTTTGGACTATAAAATCTTGTAAAAAGGTAAAGATAAGGCATTTTTCGTTACTCGTTTCTTATTTCCTTTTCCTCTTGCCCTACACCACCCCCGTGTGCTCTAGACCTACACCATTTGGCACGATCCGTAACTATTTATTATTATTTGTGGGCTATCATGAGCGCCGATAGAACGACGGCATCTGGCTCCACATATATATGGTCAATACATAACATTAGGGTAATCCGAAAATCCATGTTTGACCGTCAGGAAATTTTTGCTATCATCGTGCGTAGACGCACATTTTTGAGAATACACATAATGTTACAAAAATATAACCAGAGTAGTTGCAAAAACGTATGCGAGATTACTTTGTCTTCTTTTCGTCCCTGGTTAATGCATCCTGACTCTGGACGAACTCTGGTGGCGGGCCAATACCCTTGACCTTGGCGACGAAAAGCGAAAAGAACGCCACGACCATGATAGCGATAAAAGAAAACTCGTATATGAACAGATTTGCTCTGACAGCCCAGTTCCCAATCAAAACATACGCCTTGCCTGCGCTTTTCTTATCCTGAATCGTCCTGACAGTTGCCTCAGCGACCTGCTCGGTAGACACCACCAGTTGGTGCTTGATAATTCCAGATTTGGCCAGACCCTTGCTTTGGTTGACCGCTGGAGTGTCGACATAATAGGGCGCTAAAGCAGAAACGCGTACGGCAGGGGCAAGGGACTTGGAGGCGTGAGTGAAGTTCAAGAGTGCAGATTTGGTAGCCGCGTAGACTTCGATGCCGCGCGTTGGCATGCATCCAGACATGGATGCCATATTGATGATCACACCAGAGCGGTTGGCTTTATCCTCCCAGATGTACTGGACGAACTGGCGCGAGAACTCGATGGGTCCGCGCAGATTCACGTCAATACCCATTTGGATGGCAGCAAACGTCTCGGTCCTGTAGAGCGACTCGACAGTGAATACAGCGGCGTTATTTACTAGGATGTCGAGGCGGCCGAACGTTGCTACGGCGTGGCGAAGCGCGTTGGCGATGTCCTCGGAGCTGCGTACATCGCAGTGTACATAACATGCGTTGTTGTTGTATTTTGCAACAAGCTCAGTGCCTTCGTTGACATCGCGGATATCGGCAAAGACCACTTTGGCACCGTTGGTGAGCAGCTTTTGGGCGATGGCTGTGCCGATGGCACCGAGGGCACCGGTGATTAAGGCGACTTTTCCAGAGACAGAATATTCGGCAGGCATACTGTAAAGAAAACTGAGCAAGAGGAGGAGAAAGGGGTTGTTTTATTTTCTGGTGGCTGCAGGCAATGCATTAGGCAAGTTGCGCCCATTGTCTTTTCTCCCTTTTATGCAGTATAGTGAAGTAGGTGCGGACATGTAATAGTGACGGAGGACACGATTCACATAAAGGCAATGTGGGAAATGCCAGCTACAAATGGAGCAATGCATCATTTGTCTTCCAGCGCTACGTCGCGCGGATTTTAACATATCTATTAGGCGTCCTTGCACCCTAGTCACTTGAGCGACCACAGCAGAAACAGCGCACACCACCAGCAGTACATACAGCGCATACTCCTTGACGCGCATATCGACGCACACGGTCCAGTTTCCGACAACAGTAAAAGTCTTCGCCCTGGCGTTCTCGTCCTTGACAACCCTGACGGCGCATTCGGCGACCTTGTCCAGAGGCACCAGACCTTTTTCCCACAGCCACTCAGGATTCTTGAATAATGGGGAAGCAGCGACTAGGGGCGAGTCGACGAAACAGGGAGCAATAGCGGCCATACGCACATTTTGCAAGTGGCCGGTCGACTCTGTATAGCTGATCAATGCAGCTTTGGTCGCGGCATAAACCTCCAGATTCATCACCTTGTGGAACGCGGTAGTAGAGGCAATATTCAGGAACCACGCCCCTCCGCCCATCCCCTTGGATGTACTGGACGAACTGGCGCGAGAACTCTATCGGCGCACGCAAATTCACGTCAATAATCCTCGACATCTCCTCAAAGGTCAGAGCGCCGTAGAGCGGCTTGAGCGAGGCAATCCCGGCGTTGTTTACCAGAATATCCAGTTGGCCGAATATTGTGGCTGCAAAGGAGATGGCTTGGGCGATTTGCCTTGGGTCGCTGACGTCGCAGTGGATAAAGGCGGCGTTGCTGCCGAGGGGCTGCGTAAGCGTCTGACCAGCCTCTTGGTCGTGGATGTCAGCTAGCACTACCTTGGCGTTTTCTTCCAGCAAGCTTTGTGGCTATGGCTTTGGCCGATTCCGCCCAGGCCACCGGTGATGATGGCGACTTTGCCGGAGAGAATGTATTTGGATGATGAAAGCATCTTGGGCTGGGAGGGGTTTGCAGAGGAGAGATATATTGTGCAGAGCAAGGGGCGGAGTTTTCATTTCTGTCCTGGCGGGCTGATGTCATGTGTGCTTTATTTGCAGCAATAGGCACGGAGCCAGGGCATTTAGCATGTGGTGTTGAAGGTACCAGCACAAAACTACAAGCCATATGTTGATCGCAGATCACAAGATCAAGTTTACGAAAAAAATAATCTGGCTATTTTTTTTTCTCAACAGCCAGCAAGATCACTAGCGCCCTCCCTATGCATCTTGCCTTTCTCCTAAAAAATACCGCTCTTTATACATTACATTAAAATAGTCCCATGGCCAAGCAAGAGTACAACTAAGGACGCGAAGCGCAAGGAGGCGGCGACACCGCAGGAGTCGCGGCAGCAGCAGAAAAAGCAGCGCATCGAGCGGGTGCTGGCGCAGCCGTCGGGGGAGCTCAAACTAGCGGCGCGCAAGCTGTGGGAGACGCTCCGGCAACGCGACCTAGAGGCATCGGTGCGCTCGCAGAAGATGACGGAGATGATGGCGCTCCTGTCGGGCCACATCAAGGAGATCACGTTCAAGCACGACATGAGCCGGGTGCTGCAGACGTGCCTGAAATACGGCACGGCAAAGCAGCGCGACCAGATCGCCGAGGAGCTGCGGGGCGGGTTTGTGGAGCTGGCGAAGAGCACGTACGGGCGGCACATTGTGCTCAGGCTGCTGAAGCTGTCGAACCGGTTCCGCGGGGAGATCATCGAGTCGTTCTACGGGCAGGTGCGGAAGCTGATCAAGCACAAGGACGCGGGGGTGGTGGTGGAGGAGTGCTATGCGACGTATGCGAATGCGCGGCAGCGGTGGTTGCTCTCGGCGGAGATGTACGGCAATGAGTTTGCGGTGTTCAAGGACGACCAGCTGAAGTCGCTGGACGAGGTGCTGGCGAAGAACCCGCAGAAGCGCCAGCCGGCAATGCTGTCGCTGAAGGGCGCGCTGACGCCGCTGCTGGAGAAGGCCACGGTGGGCCAGTCGATAGTGCATCGCGCGCTGCTGGACTTTCTGCGGCACGCCGACCACCCGCAGCGCATGGAGATGATCGAGACCATGCGCGAGCTGGTGGTGGAGATTCTGCATACGCGCGACGGCGCCCACGCCGGAATGCTGTGCCTTCTGCATGGCACGGCCAAGGACCGCAAGGCCATCGATCAAGTCCATCAAGCCGTTCGCCGAGCGCGTGGCCAAGGAGGAGTACGGGCATGCGGTGATCCTGCAGGCCATGGACTGCGTTGACGACACGGTGTTTGTCAACAAGACGCTGGTGCCCGAGCTGCTCAGCAACGCCCACGAGCTGCTGGCCGACAAGTACGGCAGACGCGTGATCCTGTATGTCCTGGCCGGCCGCTGCCCGCAGTACGTCGGCAGCGAGGCCCTGAAGATCCTGGAGGCCGGCGACAGCGTGCGCGCGGTGACCAGCAAGAAAGACCCCAGTGCCAGGCAGCGCGAGCTGGCCGGGCCCGTGTCCGAGCGCCTGCTCCTGTGGGTCGCGGGGAATGTCCGATACGGCCATCTTCGACCCCATGCCCAGCCAGGCCGTGTCCGAGACGCTGCTGCGCGCGCTGGGCGACAAGCAGCAGGCGTGGGAGGCGGTGCTGGCGCTGGTGCGGCGCCAGATCTCGGACAAGCACGTGTTGGTTGATCCGATTGCCAATCGCGTGATCACCAACTGCATCATCGCCGAGCACACAAAGCCCGAGGGCGCGGTGGTCGGCGACCAGAACCCGCAGTTCGGCTCGGACGTGCTGAGCGCTCTGGAGGAGGAGGGCTGCTGGTGGATGCGGCAGTGGCGGGCGCGTTCCCGGTCAGGGCTCTGCTGGAGTCGCCGGCTACGGGCCCCAGGACCAAGGAGCTTCTGCAGGGCGCGCGCGCGCAGATCGCGCAGGCCATGGACAAGGCCGAGAAGAAGCGCGTGTACGAGGCCATCCTGGCGCCTGCTGGGCTAGGCCCTGTCTCGCAGCACAGTAGTCCAGTTTTTTGCCCAGTAACCAAAAATTAAAAGCAGATAACCCATGTATTAGGCCGCCCACAGGGGAGGGATCGTTAACCGTCAAAAGTACACTCGCTTGGCGTCGCCCAGCGTCGACATGGACGGGCAGTACGGGCACTTGAATCTGCCCGATGCGACTGCTCCGGGCCGCACGCCGCGCGCCAGGCGCTCCAGCGACGCCCGGCACACCACGTGGCCGCACGGCATCATCATCGGCGGGTTGGCCGAGCTGGCCTGCTCCTTGGATACGGGGCAGGCAAAGACCGAGTGGAACCGCATGTTCTCGGGCAGCGGCACCTCCACCGCCAGCTCGTCCTGCGCCGACCACTCCACGCGCTTCTCGCGCATCAGCCCCTGACATTTTGCTGACCACCGGCAGGGCCCTGGCGCCCGCCCCCGCTGCCACGCCCAGCGGCGACTCCGCCGCCAGCCCCAGGTGCGCGCAGAACGCCCGCGCAAACAGCCTTGCCCCGTCCTCCCACCGCCGGCTGTCGAACATGTCCGCATACGGCGACGCCCGGAGGTCGCGTGCGTAGATGAATATGCCCATCAGGTGCTGGATCTCCGCCATGTGCTCGGCGCTGGCGAACCGCTGGAACCATGTGCGCGCATACGCCAGTGCCTCGGTCGTCTGGCCCATCTCGATCAGCTGCAGGAACCGCAGCCGGTGCAGCGGGAACGCCAGCTCTGCATCCGCGTGCCGCATCGGCCCACTGCAGCGCTTTGGTCAGGTCGTGCGGGTCTGTGCGCATCGCCGCCACTGTCGCGTACATTTCCGAAAACTGCTGCTGCGTGTGCGCTGGCAGGTCCAGCTGCGCCTCAGAGGCAAATGCGCTGGCTGCCGAGAAGTCGCCCTCGCGCAGGAAATGCTGTCAGCAGCGTCTCTGCCACCACCGACTGCTTGTCGGCGAATGCCGGTGATGCGCTCACCACCGTCAGGTCCAGCTTGAACGCCTACCACCCTCTCCTTGCAGCCCCTGTTTAGCATTTGCATCGACCCCCTGCCCCTCACATTTTTCACTTTGATTGCTTGCCTTTTCCACGTGCTTGCCGTACTTGGATACTGTTGTGTACAGATCCTTCAGCTGCTCGTTGACCTGCCCCTGCGCCTTGTCCACCTGGCTCTTCAGCTTCACCAGCTGCTTCTGCCGCTCCGACTCCTCCGTCTGCCGCACCTCCTCCATCGCCTTTATCAGTCCGTCGATCGCATGCAGCGTCTTGTTGTTCAGCACCGTCTGGTGCTTGGCCAGCTTGTCGCAATCACGCACCAGCCCGTCCATTTGTAGCAAAAAAAGGTATTGCGAGAGAAAAATAGTACAAGAAATATATTATTACTGAAGGAAGGTGAGAAAAAAGGAAACCGGAGCAGAGGTGAGGCCTGGAAGAACCTTGGAATCAAAAGTGGCCACACACGTGATCCCTCGGCTGATGACGTCTCCTCGGCAAGAATGCATTCTTGCTATTAATGGGCCCTGGGGAGAGCGATGCATCTCGTGTGGAGCAGCAGCTAGGCAGCACTTGATGTACTGGCTGCGAATTCCACATTCAGTGGAGTGTGGAATTGCAGCCAGTATATCAAGTGCTATTTTCTGCCCCCATAATCCCCCACCCACACCAAACCGCAGGTCATTGCTTTCGCCAGGCCGTTGTGCTGGGGGTTTCTCTTTGTCAATCAGCGGGTTTCTCAATCTTGAGAAACTGCGCTTGAAATATGCCACGTTGTCTGACTGCTGTGCGTCTGCTCTATCGCTCATTTGCCGGTCCTTTAAATGTGTCTGGAATAACATTTTTGGCGGACCTTTGAGAACTGGACGCGTTTGTTGCAGTCGCGCGCTCAGGGTTAGTGTACCGTACATGATTTATTATTGAGAACTCAAGTTTCGACGCATAGGCACGTTCGACCGCCGCCGCTGTGTGTGCCCGCTCAGCGCCTTGGCTAGCCGGAGACGCAGCTGCGCCGGTGATTCGCCGTGCTGGATGCTGTAGGCGAGTAGCAGGGAGTGGTTGTTGAGGATCTCGCATATGCTGGCTTGCCGTGCCAGCGTGTGGAAGTTTGTTTCTTGGAACGACATGGGAATATATACAGTTATTGACGACTATGCTTTGCCCGAAAATGAATGGAGGTTTCAATATACCAACGATCCCTGCAGTGTTGACCAATATATGGGTTATAAATATTCATCCTCGATATCTTCCGCCTGCCTGCAATTTTGCCAGCACCGCTTTTCTATACTCGTCACTGGTACAGTTACACGTCCTGAAGAGGAACGTTAAATGTGACAGACGATCTGGACTCGTATCCTATGCCAGCTAGCTTTTGCATTATCTTGAATACATTACTGCAGTTCCCTGCAGGAAAGACTTTTACTTGTCGTACTTTTCAACCAGCTTGTCAAGCTTGCCGATCAGGAACCTGCCCACATCCTTATCGTATTTGATCGGCTTCATGTCGACAAACGGCCTGCCTAGCCGCGACGCACAGCTATAGTATTTGATCCTCGCATCCAGCTCGTCCTCGCTGGCCTGTGGCCACGAACAGATTGGCAACGCACCCGTTCTCGGGCGAAATCGTCAGCCGCTCCATGCCCACCACGACCCGAACCAAGACGAAAAACACAAACACCAGCGCCTCAAAGAATGGCATGTTGTAGCTCGACAGAAACGCCGAGCACACATTCCCGGGCTCCACCACAAAACACCGCACATTGCGCAGCGCCAGCCTCTCGTCCAGCGGCTGCACGATCTGATCCACTATGTACTTTGACGACTCGTACGGCATCGCGCCGTGCACGTGCTGGTAGTCGGCGCGTGAAAACTGCAGGCTGTTGGCCGCCGAGCCGGTCCAGACCACGCGCGCCCGAGACTGCGACAGGAGATCCAGGAGCTTGTGGATCAGCAAATAGTGCCCAAACACGTTGGTCGCAAAGGTCGTCCCCAGGCCGTCGCCCGTCACCAATCCGCGCTTCTGGTCAAACGCCACTGACGACTCGAAGAATCTGGCCGGATCCGTCGCCAGGCTCTTCAGCACCGCCGCAACATTGAACTTGTCGATTGGCATTGCTCCCGCATTGCAGCACAGAAGATCGAGCCTAGTGAACCTCCCCAGGATCTCCTTTGCTGCCTGCTGCACTGAGGCTATGCTGCTAGTGTCCAGCTGAACCACCTGCACGTCGCTACTGGGGTACTGCAGCTGAAGCGACGCGCGAGCCTCCTGTGGCCTTGGCGAGGTTGCGGCAGGCGAGCACGATTGTGGTAGTCTTTGGATGCGGCAAGTAGCTGGCCGGCGAGCGAGAGCCCGACGCCGCTGTTTCCACCTGTGATAAGCACGACCTTGTTTGCTGTCTCTGTTGCCACTGGCATTGCTGTCATTGAAATTTAGAGATGGGGGGGGGAAGTCAAAAGAACAACAAAAGCGTAACATGAAAAAACAGGCCCAGCTTCTCAATGCCATTTTCCGGACGATCGGATTGCGGTCCGGCAAAAAAGGCAACCAGTGTGCATTTCGCGTGCTTTGCTCGGTCTCCAGACAGGTGATGGGACAACCCACGTGAGTAGCTCAAAAGATAACGAATGCCAAGAACCTCCCAATGCCTCCACGCTCAGAGCTGTGGCCAAGTCTCTGTTAGCACCCTTTCCTTCACCCTTTTGTTTCCTCTTGTAAATGTACCGTCTCAATTCGTGTATCAGGAACTTTAGAGGGAAGCCGCAAATGAGCCTAGTGAACCTATTTTCAACCGACGAAGCCGCGAGCTTCGCCAAAACCAAGCTGCGCCCACAGACAGCCGCCGCACAGTGGACCAACGCGCTGCACTTTGAGCACACATTCACGCAGGACCTGCCCGGCGACCCCGTGGTGCCTAGGTCGCCATACGACCAAAGCACAGACGAAATAGATGTGCCCGAGGCCAAATTCCGCGCCTCGCGCAAAGTCACCGGGGCGCTCTACAGCTGGGCGGTGCCCAGCCACCACGACTCTCCGCAGCTGATCAGCGTCAGCCCAGCAGGCGCCCAGTTGCTTGGGTTGGAGAAGCAGCGGTTTCTGGATGACCCGCAGGCAGCGGCAAATGTGTGGAGCGGCAATGAGATGCTAAGCGGGGCACGGCCCTGGGCGCACTGCTATGGCGGGCACCAGTTTGGCGTGTGGGCGGAGCAGCTGGGCGACGGCCGGGCAATCTCCCTGGGCGAAGTGGTCCAGAATGGCCGCTGGGAGGTGCAGCTCAAGGGAGCGGGGCGCACGCCATACTCGAGGTTCGCCGATGGATATGCGGTCAGGCGGTCGAGCATCCGCGAGTACCTGGCAGCCGAGCATATGGCGGCGCTGGGCGTCCCGACGTCACGCTCCCTGGCGCTAGTGTTTACCGAGCGGGCCGTGGTGCGCGAGGAGATGGAGCGCGGCGCAATTGTCACCCGTCTGGCGCCATCCTGGGTTCGGTTCGGCTCGTTTGAGCTGCCGGCGTCGCGGCAGGACGCGAGGCTTGTGCGGAAGCTCGCAGACTATGTTATTGCCAGGCATTTCCCCGAGCTGACCGCACAGGAGACCGCAGAGAAGAACCGGTACGCACTGCTACTGCATCAGATCATGCTGCGGACGGCGTTGATGGCGGCACACTGGCAGGCAGTCGGGTTCTGCCACGGCGTGATGAACACCGACAATATGTCGGTGCTGGGCCTGACCATCGACTACGGGCCATATGCGTTCCTGGACGCGTACAACCCAGACTTTATCTGCAACCACTCGGACCCCACCGGCCGCTATGCCTTCAAGGAGCAGCCGCGCGTGGCACTGTGGAACCTGCTGCGCCTGGCCGGCCCCCTCTCGGTGCTTATTGACGAGGGCCAGGCAGTGCCTGAGACCAGCGCCCACATGAACGACGTCAAGGACACGACCATTGCGCTGGTCAAGGATTCGCTCAACAGCTTTGCCGGCGAGTATGCAAGCCAGTATGCGATGCTGATGCGCAGGAAATTCGGCCTGGCCAACAAGAGCAGCGAGGATGACCTGAAGCTCGTCATCCAGCCGTTCTTGGATCTGCTGGAGACAGCCAGCACCGACTACACCTTTGCAATGCGCTCGCTCTGCGACATCCCGCCCATCCTGGTCTCTGCTGAGCGCGATTCTTTGCTCGATGCCCATGTCGACTCGCTCGTTGCTCGCTCCTTGACATGCGATGCCGACAAGTGGAAGGACAAGCTCAAGCAGTACTACCTGCATGTGTATCTGCCCCGGCTGCAGGACGATGTGGGCGAGCTCACCCAGGAGTCAGCCGGCCTTGTCGGCCAGGCGATGAAGCGCCAGAACCCGAAATTCGTGCTGCGCAACTGGGTCGCCCAGGACGTAATCGACAAGACCGAGCAGGGCAACACCGAGATTGTCGACCAAGTGCTCGACCTGATGACGATGCACGCCTTTGATGATGATGTCCCCCATGTGCCCGATGCTGAACGCTATGCCGGGCCCGTCCCAAACTGGGGCGAGGGTCTCCAGTGCTCTTGCAGCTCGTAGAACCCGCAGATGTACTTTAAAATTTCCACAGCTGTGCTCTATGTTTTGCTACTGTGCTGGCCAGCGAAGTGGGAGGGGTCTACTGCTTTGTCGGCTGCTTTGCGTATTAAGCATTGCTGCTCCACAAGCATTGAGGGTTTTTTTTGTGATGCCTTTCGGGAGGGAATGTTTGGTGCTCGAAAAATAAGACATTTGGTGGGGAGGGGAGACGACGGGCTGAACATGTTTGCTCTTGGGTGGATTCGCTGCTCAAACAGCATCTCCTGCAGTCTTGTGAAGAACCCCATCCCCCACCTCCACACAATTCCCTTTTTTTCCTGGCGAACAGCACATGTGGGCTATTTATGATGGCACGACCCGAATAACCAAAAAGTAATAAGCAGCAAGAAAAAAAACAAATCGATATTACAATACTGGACGCCACTGCCTAGTACAGCAAAATAAGCACATGTGCTAAACCAGATAAACGAATTGATGAGGGGGCAGTGAAGGTCTCTTGTGTAGACACACACCCAAGCGCCCACAGAAAAAAGGCAAGCAAAGAAAAAGTGGCTAGGTGCTCGCTGAACATACAAGAAATGGCTGCTGGCTGCTTAAGACGTAGCTACTTTTTTTTTTACCTCGTTCCCTCTTTCTTGCTTCTTCCCTTATTTTTCCAAACTATATAAATCCCTTGTTTCTATATATTTCTCCCGTCATATATATTATGCACAGCGTGTATTTTGATCTACAGAGCAGCAGGTACCGATGGGCCACATGTGGCCTCAGAACCGTGCTACTCACCAGCCTTCTTTTGTCACTTCAAGCACACGCCGCAAACGGCCTGCCAGGATTGGAGACCTGTGCTGGCTCCAACCCTGGCGTGTCTGCTGCCTTGTCGAAACGCAGCCAGGATGGTGCAGATAACACAGTTGCCGGTCGCAGTTGCAGCTCCGACGCACAATGCGTTTTGTATCGTGAATCGAAGAGTCATGCAAAAACAGCCGGCAGCACAATTGATGCCGACCGGAAGAAGCTGAGGCTCGGAGAATATGCCTGTATTGATGGCGCATGCCGATACTTGGTCAAAGCAGGCAAGTTACCCACACAAAATACCGGCTTGCACAATCTGCAGCTGATGTGTGGCGATATTATGCATGATGTGTCTTGTGGAAATACCTATGTCATGCCATATAAATTTTGTATTTTTTTTGCCGGAACTGTACCTGTAGGCGAAGTCTGTGCAGACTCGTTCGACTGTGCGGCGTTCCAGCTGAGTCGCCGGTGGAAGTCGGCTGCGACAAACGCGACACATGGTGACGATGCTGACCTCGATCAGTCCTGGTGCGCCCCACAGTACTGCACATTGGAATCGACCTGCGGCGGCGCATGGACGCTCCCCGACGCACCTGCCGATTCACCCCCTGGTGTAAATCTAAATAAGCCAAATATCAACGGGACCCTCTCGTGCTGCAGGGGATTCCCAGCCGAGGCCCAGTGCGCATTGTCGAGTGGATCGGTGGATACCTGCGGCAGCGGCTTTGCCTGTCTAACCAACAGCGAGGGCAGCCAGATTCCCGAGCGCGGCGTGCCAGCGCGGCAAAAGGATATCGTGGTGGATGCCCGGTCGTCAGTACATGCCATGTCGCAGGAGGAGTCTGGGTTTGGCAAATGCATCAGCCAGGAATCGCACCAGCAGATCTGGATCGGCGTGCTCTTGGTGCTGGTCGGCGGTGCCACCTTGAATGTAGGGCTGAATCTGCAAAAGTACGCCTTCCGCAAGCGGGCAGAGAAGATGAAGGCTGACGAGGCTGCGATTGAGGCTGCCAAGGCCAAGGCAAAGACTGTTTCGCCCTCAGCCCCTAGCCAGGTGTTCTTTTACTCGACTGGAGCGATTAACGGTAGGACGGCGGACAAGCAGTCTGCAATGCTCAGCATGGACAACCCGGCAAAGAACGCGGCGTTGTCAGCCATCTTCCCGCGCTCGCCATCTATTGGCAACAGCTATGGCCGAGGGATGGCCGATCACGGCCTGGGCATTCGCAAGACACAGACGGCGCATGGGCGCATATCGGAGATATTTGAGCTCCAAAACGTCCAGCTGCAGCAGCCAATCGAGCCGATTCCAAGGTCTGCCGATATGCCCACCCAACTCATGCATCGCCCCTCGTGGCCCCGCCGCCTCCGTAGCCGGCTGTCTGTCAGCCTTGCCGACACCGCCTTTGGCAGCCCCATATGGACCATCGGGCTTGTAATCTTCATCCTTGGCAACGTGATCAACTTTATCGCCCTGCAGTTTGCCCCGCAGTCGCTGGTCGCTCCCCTGGGGGCCGTTGCGCTTGTCACCAACGTCATCATCGCGCCCCTGCTGAACCACGAGAAGATAGGGTTCTACGACATTGGCGGGATTCTTCTCATTATAATTGGCTGTGTTGTCGTCGTCGTATTCAGCGGAATTGTCCAGCAGGACTACCGGCTCTGTGTCCTTATCCAGCTGCTCAAGGCAAAGTCGACAGTCATCTACCTCTGCCTCATCTTTGCTGCCATCATCGCCGTGTACTTGTTCCTTCGCGTTGTCGAGAAAGGGACCGAGCGCTATAATCTCGAAAACATCCAGCTTTCCGACGATGACATGTTTAAGGCGAGCAATGCTGAGGTCGATAATGGCAGTCAGGCTGTTGCCGGTGCGCAAACTCCGCGACACGGGCGGTCAGTGAGCGAGGAGATTGATGAGATTGACGACTCGTTGTCAACAATGGAGTTACTTGGAGAGCTCGAGTTCACTCAGTCTCCACTCATGAGCGATGCCAACAATTGGGCTACGCTGCGCGAGCCGACCTCTCTGCAGAAGTCGACGCCTGGTTTTACCGAGGTTGCCCAGGACGCAACACTACATGGTGGTGGTACTAAAGTCCAGAAAGCACCGGTTTCGCGAGCAGGGAATGCGCCGGCAGCCAAAAAATCGCTGATCTCCCGTGCATCTGCATTGCTCATGGTGTGCCATCCTCTGGCGCCGCTGGACAAGCACATTCCACCTATTCACCCGGACTCGCGCAAGGTCAAGTACGGCCTGCCCCTTGCATACGCTAGCCTGGGATCGTTGATGGCGTCACTGACCACGCTATTTGCCAAATCACTGGTCAACCTGCTCTCAGTGTCGTTCTTTGAGCACGACAACCAGTTCACAAGCTTCATATCCTGGGTCATCCTGATGGTCACTGCCTTCACTGCAGCGTCGCAGGTGTACTGGATAAACCAGGGCTTGTTGCGCTACGACGCCCTGCTCCAAGTGCCCGTGTTTTACGTCGTGTGGACTGTGCTGGATATTGTTGGCGGCGGTGTCTATTTTAATGAGTTCAAACTCTTCACAACTGTAAAGTATGCCCTGTTTGCTGTTGGAGTCGCAATCATCTTTTCCGGCGTGGGTCTTCTCTCGCACCGTATGAAAAGAAGGTGAGACAGCAAACATGGCTAGCCATGTTCATTACTACTATTAGTTCACGCTCAGCTTGTTCTTACAATTATGATTACTAAAAGAATATTGTGCAAACGGACTGCCTGCTGCTGTGAAGGCTTCTAGTGCCAAATGACGTAAATGGCGGATTCAAATGCTATTGATGTTGCGAGCGTGTAATGCTCATCAACTGCGAGGTTTGTTGTGAACAGAGCAGTCCTAATAACATACTCTCTTGCAAAGTGCGAATAGAAGAAAGGCGTTTAAAGTTTGCCACGCTCACAAAGGGTATACTCGGCACCCTCTGCAGTAAACGCGATCGTTGGCAGCACCAGGGGACTATCGCGAGCAATGGAATCAGCCCACTGCTCACACCGGCTTACACCTGTTAATAGACGAGCCCTCTGCCGGGCTAGCCTCTCGGTGCAGTAGAAACAAGAAATGGATCGATGCTTGCACGAAGCTGCTAGAATGAAAGGTCTAGGCGTGCTGTTTCTCGTGCCTGTGTCCGCTGTGCATTGGCTGGTCGCACTGGGTCTGGTGTGACCAGACCGTCCGTCCACTCAAGTGTTCCTGATCCAGATGGCGTGAGTGTGATGCGGACTCTGCACCGACACTTTGCAGACACGCGGCGGTCCAAAAAGGGCGCTAAAGACAGGTACGGGCCGCAAGACTGGCAGGCACGGATCAGTAGCAAACAATGCTCGGGTCTAGCGAATCCCTCATTTATTCACGTGGACGCCGCTGGCCAGTCAGCCGGTTATTTGCCGGCGGGCAGGTCAGATGATGCATGGCCTTCATGTCTCTTTTCGCTATTGCCGGGATTGCAGGGTTAGGGTGCAGTGACACCCGCCGGCTAATGCAGCGCGCATTGCGTGTTTCCGCTGCGTCTGCGCATAGTCGTGCCTGCTGGCTGGCCAGGCCCTCTCCTCCAAGGCCGCTATAAAGGACGCCTGCGGCCACTGCGGTATGGCAGACATCACCACCACTTTCACTCACATAAACTATCCTATTTATTCCAGCTTTATTCCTCTACTCTCCTTGTATTTTCTTGTACCTCTACTATTACTTTTAAATCTCACGACCATGGGTTATCCGCAAAAGGCCAAGTCTGCTGCTGCTGCTACCAAGGAAGGACATCTGTCGCGCAACGGCGCTGATCCGCGCGGCCTCGCCAAGAAGGACGGCGCCGGCAAGCACAACTGGGGTCGGGAGGACGCTTTCGACGCTGCAGAGCAGGACGTCCTGGGCACGTCGCCAGTCTCGCAGCCCAAGATCCAGACCATGAGCGCCGAGCAGTTTGAGGCGATCAAGAGCGGCAAGAAATAGCCGCCTACAACCCTCTAACCCCTGTTGTACTTTTCAGTGAATCCCAATACAAAATGCTTCAGTTCTCAAAGGGCAGTGACAGTGATGCTGAGCGAGGAAAAGTAGTAGTGGCGTATATAAACGCAGTTGCAGTTGCGGTACACGCATTCCTTTGCCTTTGGTAAATCGTCGTATCTTGCCTAGCAGTTTCGCTGGTACAAAAAAGTTGATACAGCAGCGGTCTGACCAGGCTGCCTTGGCATGCTTTGGGTCAAGATGGCGTAGTTGAAGATTTCCTGGGCCACCCTGTTGTGGTGCCAAATAGACAGCAGGTGAATTGGCAGACACTTACGCGTCCCGCGATGACAACGCGGCGCCTAGCACACAGCCTGTGGTTGCCTTTTGGGTCGTCTTTGTCCTGTTGCCTCTATAATTTCCAAATAGCATATATTCTAACATCTGTACTTGATGGCACACAAAATCGAAATCGTGACATATTCTTTGGCGATCAAATGATATGAATACTCGATGTCTCATCTAGTCTCCTTGCTTTGCTTCCTGATCTTGCTTTATATAATCCAGGTTGCAGTCGTAGTGTTGTCGTAATATAAAGTTAGTGTATGGATAGCAACAGCTGTATGTGGTTTGGATATTTCACCTGACAACTACTTGTCCGTTTGTGTTATGTTTCAAATCTGGGTGTAGTCATAGGACACAATCCGATTCAATTCAATTCAACTAGTAGTTTTGAATACTGCTCTATGGTTGCTACTTGTATCGGTATTCTCAGAAGTGCTTTAAAAAGTCAATTTTCATTTTAGAGCTTACCGCATCAACTAGAAAATAAATGCAGCATATCGAAGTGTGTGCACCATATGCTGCTGTTACTCAGTTGGCTTGGTTCCAATGAAGAGAGCACCCAAGGTGTACATTATGCCGCGATATCCGTTATTTTCCATTGCAAATCCTGCGTCCTTCATCTCTTGCACAAAGGCCGGTGGCGACGGAAATGCTCGACCGCTATGGTGAATACGCAATGTCATAGTCCTGTTCTGTACACTCCCTCCTGCAATAAGTTCGAGGAACTGAAAGAGGAGTCCTCTAATAGCCTTTCCGATGCGCCAAGTCCCCGTATCAAACTCTACGACATAAATCTTCCCTCCAGGCTTGAGCACGCGCATCGCCTCTCTCAGTACTTTGTTGCGGTTAGGCATATTGTGCATTCCAAGATAGCAGCAGTAGATGTCGAATGAGTTGTCGGAGATCTCAGGCATGTGCTCGGCATTTCCCTTGATAAATTCGATGCGGCCATCTTTCGCCCACTTGGTATCTCCGAGTCGCTTCTTGGCAATACTTAGCATATTGGTATTCAGGTCAACGAGTGTCGCGGTTGATACCGTGTTGCGGTTGATTCTATCTTGGTATTCGAAGAAGTACATGGTCGCATTGCCAGTTCCAACAGTCATATCGAGGAACTTTACACCTGGCTTTGGTGAAATAAGGCCCATGCACTCCTTCTTAGCAATAGTGGTTTGAGGAACAGAGGATCCACCATGATACTTGTCGTACTCTTCAGCAAACGTTGTATATGCCTCATCCAGCTCATTCCTGGGGGTTCTCAGCCATGTTTCTTTTATCCGTCATTTGATGTTGTGCAACACTCAAATCCGTCGTTGAGAGAAAGCACAATTATGTACATTATTAGTTAAGCCACTTTGTTCAGACAATGTATCATTCACCTATATTTGAAAAGCCTGCATAGCCTACGTTTCCACTCCAGGTGTGGTGTCGAAAACAAGTTTACCCATCGAAGTTACGTGATCGATATATTTCTCATTCCAGATCAAAAAATATCGTCAATTGCTAACACCTGCTTCTACAATTCCCCGTAGGTGTCATGATGATTAATCTCCTGTCCGCCAAGACCTTCTTTATCCTTTCTCTCTAGTTCGTTGTTTCTATGACACCCTTTCAAAGTGGCCATTTTATAGCCACTTCATATGGTGCCATAGTTGAAAAGTCATCAACTTTTTACCCCTTTACACGCAGCAGAGAATTTTGCTGACCTGCTCCTATGAGATACAGTATATCCATTGTACTCTGGCTTAACAATGGTATAATAATGGCCCTGCCCCAACCGTGTTACACTGAGGAGTGCAAAACCACAGCTATGGCAATAACGGCTGAGCGGCCTTGAGCAGACACGTTGATTTATTTTTTTGAGCAAGCGCTACAATATATGCTGTTTGAGAGATAAAGTAAACTGAGGCGTTATACGCGAAGTTTTATAAGTAAGTAATGGGAAAATACTAAGCGGCTAAACCGATAAAGAAAAAAAAAAAAGAAAAGTTCTTTCAAGGAAGGTCTCCGCGTCACATAGTCGGTGAGTTAGCGAGTCAGGATTTTCCTTACACAGTGACTTGCCGATTTAGGATTAACCGTATAGTCCATCGATTAGTGTCCAACAAGAGATCCCAAGGTAACAAGCTATTTTTCACCTATCTTACGTTTCGCTGTGTACTGGCTGCTAAAGGATAGTAGCCACAAGCAATTTTGTTGACATGAATCATGAATGTCAAGCAGTGTCTTCTTTTCATGAATATATGGTACATAGGAGCGGCAAGTGGCTTTTATTGACTCCATTGTCAAACAGAAATGTTCCCACAGAGTGAAGTGTATAGTGCTGGGAGGCACACATGTACAATGGCCACAAACTTGTTGCATGTTTTGTGTGCACAACTGTGGAAGCTGACTTCATTGCTCCTTTCGTTATTAGAATGTTACCTGGTTTCATATGCGTTCCCCTGTCACCTTGTCCCACTTTGTATAAATGCCCTAGGTATCAGTCAAGAGTATCACAGGACTACTCGCAATATCCAGGCTGATTTTCAGTCTACTTTTAAATCCTTTTTGTCGCTCCATCGCATATTCATATATACCCCTTTGCTCGCAGGTTCATTCTAGCATCTCCCTTTTGCTCATTTCCTTCAGTTTCGACTTCTCCTTCAATCTGAAATGGCTATCATTAGCACCATTGGAGATTTGCTTGAATTCTTCGGAGTCACCTACAGGTGTCAGAAGGTTACAAGCGATATAAGTAAAATTGTAGAGCGGGCTGGAACACCCGAAGATATATATATTGGGAAAGTGTGAGAGAGTGCTAAAAAGGCACTAAGCAAGTAGAAAAATATAGAAGAAAGACAAGAAAGAATCCGGTCCAGTATTGGACTGGGTAGCAAAATATAAAGAGAAAATAGAACAATGAAATGAGGAAAATCTAATTCTGATAACAGGCAGGTGCTCTTTGGTGGGATAGTTATCTACGGGACAACTGTGACGTTCTACAGGCTTTTCCTATCTCCCCTCAGGTCTATTCCAGGGAGTTTACTATCGCACTTGTCGATCTCACATATGAGGATCATGACCGCGCTAGGCAAACTGCCGGATATGTGCGAGGACGACTACTACAAGTACGGCGATATCTTCATTACAGCACCGGATATTGTGACGATTTCTAACCCGGCAGACTGTCGCAAAGTGTTGAGCTCATATACTTTCGTCAAAAACAAGTTTTATGAGTCACTCCGACTGGTGGACGAAACCTTATTCACTACTAGTGATCCTGATCTCAACAGCACACGGCGGCGCCAGATTGGGCCTGCCTTCACTCAGGGAGCGCTGCAGAAAATGGAGCCGACGATCATGGAGTGCGGCATCATTGCACTTAAGAGGAAGTGGGACAGACTGATCGGTGAGAATGGTGGCGTGGCCAAAATCAACTACAGCCTGGAATTTCAGTTGGTGACATATGATGTCATCAGTGTGCTCGGATATGGTCATCGGTTCTCTGCACTGGAGAAGGGTGAGACAACGATTGTTAACTGGGTCGAGAACTATAGCTTGCTTGCGCTCTTCAAAGCAGTCATTCCATCCGTCACTGAATTCCCAATGAGCCTGCTCTGCCGTCCTTTGCTCAAGAGCTACAAGGAGTATGTTGATTTCACCGATGCTACAGCTGAGCACCGTCGCGAACAAATCCGCCAAGGGCAAAAGGTGCCGAACGATCTCCTGCAAGCATTAGTTGACGGCGAAGATCCCGAATCGAAGGCAAAGATGACGCCGTCGCAGGTAACCGCGGAGAATATTGATATTCTGGCCGCTGCTATAAACACGACAACACATACGATGACTTGGACACTGCATTATCTGATGCTATATCCCGAGTGCTATCGCAAGGCTGTGGACGAAGTACGGTCAGTATTTGCACCTGACCACCTGATCGGCTATTCTGAAGGACGCAGCCAGCTACCATATGTCGAGGCATGCATCTACGAATCTATGCGCATTCATGCAGCAACAGGGATTTTCCTACCACGAGTTGTACCTCCTGGCGGAGTGACATTCCAGGGCCACTTTATCCCTGCCGGGTTGAGTGTAGGTGTTAATATTGCCGGGATGAACCACCACCAGAGCCTGTGGAAAGACTCAAAGAGGTTTATGCCGGAGCGCTTCATTGAAAACCCGGATCTGAAACAACAAGTGATGACGTTCAGTACCGGTGTGCGCATCTGTACTGG